TTCTTCATGCTCAGCTGATATGACATATATAATTTATATGCATTTTCCTAGGTCAATGTTAAAATGGCAATTCTGTCCACACTTACTTGGGAGCAAGTCCCACTGAACTCAGTGTAGCTTACTTCTAAGTAGACATTGTACAGGATTGCCCTGTGAGCTTACAAATAACATATCAGATCAAAATTATGAACAGTGTATATATCTGCATGTTGGAATTATGATGATGAAAATAATAATAAACTTTTTATTTTGTTTATTTTAAGGAAAGAGGTATTCCCTGAAAATCACCATGGCATGGAATATATATAGGATCTCCTTTATTTTGCTTTCAGTGTTCCTGGCACAGCAAGTTTCTTCACAAGGTATTGTAAAATGTCAAGCAAAAGCAATATTTTTTGAGGAGCTAATGACTCACGGCTCAACCCATAACTAATTTGAAGCAAAGTATTAAGATTTAATCAGAATAAAAGCACATTTAGGCAACCATAATGCTGGAGCTTGTGCTTATAATGGCCATGTGAATTTTGTCAAGAAATATTACAAATACGATCTTTGGAATAATTGTTTTTATTTTTGAATTTATACAGTACTACAAAAAATACTCAATAATTTTAAAATAGCACATCTTATTTCAAGTTTCTGTAATATTCATAATGTGTGCATAATACAGAAACTAAGGGTATGGTGAAGTTAAAGTTAAGAACTTTCTGAGTCCCACTAAAGAGGAAATAATTTATGACCCTTACAAGGATTTAACTTTGACTAAACTGTGTGCAATGACCTGGGGTGTGCATCAGTTTCCATTCATTACAGTCTAAGAATCTGATCTCTTTATTTTTTGCTGTTTTTCATGCATGGTGAAGATGTCCCTAATTAAGGATAGAAATTAAGGGTTTTATGCTGTATCAGTGTGTGGCACACCTTGTGGTTTCAGTGAACTGTAAGAAGTCACTTAATGTCTATACTTCGGCTACACTCTCTGTTAGAAACCAGATCATGTCTTCTCAAATGCTTATACAGTGGTTTACTTAAACTTCACAAAATAATTTATATGTTTCAATTCTTCCTCTGAAATGTTATGGTCATATGTCTGTCCAATTTGTGTTGTTTGAAAAAGTATGACCATTGTCTTCCGTATTGTGTACATGTTGTTTCTTGTCGTGTCTGGTTGCGACTCCTTGTCTTGAGTAATTTCATTTGGCTTGTCTACTAAGTGTTTGGTCTTCGTTGGTCAAAGTGAAGGATGCCTTGGTGCAGTGAACAACTCAATAACAAGTCAATAAATCCCCCACACACACACCCAGTGGCGTAGCGTGGGGGTGCAGGGGGGCCCGGCCGCACCGGGCGCAACATCTGGGGGGCGCGCGCTCGCACTCGCAGCTCTCTGCCCCTACCTGGCTCACTCACTCTCTCTCACTGCAGTGCTGGCTGTGCGAATCCGATCCGAGCCGCTGGGTCGCCGCCCACTGTGGAGGGGTGGGTGCCAGACGTGCGGTGCGGAGAGAGAGCGAGGGACTATCCGGGGCGGGACAGTGCAGCGGCCGCCCAGCGCAGCGCTGAGCGCGGGAGAGAACCACACCAGACCAGACCAGGCAGCAGCAAGAAGAAGCTGGCAGCGGCGGCAGGTTAGGGGTTAGGGGGCGCAAATTACTTGCCTTGCCCCTGGTGCTGACAACCCACGCTACGCCGCTGCACACACCATTTGCCTAGAATCACACTCTTCATCTGATTCTGTAGAAGCCCCAAACTGAGGCTATTGTGATCCTAGTGAGATTTCCTATGTGGGTTTGAACATTAAATAGTTGTTCAATCTGACAGAGGGACATGAAAACGTTTTGTGTCTATGGATCACACATGTCTTTTACTTGGAACTGAAACTGTGAATCAGTGGTGTGTGGCCAGTGGACTAGGAAGACTAAGCTAGTCCCCTAAATGCTAAGCTAGTCCTTCTCAAAGCCCTGGAAGCTTCTGCCCAGCTTAGGAAGGGAAGGCACAATACTCTGATGAGTCCAAGGACCCTCTCTCCACCTTCCCAAAGCCCTTCCGTCTTTGGGAAGGAGGCAGGAGGGCTGCAGTATCCTGTCAGAGGCCCGGCACATCCTTTCCAACGCCCAGGGCTTACGAAGGGAGGCATGATGCTCACGCATGTGACATCGACATGTCGTGACATTGCAAATGCACCTGCCTGCTCCCTGAATCGCCCTCGCAAGTTGGCACCTCTGGCTGTAACTGTTCCCCTATGATAAAAACTCACAACAAGCCACTGTAATGGATGATGAGCCCTTTGAGAGTTTGCTTCATGTGGCAAATTGTGGGCAATCCTGTTTTTATGAGTATATGGAGCCATGCTGGAGATGCCAAATGAGGGGCAACCATTTTTGAACTGACTGTAGATGTAAGCATCACACTTCCTTTTCATCCAAGTCTTTTCTTGTCGATGTACCTCTAGACCACTTCCACACTATCGTAAAATCAGATTGGCATAGGAATATAGGAAATTCCCTTATACTGAGTCAGACCCTTCGTCCTTCTAGTTCTGTATTGTCCACACTGAGTGGCAGTGACCCCCTAGGGCAGGCACACCCAAACTTCACCCTCCAGCTGTTTTGGGGCTACAACTCCCATCATCCCTAGCTAACAAGGCCAGTGGTCAGGGATGATGGGAATTGTAGTCCCAAAACAGCTGGAGGGCCAAGTTTGGCCATGCCTGCCCTAGGGATTCAGACAGCCTCCCTTACTAAGCAACCTGGATTTTCTGCATGCAAAACAGATGCTCCACCACTGCCTTAACTACACTTTTTTTGTTGCTAAAACCAGAGTAGATGTCAGGTAGTTTCATGACATAAGAAAAGTGAACATGATGCTGGAGAATAACACAGCCTACCTCTGATATATTGTAGGCACTGTGTGACAATTGGAGTTAAGCAAATATTTGCTTAAAAGCCTGATGGATGAGGTTGCTGTAACAGTGGATAGTCCATGTTCTGGACAATCCTTCCTTGGAGAAAGGGCGACTGCCTGAAGGACTCAGAACAGTGAGTCTCCAAATATATGAAATAACTACCCAATTCCAATGAGATAGCAGGGTCATATTAAGCAACACTGAAATGTTCTCAGGCCTCGTGAATAATGAGCATAGTGGAATGGTTTTTAGCTGAAGGGCTTGCAAAAGCACAAACTTATTTTAAGGACTGATATGATCCAGTGAATTGTGCATGTTGTCCAAGAACCAGAACCAAATATAATATCCTTACGACAATAACAGATTTTCCACAGTAGAATACCCTATATTATATAGCTCAGGTGCGCCAACTTGAATAGAATATTGAGGGGCCCCAGGTAAGCCCCACTCTGCATAACTGGTCACATGATGTGGCACACAGACGTCAATTGAATGGCAGTGCCCATCAGATATGTTAGAGGGGGGGGCAGCGACAAAGAGACCTCGACCCCTAGGAGTTGGCTCCTGTGATATAGCTCAAGTGATGGGAGCAAACTTCTAACATGTTTTCTGTTACTGAACTCTGTTCCTTGGCAACACACAGTGGGCTGCAACCATTTTTAGTTCTACTTAGCATAGGCCCATTGAAATGAATGGATATGGTTAACTTAATTTCCATTGGTCTACTCATAAAACCTAGCTGAATACTTAACCGAGGCATAGGCAAAAACGGCCCTCCAGATGTTTTCAGACTACAATTCCCACCAGTGGTCCTGCTAGCTAGGGATGATGGGAGTTGTAGTCCCAAAACATCTGGAGGGCTGAGTTTGCCTATGCCTGACTTAACCCATAATGCTTCAACTGGCTATGTAAGCAATTTCTTTTTTTTTTTTAGGTCAAATCGTTTTTGTTTTTTTTAAAGAACCCATATAACCTCACAACTCTGGATATCAAATTAGCTGCTTACTTTAGTAGGGTGTTCAAGATAAAGCAAAATGTCATTGACGTCAGCATTGAACTATGTTCAGTTCATACCAACCTGCAGAATATATTAAAGCAATTCTTAATCGAACAGATGTAGGTGAGATCCAAAGCAGCCTGGATACAAGCCCACACGAGCACAGTGGGGTTGCCCAGTTTCTGATAGGGGTTGGAGGCCACAGCTTCCCCACTTTCTCTGGCAAAAGGAAGAATTTGGTGACTATGACAGGAGCTAGGTTGAAGCTATAATAAATAATAATAATAATAATAATAATAATAATAATAATAATACGTGGTCTGGTCCATGGGGTCACAAAGAGTCAGACACGACTAAACAACAACAACAATACCTTTATTGTCAATGTACAACTGAGCCTCCCTCCCCTCCCCACCCCACAAACACTCAGTCTCATTGCACTCTGTGTGCTTGTCACACAACACACCATTCCCGAAAGTCAGTTGCACTATATTATTTTCCATTCAGCACCCTAACAGCCCATGTTTTTTAGCCTGTTGGTACGACTGATTACACTTCTATATCTCCTGCCCGAGGGTAGAAGATTAAAGAGGTGCTGGCCGGGGTGTGAATCGTCCCTGAGAAGTTTTCTCGCTCTCCTAAGGCATCGATCCCTTGCGATGTCATCTAGCGGGCTCAGGGGACAGCCCATGATACCATGTGCTGTGTTCACCACCCTCTGTAAAGACTTTGTGTCCGTGGCTGTCAAGCTAACGTACCACACTGTGACACAATATTAGAGGACACTTTCTATTGTGGAAGGTCATCAATTGTTGTTTAACATTGTTCTTTCGCAAGACCCTGAGGAAATGGAGTCTCTGTTGGGCCTTCCTAACCACCTGAGTTATACTGTTTTTCCAAGTGAGGTCTTCACTAAGGTAAGCTCCCAGGAATTTAAAGGAAGAGACTCTCTCCACACAACCTGCCCTGATATACAACAGGGCTAGTTCCCCTCTCTTCCTCCGAAAGTCCAACACCATCTATATGATTCATCATATTACAATGAATATGCATAATTTTTTTTTTAAATGGTGAGGGGAAACAACGCAACAATGCTTTGCCATTTGTTCTTTTCTAACATATGATTCTGGTTTGGCAATGTTTACAGCCATATTGTGTGATTTTTAGATATATCAAGCTGTGCAGGGAGATGTGGGGAAGGGTATTCTAGGAATCATGGCTGCCAGTGTGATAGTAGCTGCCTTCTCTACATGGAGTGCTGCCCAGATTACAAGACAAGCTGTGTTGGAGGTAAGTCTTCGACCGCAGACATTTTTTAAAGCTCCGGTATGAATAAGCACGGGTACGTTCACTTAAGGCAGTGGTTTTCAAACTCTTTGGGGGAGTTTATTAGGGATTTTCCCAAGAAGATGATCATGAATGGTAGATGATCTGCACTGCAAGTAGGGATGTTAGTTTCAGTTTCCCCCGGTTTTCTCTCTTTTTTCTGGTATTAAGTTCTGTTCTCCCCATTAGTTTGTCTTGTGTGTGCATGTATAGCCACATGAAAATTCATCAGCATTCTCCTAGTACTCTTTTGAATGCAATTTTGCCTAATAAAATGCAGTTTTTTGTGTTATTTTTACTGATGCATTTTTATGCACATTAACTAGTGTACATATTACTTGGGCGAAGAACTGCCTTGCAAAATTCAGAGCAGTGCAAGCCTCTTAATTTGTGCATTGTTTCAAGACTTGTGAATTAGGTAAAGGTAAAGGTAAAGGGACCCCTGAGCATTAGGTCTAGTTGTGGCCGACTCTGGGGTTGCACGCTCATCTCGCTTTATTGGCCGAGGGAGCCGGCGTACAGCTTCTGGGTCATGTGGCCAGCATGACTAAGCCGCTTCTGGTGAACCAGAACAGCGCACGGAAACGCCGTTTACATTCCCGCCAGAGCGGTACCTATTTATCTACTTGCACTTTGAGGTGCTTTCGAACTGCTAGGTGGGCAGGAGCAGGGACCGAGCAACGGGAGCTCACCCCGTCGCGGGGATTCGAACCGCCGACCTTCTGATCGGCAAGCCCTAGGCTCTGTGGTTTAACCCACAGCGCCGCCCGCGTCCCTGTGAATTAGGTAGGTTTACCTTTAAATGGGAACGGAACCAAAATTCTCCCCGCCTCCATCCCTGCCTGCAAGTCAGCAAGTCTGACCTGATCTCCTGTCATATGCAGTTGCAAGAGGGTCGGGTGCATGTCAAGATGGGGAGTCCTATCAGTTTGTGTATGGTCAACATCTAAGCCCAACTATGCAATGTATATGAATTCCCCTGCAAATATGCTGTGGGACTCCTTAGCAGAAGAACTGGGGGAAAGTTCCATAATGGTCAAAAGCGGTCACAGCTCCAGGTTTGATGGGTTACACGTAGATGGGCCTCCTCAGGAATATCTGCTGGTGTTGGAAGTGGCTGTGGCAGAGTTCCAAGGGTGGCTAGGACCTGCCTTTTTAATTTTTTGCAATGGCCAGAGCAGCCAACCCAGAGGGCATTCTGGGAAATATGCAGTAAATGGTTGCTTGCAGACCTAGCCACTTGATATGAGAGGAGACCCTGAGCAGACATCAGGTCTGTTGGACCCTGCAGGATCCCTCTAGAATGCTAGGTGGAAGTTTGAATAACCACTGCCTTAAGATCCTTCTCTTTGGTACATGTTACTTGTTGTCTTGTGTTTTGGATGTTCCTTTTTGTGTCATCTCTTCTCTCTCTCTCTCTCATATTGGTGAATATTTTTCATTGTGATCTGCAAACTCAGTCCTGCCAGTTCTCCTGGCACAATTTTGAGACGCGTATGAGTAATTCCTGTGGGTGGTGGCAGAAACATGTAATGCCATGTGAATAACTTCTACGTGCAATTTGTTCCTGTGTGATACTCCTCAGGGAACCAAAGTGCACTTCACAATACAACTGGTGAACAAATATTATGGATACCCAGTCATGGGAATCATCCAAGAGGAACTCAACAGTTTCTTAAAATCATGTTGTGGAAATTGAGCTTCTTGCATTCCGAAAGCTTTATATGCACGACTTTTTAAATGTCCTGTATTTTTCAAGTACGTTATTTAGATTCCAATGCAAACAGACACATTTGGCTGAATCTTCCCAGTGCTAAGTCAACACGAGCAAACTCTCTGGTTCCTTGTTAGCTGCATTACATAGGAAGCAATTCAAATCAGTTGGCGTTCCAATATATGCCATATATTTTGTGACAGTGGGCTTTGCAGAACCAATAGCCATAGACACAATAGTCTTATAGACATGTTCCACAACTGCTTGCCAGACAAATAGACAAAGATGAACATAACATGCTGCATTTTCCCTGTTAGTTATCTGCAAATGTCCAGCATGAAGTCAAAGAATATAAAAAGATATGTATCATTCACACACTATACCTAATATACTACAGTATTAACTTTCAAATGACATGAAATGATAAACGACACGATTCTTCTGAGATTTTCTCATTAGAATAACACAGGAATAATGAGGATGGGTTAAAGAGGACCACAGCATAGATTCTAAAGGATATCCATTAGTGAATTTGAACTTGCACAGATGTTATAAATAAATTCAGAGATCCTTGATTCATGATGGCACCGATTGCTCTTTTTACATGAAAAAATTCAAGGTTGTATCCAATGAAGTCTCTTTGTTGAATGTTCTTTGATCAAGTGCAGGCTTTGATCAGTGGATCGGGGAGGGAGGAGCTTCTTGCTGGCTCCGCCCCTGCAGTTCCACCATGACACCTCCCACACTGTTCTGGAGGGTCCAACAACCCTCTGAAGGTTGTCAACAGCAGTGAGGGGCAATTGGCACATATCACCTTCCACCCTGTACCGCTGGTGAAGGTCTCTGTTGGATCACAGTGCCTTCCCTAAGTGAAGGGACAGCTTTGGAAACACCCTCAAATATATGACCCAGATAGCATCTTCATTCAAACAGATTTCCTTCATGCAGGTGAAGAAAACGGTACTAACCTTCTTTCATCATCCTGTGTAGAACTGTCTTGCAAAGGACGTTGCTCTGAGAGTTTTGAAAGGGGGAGACCGTGCGACTGTGATGCAGATTGTGACAGATACGGCAAGTGTTGTCTAGATTACGAAGAAGCATGTTTAGCAGGTGAGTGTCGTAAGCACTTTGTTGCCTTTCAAGCTCAAGAGGCTAATCCAAGGCTCAACCTCAGGATCTATTCCCAATGTCAATACCGCAACACCGCTCAGTTGCTAGAGCACGAGGCTCTTAATTTCAGGGCTGTGGGTTCAAGCCCCACAATGGGCAAAAGATTCCTGCATTGCAGGGCAATAGCTAGATGACCCTTGCGGTCCTTTCCAACTCCACAGGTCTATGATTCTAGAACCAGAACTTCTGCTTTTAACTATATGATTGCCAGTTATCAATTTTGTTATAATGGTTATATCATCTGTCATCTAAACCACTGAGTCTCTTGTGTATGCCGATCAGAAGGTCGGCGGTTTGAATGCCCGCAACAGAGTGAGCTCCCGTTGCTCTGTCCCAGCTCCTGCCAACCTAGCAGTTTGAAAGCGCACCAGTGCAAGTAGATAAATAGCTACGGCTGTGGCAGGAAGGTAAATGGTGTTTCCATGTGCTCTGGTTTCTGTAACGGTGTCCCATTGCGCCAGAAGCGGTTTAGTCATGCTGGCTACATGACCTGGAAAGCTGTCTGTGGACAAACGCACGCTCCCTCAGCCTGAAAGCAAGATGAGCACTGCAACCGCACAGTCGCCTTTGATTGGACTTAACCATCCAGGGGTCCTTTACCTTTACAGTGGTACCTCGTGTTACGTATCATCCCCCTTACGAATGCTTCAAGTTACGTGCTCCGCTAACCCGGAAGTAGATGCCCCTTGTTGCGAACTTTGCCCCAGGATGTGAGCGGAAATTGCACTCCGGCGGTGCGGCAGCAGCAGGAGGCGCCATTAGCGAAAGCGCGCCTAATGTTACGAGCGGTTTCCGGTTACGAACGGACCTCTGGAACGGATTAAGTTCGTAACTGGAGGTACCACTGTACCTATAATACAAGCTGGGGAACTTTCATGTGTTGGCAGGGGAGAGAGCAAATTGGCTGGCTTCTGGCCAGTGGCACCACATGAAAATAACTGAACCCGCAATGGGGCTGTGCATATTTTAGATCAGGCTCTATTCCCATAGTTAATCAGCTTCTTCTGTGACACCTCATCCCAGTTATGGGTGTTATATAGACAGGGAGTTGGGTAAGCCTGAAACCCAGTGGTATTCTCAAGGGGCACATAGGAATTTGCCTCGAGCTGAGTCAGACTATTGGAGTATCTAACTCGGTACTGTCTACACCAGCAGTGACTGACCAGTGGTTTGCCAAATGTTGTTAGATTCCAACTCCCATTAGCCCCGGTTGGGATTGCCAATGGTCAGGATTTTATGGGAGTTGCAGTCCAACAGCATTTGCAAGGTCATCTACACAACAGGGACTGGCAGTGGCTCTCCAGGGTTTCAGACAGAAGTCATGGAGATTCTAGGATCTGAACCTGGGATCCTTCATGTGCTTTGACACTGAGCTATAACCTTTCTCCAAGGTCGAAGCTTGCCATTGCTTCGTTACAGGAGGAAGTTCAGGACACTACTGCAATGAGGACAAAATGTACAGTCCACTGGGTGGAACTATCCCTACAGCAAGATGCAATGTGGCTCTAGGAGCCTTTGCAATATCCTGTTCTCCTTCCACCTGCACTCGCCAGCAATAATGCTGAACATCTGAACATTCCGCCAGTTATACTATAAAACAGTAAAACTAAAAAAAACAGTGGGGAATCAAAAGTTTGTGGAGTTCCATTTATTTATTTTCAAATTATTTTTATCCTTTATATGCCACCCACACCCACATTTACTGCCTCCTGTTTAACCCAGTCTGGATTTTCAGCAGACATCACTTCATTTGACTTCAGTGGAGCCATGCCAGGGCAGAATTTGGTTGTAATAAAGGGGTAATAGAGTGGCCGTGCCATGGCAGAATGCTGTGGAAAAATGGCCTTGTTTGCCCCTAAGATAGTCCAGAGGGAATAAATGTTCTGTGAGTTTCCATTCATCAACAACAACAAAATCATTCGTTTAAAGTCAACTCCCAATTCCCCCCGCCTCCACCAGGACAATAAAGTCTTTTGGTGGCAGATGATACTCTCAGAACCTAGGTCTCCGTTGAACAAATGCAAAGCGTTTCGGCAAGTGGCGTGTGTGTTTAGCATGACCTAAACCATTTGGCGACTGCAAAGGCCTAGGCCATTGCAAAGTTCACTGCAAAGTTTACCCTGAACCTGTTGCACCAAGTTGCCAGGTCAGTGAAGCACCATTTTAATTCCCCACATATGCTCTGAAGCAGGGGTCAGCAAACTTTTTCAGCAGGGGGCCGGTCCACTGTCCCTCAGACCTTGTGGGGGGCACACAGTCCTCCCCAAAACAAAATGGCGGCCACCTCCAAAAGAATGGGGAAAAGGATATAAAGTGATTCAAAAACAGAAAGGTCTATTTTATTTGTTGTTGTTAAGAAAAAAAAAGTTTGAAAAAGTCCCTTCTTTTCCAGACACTCTTAAGTCTTGGTTGTTATTAATTTATTTCTTTTGCTGGTATGTTGCTGTAGATCAGGGGTCAGCAAACTTTTTCAGCAGGGGGCCGGTCCACTGTCCCTGAGACCTTGTGGGGGGGCCAGACTATATTTTTTGGGGGGGAAATGAATGAATTCCTATGCCCCACAAACAACCCAGAGATACATTTTAAATAAAAGGACACATTCTACTCATGTAAAAACACGCTGATTCCTGGACTGTCCATGGGCCGAATTTAGAAGGCAATTGGGCCGGATCTGGCCCCCGGGTGTTCGTTTGCCTACCCATGCTCTGAAGCAACGCTTAAGCTGAGAATAGTGTGGCTGATTTTAAATGACAGCTCATAGATGCCAGCTCCATCCCAGGACACTTTGCTAAGGGGTCTCTTGAGATTAGAGCTAGCCTTGGAGAGTGGATATTTGGCTTGTTTCTCTGAAGGGTGAAATGTACAGAGGCAAACCACACCCCCTCCACCTCATGCCTTCATCTTCCTGGAGAAGGGGGAAATGGAGCATAGCCGTTTTGGATGTACGACACCAATATGTTTGTTTTTACGCACTGTTTATTTTTTTAAAGGAAGGGCGCATAGTGTTACTCACTATTCACTGTTATTGCTGTTTGTAATGTTAGAGTAATATTAGGGGCAGGGTGTAAACAAGTCCAGAGGAACACAAAATGGAAATAAACAGGAAGCAAATGTTAAGGTCTAAACTAAAGCTGCCAGTCATCTGCCCCACTTTGTTAAATCCACCGGCCACCTAGGAAGATCTCTGCTTCCCAATGTTCCATTACTGCTAAATAAACAAAAAATACTTTGTTGTGTTGATGAAACATCAGGAGGGGGATGTCTTAAGCTCATTGCACAAATTCAAAATAATGTAGAAGTATCAGCCTGCAACTGAGTCTATCAAAATGAGAATGTGGGTTCTCACTTCTTTGTGGGTTTTGTTATGTACTGAAGTTCTCACCCTGGGCCAGCAGGGGGATACTGTAGATAGTTTTCACTCAGGTCCACATATGCAAATAAGGGATTGAAAGTGACGTTCAGTGATTGGATAGTTACAGAAAATGGTTACTGTTGCGTTCTAGTGGAGCTCTATATAAGCAGGCTGGCTGAACCCTTCAGTCCAGTTCTTTTCTGGCCTGTGAATAAACAAGAGCTGTTTGAAGAATCACTGTGTCGTCTGATATGTTCGCCCACAACTTAACAGGTTTTCTCATGCTGCTTTCCTTGAATATATATTATAATGCATATTATACCTAAAGCAGTCACATCCGGAGATTAAGGGTTGCATTCACTGTTAAGTCATATTTAGAAATAGATCCTCTGAACTTATTGGACATGACAAACAGGTCCACTGGTTTCAGTGCATATATACTGTTTGCAATATTTGTGAACTTACTGATTTTTCTTTTAATATGTAACACAGTATATACAATAACTACCTAAATATGCGTCACTTCTCAAAATATTAGGCCTCATTCCGCCTCATGCCCCTAGGGTGCAGGCTAGTTGAATGTGGACATCCATAAGCATAACATCTACTTATTGCTACCCCAATTGATCTGATCCTGCTTAATTTGTTACCTGGAAGGATAGGATTTTGGAACAGCAGCTTACAGGGGCAGAGCAGTATAGAGAACTGTGCGTAAAGCTCTTTTGCAAACATTTAATTTTAAAAATATTGGTACTTTTGGTGAGGCAGCACAGCAGAATGTGGCAAATCAGAGGTGAAGCCTGGGGAGTTAAAAATGAGACATAAGAAAACTAGTTTTTGGGAAACTAGCATTTGCAAAAGTAACATTTTTGAAAAGAAATATTAAAAAAATTACAATTGTCCAGTAGCACCTTAGAGACCAACTAAGTTTGTTCTTGGTATGAGCTTTCATGTGCATGCACACTTCTTCAGATACAAAATGCACACAAAAGCTCATACCCAGAACAAACTTAGTTGGTGTCTAAGGTGCTACTGGACATTTTAAAATTTTTTAATATATATTTCTACTGCGTCAGACCAACACAGCTACCTACCTGAATTTTTGAAAAGGTGAGTTTATTTAACAAGCCTTTTGTTTAAAACTATGAATTGAAAATGGTAAACAACAATGCTAAGTTTGGTATTAGAAGAAAAACCTGAACTGAAATTTGAGTTTTATGCCTGGTTGCAGTTCCGACTACTCCGGCACCTACCACGACCACAAGCACCACGGTCCCAACAACTACAACGACCACAACCACGCCTCTGCCAACGACCACCACGACCAAACCATCAACTACAACACCAAAGCCAAAGTCTACAACCAAACGTTCTCCCAAACTTAAGCCCAAGCCCAAACCTAAACCCAAGCCTAAACCCAAACCCAAAATGAAACCTAAACCCATCCCTCCAAAGAAGAAAAAGAAGCAAAAGAAAGTGTCTCATGAAATTATGGAAGGTATGAAAAAGTACACGTGATATGGACTTCTTAGAGCTGTGTGTAGATTTATTTTTTCTAAGTTCTGTGATTCATCGTGATTTACTGTAATTGTGAGCCTTGAGAGAGATGGCAGGGTTGCAGAAAAGAAAATGGAACTCACTGAAGCTTCAATATATTGATGAATCCTTTTACTGATTCTCCACGCTCCATCTACCAATATTCTAAATGTCCTACCAGGTTGTGGCAAACTAATGCTGTAGTTCATATATCTGGAGCTTTTGCTACATAAAAGGTATATCTCTCTGTCCTGGGCTCTTTTAAGATTGCCTGCATAGAGTAAAGCCCTCTCTCTCTCTCTCTCTCTCTCTCTCTCTGTGTTTGTTTGTGTGTGTTTTAAACCACGATCCTTTATCCATTGCCTTGCTATATAGGAATTGATCTTGATAATACAGTGGTGCCTCGCAAGACGAAATTAATCCGTTCCGCGAGTCTCTTCGTCTAGCGGTTTTTTCGTCTTGCGAAGCAACCCTATTCGCGGCTTAGCGGCTATTAAAGGCTTAGCGGCTTAGCGGCTAAAAGGCTATTAGCGGCTTAGCGGCTTAGAAAAAGGGGGGGGAGCGAAAAAAAATCTCAAGACTCGCAAGACATTTTCATCTTGCGAAGCAAGCCCATAGGGAAATTCGTCCTGCGAAGCGCATCGAAAAACGGAAAACCCTTTCGTCTAGTGGGTTTTTCGTCTTGCGAGGCATTCGTCTTGCGGGGCACCACTGTATACTCATGCCTTGAAAATGGAAATACTTCTTGCAGACTAGTATTGGGGGAAGGGGAATCTATTTGTCAGGTTGATTACCTATCTTTCTTTCTTCTGAGTGTTTTGTGTGTGCCCACTTTCACTTGGCCAGGACCTCCCCACCCCTCAAGAGCCTGGGCATACCCATTGGGCTCACCACCACCTTTGAACACAAAAACACCATATCCTATCAAACTGCTTTTGAAAGTCATTCAGTTTCAAAAATAGTTTGCCATGTAGCCTGGGTAGAGGCTGGAACTCTTTTAAGAAACCCAAGCCCAGAGTATTCCAATATGTAAACTACTCTGGGGATTTTTATACATTAATTAAACAGCAGAATAGACAATTCTAACGTAAATAAATTTTATTTATAGATTCTTACATTTCTTCTGATGTAGAACCCAATGCACTATATGCCAGCTTTCTTTTTTCTTTTTTAAAAAAATATATTTGGTTTTTCAAATTAAAATTTTACAGAGCTATATCAAACATAAATCATCAAAACAAGATTCTAATAAATCTCCTGGACTTCTGTCATTGCCTTTGTGGGTTCTGTTATTAATCATTTCCTCCCACATCCTTTATGATGATCCAAATCTTTTACATCTCCCATGTGTCTAAAACGCACCCATAGATTACAAGTGATATTCCAGTCCTACTAACGATTTTAACTGTTTACAATGGTCTTTAAGTTATGAGTTTCCCCCATTCGTTATTGAAATTTTGGTCTTCCTGATTTCTGATTCTTCTGGTCGTTTTGGCCATTTCAGCATAGTCCATCAACTTCATCTGCCATTCTTCTCTGGTTGGGACTATATTTTGTTTCCATCTCTGGGCCCACCTTTCCCATGCAGTCACCCATATAAGTACTGACCCAGACTTTGTTAGCTTCAGCAAGATGGTGGTCGCAAGTGCCTTCAAATCATACTCTGAGATGAGTAACTCACCATGCAACCATTTGGACTGCAGTCTATCTGTAAAGTGCTATTCCACCAGTGGATTCAACAGTGCAACAATTGCCCTGATTTGTTGACTCACAAACACATACGACTTTTCCAGATTAGGAGCAGGCAAGTTTTCCGGTGCTGGTGGTCCATGCTGAAAATACATCACGAGGTTGAAGCAGGCAGTTGATTTGCACGTTTATTTTTCCGCGTCATTTCCAGAAACGTTCAAAATCGCATCAGGCTTCTTCCATTCACAATTCAGACTTTAAAATAAGACACTTTGAAAAGGGCCTTCTCTCTCTCTCTCTCTCTCTCTCTTAATAACTTTTTTATTCAAAATTAAAACAAAACATATTATCCAGAAACATATCATCCTTATTCCCCCCATTTTTCCTCCCTCCCCCCACAGAGGCCCCCCCACCCCCCGACTTCCCTCAGTTCCAGTCTTTGATTTCTCTAAAAATGCTGTTTTCTGCATGTTACACAGTTGTATAGATCCTCAAACTATTTAGCTGATTATTATCAATAAAAAGTTTGTGAATGTTTATTCAAAACCAGCCAAGGAGTCCAGTTCGCTTTCTTGCGTCTTCAAATACTTCGTAAAGGGTTCCCATTCATCTTTAAAGTCACAGTTATCCTTGTCCCGTAGCTTGTATGTCAGTTTTGCCAGTTCTGCATAGTCCATCGATTTTTCTTGCCATGATTCTTTAGTTCGGGTTGAAAAGGGCTTTCTCCAGTCTTCCAGCATCCCTCAAACGGGCTGAAATCCATTTGAGGCAAACTGTCAGGGCGTTGCATGCCAGCAGTGATTGGGATCAGAACCAAAAGAAGAAGAGTTTGGATTTGATATCCCGCTTTATCACTACCCGAAGGAGTCTCAAAGCGGCTAACATTCTCCTTTCCCTTCCTCCCCCACAACAAACACTCTGTGAGGTGAGTGGGGCTGAGAGACTTCAGAGAAGTGTGACTGGCCCAAGGTCACCCAGCAGCTGCATGTGGAGGAGCGGGGAATCGAACCCGGTTCACCAGATTACGAGTCCACTGCTCTTAACCACTACACCACACTGCCCCCCCCGCTCTTTTGCTATGCCTTCTTTCTCTTCATTCCCCCACTTTAGGAGTGCATGAAATTAGGGTGGGGGTCACAGGCCCTCCTGGAAGAAGTTGTCTCAGAACTGTATTCTGTACAAATTTTCTTTTTATGCTGATTGTATGTGCTTGACCGTAGAACATTCTGAACAGTCCTCTTCGTCCTCCTCCTCCTCGAAGATTCGGAGAACAATGGCTTCGTCAACAAATTCTGGTGATAAGCGCAAGAAGAAGAAGAAGGGTAAAACTGACGAGGAATTGGAAGAAGAAGAAGAAGAAGTGAATGGTAAGTTTTGCAATGACGTTTAATCAGCCAGGAGAAATGGTTTGAAAGAAGCAGAACAAGTGAGGTTTCAAAAAATAAAAAACCTATTAATAAAATCCCCACCCCTGCTCTAATGCATCTTTCTTCTTTCTTGAAAAGTAATATTAACAGAATATATACACAAATTCCAGTCTTAAAGGGAAGGGTGTCACTGGTTATATACCCAAGATGCAGAGAAGAACTATGTTTTCAGAATTTCAAAACATCTCAGAAAAACTCTAAAAAGGACAGATGCACATCCCCCCTAAAACAGTACAGTGGTACCTCAGGTTAAGTACTTAATTAGTTCCAGAGATCCATACTTAACCTGAAACTGTTCTTAACCAGAAGCACCAGTTTAGCTAATGGGGCCTCCTGCTGCTGCCGTGCCGCCAGAGCACAATTTCTGTTCTCATCCTGAAGCAAAGTTCTTAACCTGAAGCACTATTTCTGGGTTAGCAGAGTCTGTAACCTGAAGCATATGTAACCTGAAGCGTATGTAACCCGAGGTACCACTGTACAGTGATGACTGAGCATTCTCAGTGGTCATGAAATTATTAATTAATTTGGATTAAATATGTAGGTTTAAATAAGTGTAAATGTAAGAGTTAGCTCTTGGAGGTTATAACAACTAACTTAAAAAAAAATATCTTAGGGTGCAGATTTTTGTGGAACTTGATCCTACAGATAGCTTCAAAATATATTTAGTTGTCTTACTGCTACAGCTCAAAAACTAGATTTCAGACGTGGAGATGCCACATAACTAGGTTCCATATGGGTCATTATTCCAAAATGATTTCAAAAGTCTATACTGGAAGAATCTGAGGTTAAATTTTCAAATACCATGTGGGATGGGGCAATACTCAAGGAATGCAGCAGAACACAAAGAATTATACTGTTAAGAATCTTGTTAACATTTATTTTTTCTTTTCCCTGAGCTACAATGAGATAGATCTGTTACACATCAAAAGCAGCAGGTTGGTGATAAGAACTAGCATTACTCTGTACAGTTCTACATACTATGTTTATATATATGTTTATTGTAATAAGTAGAGCATCAATTTCATAGCGGTCCTCATGGCAGTTTCTGACAAATCGCCATTAAAGAGCTATAGAGACAACCATGCTAAAAGGTTTCAAAAGCATGACCAAATGTTTTAATGGTGACACTCACACAATAACCTGACAATTAACCTCCCTCTTTTGTTTTACCCAAAGAATCATCAAAGTCATCATTAAAATCTTTAAAATCCAAAGCTGTGAAAGTGATTTCAGAGGAGGATGGCAGCGGAATAGACAATGCAGTGACAACAGTAGCTACCACGTCGACAACAACACAGCCTTCGACCACAACCACCCTGCCTTCAACTACAACCATGACCAAGCTGCCCACGACAACGACCACAACAAACCTACCTACGACCACGACGAAGACTACGACGACCACCACAAAGCTTCCTACCACCACCACAACACAGCCTACGACGGCAACGAAGCAGCCAACAACCACGACCACAACAACACAGCCTACGACAACAAAGCAGACAACAACCACGACCAAGCAGCCTACAACGACGACCACCACAAAGCTTCCTACTACCACAACGGAACTACCTTCTACAACCACAAAGCAACCTGACACAGAGAAAACAACCCCAGGAAATAAAGGTATTACAACAACTCCTTTGTCTGAAGATCATGTTAGCCAAAGCCCATCTCCCCAACCTGATAAGGTGACCACATCCAACAGAATTGCTACCACAAAACCATTAAGCTTGCCATCCAGCACTACTTCTGGTATCACTGAGGCATTGATAATGTCTACTGTGGCTAGTGATAGCATAAGCAAAGACACGAGCTCTGCTTTGAAAACCACCATTATTCCACCTAAAAGTACAACAACAATATCCAAGAGAGACACCACTACTGTAGCTATGGAAGCAACATCAAGAGCTGGTACAAAGACCAGTGCAGATAGCCACGTTGCAACAACAGTGGAAAATAATAAAGCAACAGATGAAACTAATAGACGAGATATAACTACTGCAAATAAAGAGACTGTAGTAACAAACGAAGACACAATTAGAAATGCAGATACTTCAATAACTGATAAATCCATCACAACAAACACAGTAACTGAAACAGCCACAGGTAATACAGATGCAACAACACAAGCCAGGAAAGACACTGCTACTGTAGTTGGAGAGACTGTAACAACAGGAGAAACAACAGGCAGTCAGACCATAGTAACTACAACAACGAATGCCCCGACCGGTGAAGAGACCACTGCTGCAGATAAGAAAACAACATCTGTAGAAGAAACAGAAGCCAAAGCTTCTAGTCAGGAGCTAATTACAGAAGATAAGGAAACCAAAAACAGTAGGGTTTCTGATAGAAAAAAGATAACCACCCGTCTCACAGATTCAGCTACAGCTGATTCAAAAGAGACGGATGTAGGTGATAAAGAGACAACTACACTTGTGAAAGAGACGACTATAGAGAATAAGGAAACGGCAACAAACTCTAAAGAGAAATCTGTTACCAAAAAAAAGAGTTCTACTATTATTGAAGAAATAAGTACATCTGCTGAAATGACGGCTTCAGAAAACCCCAAAGATTCAAGCACGACTGCATTTACTGAGAGGATGTCAACTACAGAGTTGGCAACCTTAGATGATGGCTCTGTTTCACCATCGGGTACAAAAGGCACAGACACAAAAGAAATAGGAGTTACATCTCAGACTGTCAGGGAACCTAAGCCAACTCAGAAATCAACTAATGAGCCAGTTAACTCGGTGAGTCCACAAGACCAACAAACAAACTTATTCTCAACAACACCTGCTACTCTGTTCACAGATACACCTCAGTCTGAGGGAAATTTTAGAAGTGCCAGGACAGAAAGGAGTACTACAGTCACAGAGACAATAACAACACAGACTGAGCCGCCAAGTGACTTAGGCAATCTTGATGATAAAAATGGCAGACCAGAAATTGAGAGTCCAGAAGGAACAACTATCAATTCAGAAACAGCAATTCAGGGAGATCTAACAAGTGGCACACCTACTCCTGATAGTAATGTTCAGGGTGACAAACCAGAAGAGACCACTGCAGTTGCAGATACATCGATAACAAGTGACACAGCAAATTCTAATGATAAGACTGACAAAGTAGAAAGTGGCACCAGCATTACTACTACTACTACACAGACTGATCTAGGTGATACAACCAGTCCTGATGGTGTTGATAAAGGTGACAAACCAGAAGGGACTTCTACAGTCAGTGAGACAACAATAACACAGACTGTTCCAGGTGACACAACCAATCCCGATGGTACGCCTGGAGTCCCAGGGACATCAATAACACAGACTACTCCAGGTGATGGAACTAATCCTGATGAGGTTGATAAAAGTGATAAACCAGAAGGGACCACTACAGTTACTGAAACAACAATAATACAGACTGATCCAGGTGACACAACCAATCCCGATGGTACGCCTGGAGTCCCAGGGACATCAATAACACAAACTACTCCAGGTGATGGAACTAATCCTGATGAGGTTGATAAAAGTGACAAACCAGAAGGGACCACTACAGTCACTGAAACAACAATAATACAGACTGATCCAGGTGACACAACCAATCCCAATGGTGTTCCTGGAGTCCCAGGGACATCAATAACACAGACTACTCCAGGTGATGGAACTAATCCTGATGAGGTTGATAAAAGTGACAAACCAGAAGGGACCACTACAGTCACTGAAACAACAATAATACAGACTGATCCAGGTGACACAACCAATCCCAATGGTGTTCCTGGAGTCCCAGGGACATCAATAACACAGACTACTCCAGGTGATGGAACTAATCCTGATGAGGTTGATAAAAGTGACAAACCAGAAGGGACCACTACAGTCACTGAAACAACAATAATACAGACTGATCCAGGTGACACAACCAATCCCAATGGTGTTCCTGGAGTCCCAGGGACATCAATAACACAGACTACTCCAGGTGATGGAACTAATCCTGATGAGGTTGATAAAAGTGATAAACCAGAAGGGACCACTACAGTTACTGAAACAACAATAATACAGACTGATCCAGGTGACACAACCAATCCCGATGGTACGCCTGGAGTCCCAGGGACATCAATAACACAGACTACTCCAGGTGATGGAACTAATCCTGATGAGGTTGATAAAAGTGATAAACCAGAAGGGACCACTACAGTCACTGAAACAACAATAATACAGACTGATCCAGGTGATACAACCAATCCCGATGGTACGCCTGGAGTCCCAGGGACATCAATAACACAAACTACTCCAGGTGATGGAACTAATCCTGACAAACCAGAAGGAACTACTCCAGTCACTGAGACAACAACACAGACTAACCCAGGTGACACAACCAAGCCTGACAGTGTAGATAAAAATGACAAACCAGAAGGGACTACTACAGTCACAGAGACAATAATAGCACAGACAGATCCAGTTAGTGGAACACCCAGCCCTGTTGGTGATGATAAAGATGATAGGCCAGAAGGGACTACTACAGTCACAGAGACAACAATAATACAGACGGATCCAGGTGATACAACCAAGCCTGATGGCATTGATAAAAGTGACAAACCAAAAGAGACTACTACAGTCACAGAGACAACAATAATACAGACTGATCCAGGTGACACAACCAAGCCTGACGGTGTTGATAAAAGTGACAAACCAGAAGAGACTACTACAGTCACAGAGACAACAATAATACAGACTGATCCAGGTGACACAACCAAGCCTGACGGTGTTGATAAAAGTGACAAGCCAAAAGAAACTACTACAGTCACAGAGACAACAATAATACAGACTGATCCATCTAGTGGAACACCGAGCCCGGTTGATGATAAAAAAGACAGACCAGAAATTATCACTACAGTCAAAGAGACAATAGTTACCGTGACAACCCCTCAAAGTGGTACACCCAGCCCTGATGGTCCGAATGACAGGCCTGAAGTAACTACAATAACAGAGACTATAATAACAGAGATTAATCCAATCAGCCCTAGCAATGCTAATGAAAACATTCCTTCAACTAGGAATCCAGAGACCTCAGAAAAAACAACACCAAACCCCAAGCCGCCAAATGATCAGCCGAATCCCAAAGGCGATGAGAACGGTGACAAACCAGATGATACTACAAAAGTAACAGAGACAACAACAATAATTACACAGCCCAAGTCACCCAGTGAAACACCAAGTCCCAATCAAAGTGACAAACCAGACAAGCCAACTCAAGTCACACAGACAACTACTACCATCAAAACAGAATCCAAACCACTGAGTGATTCCCCTAACCCTGAGGAAAGTGACAAGCCAGATAGCATCACTACAGTTACGAAAACAACTACAACTACCACAACAGAATCAAATCCCAGTTCACCTAACCCCGATGACAATCCTAAAAATGGCAAGTCAGAAGTTATCACTAAAATTACACGGATAGTAACAACTACTACAACTACAACCACCACCCAATCAAATACAACTGACCATCCAGAAACAACCACCCGTGATGTTACAACTAATACAAAAATTGATCTTGTTTCAGATAGCGAACCCACCAAGGAAACTCCAACTAACAAGAATACAAACACTACAGTAACACAGGTGACTACAACTTCCTTGAAAACATCAAAAACCCCTGACACCCCATCCTCGACTGTGGACAAGACTACAACGTATACCTCCACTTTGCCCACCATACTTATACCTACAAAAAGAAAAACTACGACATACTCCACAATCTCTAGCGTAAGGCTTCCCGAGTGGATTACCAACCTAACTGCAGAGTATGTTCGACCAGAAAAGTTTGTCACACCTCTGTTGTACAAAGGTATGATTACTACTACTTCTTTTATTTTATTTTTACACTTTTTAAATTTTTAAATTTCTTTTAATGCAATTGAGATAGATAGATAGATAGATAGATAAATAAATAAATAAATAGACGATAGATAGATAGATAATTGAATTTTAGGGTGAGTTTTTTGTTATGTTAAAAAAAGAACTGTGTATCAATAACTGTGCTGGTCCCGAGGGCTAACCGTGCGGCGAGGTCCAAGGTTGAGGGTGCGGTATGGAGGCTGTCCGTCAAAGCTGAAGCGGGGTCCAAGGCAGGGAGTCAGGTGAGGTCAGGAACTCTGGCGAAAGAGCAGGACAGGGTGCAGGCAGGAACAGGCTACCAACAATGTTGCTCCTGCAACCTGGGACTGGGGCTGGCTGGCTTTTATCTGCCCCGAGGCATAGGGCGGCCCCGGTCCACAGGTGACTCGCCTCTCCTGGCCTGGAGGCAAGCACTCCTCCTGCGGGAACTTAGTTCCCTCTGCCTCTCTGCCCTGAGCCTCTGCAGCTCAGGAGAGGCTGGAGGGTTACCGGACCCAGAGGCAACCTCAGCTTCCCCTGACAGGGCTGAGAGTGGAGCACCTGCAGGCAATGGGTCCTCCATCACCTCAGAGGCCAGAGCAGACTCAGCTGGTGCCTGCACCTGAGGATCCAGCACAGGTGAGGACCCTTCAGGCTCATGCCCCAGCCCCAGCTCAGCTGGTTCTGGAGGCAGGGAATCCTGTGCAGGCTGGGATTCCTCAGGTTCAGCCTCCGAGTCCGAATCCCAGGCCATCACAATAACTCTCTCTGGAGTGAAGTTTTGAAGAGCTACATGGGATTCTAGAAAAAGTCAAAGGAGAAATGCCTCCTTTGTTTCCTCTCGAGTCTGAACATGCGCAGTCTTCGCTAATCTGGTGCCCTCCTTATGTTCTGTAATATAACTCCTACGGCCCCAGCTGACATGTAGTCTGAAATACCTGGAGGGCACCAGGTTGACAACAGATAAGCGATGGTAACATGACGGACGTATTTATGAAGGTATTTTTCAAATACAGTGTGGTCCCAGTTCATTATACAAAGTTTTATCATTAACATTTGCAATATTTAGTGTGAGAGGCTGGCTAGAATTGATTCCCCCCCCCCCCAGACATATGGGCCACAACATATCTGCATGCATCTGCTGGGTGTAAAAATATGAAAATGTGTAATAATGGCTGTTTTCATGTCCTCGGGGAGAAATAGCAACCCTTTGGTTAGAACAGGGGTTGGCAACGTGCGGCCCATGGGCCGGATGCGGCCCACGAAGACCGTTTTACCCGCCCCCTGTGCCGCCCCCGAGCCGCGCCGCCCGCTCGGCAATTCCCCTCGCTGCGCCGTGCTGGTTTAGTGCAGCACGCGGGGAGTCGCCGGGCAGTGCCGGAAATTGTGTGTGCACACGCGCATGTCCAGACGCTGAAGTGATTTCCAGCTCCGCGGACATGCACAGACGTGATTTCCAGCATCACGCTGTGCCAGTCCAGCCCACGGAAGATCTCTGTGGGAGTGATCCGGCCCATGGCTGGTAAACCTTGCCGACCCCTGGGTTAGAAAGAGAACTCCAAAATAATGCATGAGGTAACTGTTTAGTATTTTTAGATTTCCAGGTGACAAGCAGGATTGTGGAGTGAGATGCATTGGTTATGCTCTGTGCAACTGTAATGTACTGGAATAAAGGGCAAAAAAAGTTATATTTAGACAACCCTTTAGAATGCCCTACGTATAATAACCCTTCCCCTGGCAATATGTAGCAGGAGGATCCTTATACTTGCTTTTGACCATTCTTTAATAGTTTTCTTTGTGTTTTGCTTAAAGCTGAAGTCAAGAGTTTTGCAGATTCACACTTTACATTGTGGAGAACGTCTTGTAAAAATCAACAGGTGTTAATAATGCCATGTATGCTCATTCTTGCTCATTCGTGTTGCTAACATAGTCTCCGTGATAAGTCAGTTTTACATTGTCTGCCCTGAAGTTCCACAGTCTGATGAGGTGATGAGCCCCAGAACCAACACCATAAAGCACTATTCGTCCCACATGGATAGGAGACTACAATACAGGTCCAGTGGAACGGGCATGGATTCACAACACCTTCAAGAACAGAAGTGGCCAAGGCATGCATTTGTGTTGCCAAGGTGCTATGAATCTGTCCCTATCCGGCCATTTGGATGCAGCAAGAACTGCAGACACAATTCATTGGAGTTTAAATCAGGCCACAACTCTATGGATTACAGATACAAATGAGTTTGGGCTTAGCATAGGGTAGCCCACCAAGACCTGCCGGAGGGTCAAGCTTGGTGTGGGTTAGACCTATGACATACCTCAAATAGGTACAGTGGTACCTCTGGTTGTGAACGGGATCTGTTCTGGAGGCCCATGAAAAGAGCGCAACCTGAAGCGCCGTATCTGCACAGGTGTGCGGCACGATTTGGTGTTTGTGCGCCTGTGCGAAGCGCAGTTTAGTGCTTCTACGCATGCGTGAGCAGCGAAACCTGGAAGTAACCCTTTCCGGTACTTCCGGGTCGCCGCGGGACGTAACCTGAAAGAACGTAACATGAAGTAAACGTAACATGAGGTATGACTGTACTACCCCACAGGCTTGCCATGCTGGGGAGTGCTATGGCCCTTGGCCCCTCCCTGGATGTTTGGATAGTAGCATCTCCCCTATGGATCCCTTTTTAAATTTTATTTTGACAAAGTAATAATCATAAATAAATAAGATTAAAAATGTGCACCCCACCACCGAGACCATTCCATTGTAACTATCCAACCTCCCAAAATTTCAACACCTCTTGCAATGGGGTGACCCCTTTCAGTTTTAACAGTACAAATTCTACAAACACCTCCCATTTCTCCTCAAAATCATTTCTCCTGCATATTCCCCATCTTATCTGAACGGCACATGTTAATTTATCATTAATAGCTATATCCCACACCTCTTTATACCATTCTTCCATTTTATATTCTGCTTGCCCCTTCCACTTCCTAGCTATCATAAGTCGTGCAGCTGTCAATAAATTTGTGAGCAAGTCCTTCGTAGCCTGTGAACCTTCCACCCCATCGTAAATTGATAATAATGCTACCTCTAGACTTTTGGTCAGCTTTAACCCAGTGATCTATGGATCCCTTTAATGGGATACCCCACCACCATGGAGGGGGAAACCCAGACACACAATGCCCTCTCTGCCACTGACTAGGAATATACCCAATGCCATATCCATCAAAGTTATGGCCATTGCTATGAGGAAGGCAAAACCCTCAGACAGGCCCAATTAGCCTGATAGGACAAATCCCTGCCTGCCCCGAATACGGCAACCATAAAAACCATAGCAAGGTCAAGCAAATACATTCAATTGCCAGCAAACCGTAAGACCACGACTGAGGGAGGGAGGGAAAACCGAAGCCAACTGTGGTCCTGAGCGAGGGACACATTGGCTTTTATTCCATCAGAGTGGACCTAGATGAGGACTCCCGAGGAATTGAGCCTGGGCCCAACCATACCCTCAGCCACACCTGTGGTTGGCCACAAACATGGGTGGGCACATTTGAATCCTGCGTCGGCCAGGAGAGGTTGGAACGTCTTCCAATCAGGCGGAGGAGACCAGGGGTGTGTTGCAGGAAGGGCGACAGGGTCAGAGGTGGCGGCGGACTGCAAACACTGTGTCACTGAAAGGGCGAGCAGATAAGTCTCATGCAGTGTGCAACGCACCCAGCTTCTATATATTACAAACCTAAGTGTCCAACTCTCACCTAATCCCATCTGCATGAATACACTGCACTCTTAACAGTACTAAAAAAGGACTTGGAATAACCATTGGTACCAACATGCAGCTGTGATGGCGGTGGCAAATCTTGATATAATCAGTGCCTTTATGTTGATTCAGCTCCACCAGAGGGTGTATCCATTCTCTAGCCTTCAGCCAGTTGGCGTGAAAGATCCCTGACAAAAATACACTCAGGTTGTATGTGTACAATTCAGAAATACTTTGCAAGAATGATGTGTTTCCTTAACATTTCCCACTTCCCCCCAATCCATTGCCATGTTAGAAGAGCAGAGAAGGGTGAAGAAGCCTTGTAGAAGAGCAACAGTCGCAATCATAGACCTGGCAGGTGTAATTTCAACTCCTAGACTGGAATTACACGCTAAGCTGTGTTGTATTTTACTTTCTTTTCCCCAAGGAGCTCAGGCATGATATTCTTACATTATGTTGGGAGGGGTGGGTAAAGTTAAGCTGACAGAGAGTGACTGGCCCACACTCACCCAGCAAAATTTATTGACAAGCAGGGATTTGAACATAAATCGTATGGGTCCAAATACAACCATCTTCTCAAGAACAACGGGTTTTTTTTCAATATGTGGGTATTTCTATGAGTACATTTAGCAATACATTAACACCAGAAAGCAAAAGATCCATGTGCCAGGAGGGATCCAGCTTCAGGTCGTTCTGTCTTTGCCAAAACCTGCCTCAGAGGATTGTTGTAAGGATAAAAATGAGTGGGACTGTACCACCTAACAGCTTCTTTAAGAAAGGGTGGAACAAGACTAATGAATTTGAGCGTTGCCAAAAATTATTCCTATATGAGCCCATACACCCAGTTGCTCATCTGCAATACAATAATGACCAATCTCATGCATATGAGTGGTAAAGAATATTAACACCACCTTCCAATAGACATATCAGTAGACTAAGCTGTATTTTTATTTTTTTAAAAAAGTTTTTATTTTATTGAATATGGTGTATCAAATGGTGCCTTTTGGGTTGATACGAATGTTAAGATCAAAGCTTTTGAAGACCATGTATGGTTGCATCTACACAATGGCTTCCCCCAATGAATCCTGGGAGATGTCGTTTGTTAAAGGGGCTGGTAACCGTGCTATGTGAAGGGTCAAATAAAATTTCCAAGATTCTTTGGGGGAAGACATGGCTATTAAAGTGCTCTAAATGCATGGTGCCAGAGAAGTATAGAGCTGGAAGGAATCTTTTTGACCATCTAGATCAGCGGTTCTCAACCTGTCGGTCCCCAGAAGTTGTTTGACTACAACTCCCATCATCCCTAGCTAGCAAGGCCAGAGCTCAGGGATGATGGGAGCTGTAGTCCAACAACATCTGAGGACCCACAGGTTGAGAACCGCTGATCTAGATCAATGTTTCCCAAACTTGGGTCTCCAGCTGTTTTTGGACTACAGTTCCCACCATCCCTGACCACTGGTCATGCTAGCTAGGGATGATGGGAGTTGTAGTTCAAAAAAACAGGTGGAGGGCCAAGTTTGGAAACACTGAACCTTATCCAACCCCCTGCTCAGTGTGGGAAATTTAGGGCCAGAGCATCTCCAACAGATTCTCTGTTTAGCCTTTGCTTTAAGACCTCTAGACTTTTCACCCCGATAAGTAATGTGTTTGACTGTCAAACTGTTCTTACTGGCAAGTAGTTTCTCCTCATGACAACTGAAATCTACCCTGTTGTAAACTTTAGCCTGTTAGACCCAGTCCTGCCTTTTGTTCCTTGCTCCTCTCCTCCAGGATAAAAATGCCCAGTTGCTCCAACCTTTTCCTCATAAGAGCTTGTTTTCCGTGATTGCGTATGGTCTGATTGGAGAGCAAATCACTGGATCCTTGAGAACCTTCTAGAACTGGTCAGTGCAAATATTTTGGAGAGGAGTGCTCAAAGTCAATTAGCAAGGAGTACATTAAATCTGGCATTTATCTTTGTGAGAATTATGTCCTTGGAACAAGTCTTAGGGTTAATGCCCAGTGAATATTGTTAGCATAAACTAAAGCGTTTAGGATTAACCTTTTTTAGTAGAGGATCCTTCACGATATAAAACTTAGAATTGTAAAATTAAAATGACTTATTTTGTACCAGATGTACCTCAAGAGATGAACTTATGCAACCGGAAGCCGGCAGATGGGATAGTCCCTTTACAAAATGGATCACTGGCTGTATTCAGAGGTGAGTAAGCAGACTGGTGAGCTTAATGGGTTGTTTTGTTTTTTTACAAAACATGACAAAAATGCAGAACATATTGTTATGTACATATCAGTCCCAGTTCAGATGAATGTGCTTTCAACTAAACACATACACACAAATGACTGATGGTTCTTGGTGGACAAGTATCCCCAACCTCACCCACATCAAAAATACACAGCCTGTCCCCCCCCTTTAAAAAGATACAGCCAGTACAATGGTACTTAAAAAAGCATGGAACTGCCAAGGGAGATGTACATCAAATAAGCCTACTTTCATAGAGCCATCTCTCTCACTGGACTGGGACAATTATGTTTCAATGGCCAAAGAACACTTGCCTTTTGCAGAAAATAGCTACCACCGTCTTCAAACCACCAAAAACAACATGTACAGGATTCCACAAATTGATGCATCAGGGCACCACTCTTGCCCCTTCTAGCAAGTACCCCTATATTGAGAAGGTTGAGTACTACAGAGAGACTGATTCCTGAGGATTAATCCATTCCCCTTTCTCCATATGTTCAACCTCTGCTTGATTTTGCAGGCCATTACTACTGGTTGCTGAATGGAACGAGTCCACCATCACCTTGCCCCCGTAAAATCACAGAGGTGTGGGGTATCCCCTCTCCCATCGACACAGTCTTTTCTAGATGTAACTGTGATGGCAAAACCTTCTTTTTTAAGGTGGGTCACATGAATTCCTCAATGTGCTTGACAGATCACCGACATGTTGACATTTGTAGGAGGCGATTATAACCTGGAGATCATCAATGTCGCACGAAAACAAAACAAATGAACAAACATAACCTGAATTTTGCAACCATAAAATGTCACACCCTGATTGCTTATATCCTTACTTACCATGCACCGGTTAATTGGTGATTGTTGGTTGTCCAAACTATTCTTTGTACAGATGGATGCGTTTTGTAGAATCTGTGAAGTTTTATTTCTGTTGCGGTTTCTGTCAGATGCAAGAAAGAAATTGTGCTTTTCTCTGAGGCGCTTAACTTGTGTCTGGGCTGTACAACTTCAGACTGTAGGCAGGACACACATGATCAAATGTTTCCCTAAACAAAAATAAAACAAAATGATTAATTCCACCCTCACAGAAAACTAGCACTACCATATCAGGGAGCAGGCTTCGTCCTTTTCCGACCAACATTATTTGAGCACGGCATAACAGCTGTCATTTTCTGGCTTGAAATACTTTCATGGCCATTTCTAGAGTTGAACTAGGATACAGTCCAACAATCTTAGTGGAGTTAAGCATGCCTAAGGCTGTAATTCAATGCACTGTTACCTAGGAGTAAGCCCAACTAAACACAATGAGACTTATTTCTGGGGAAATAGGCTCAGGGTTATGTTACCACTGTGTTAGATTGAGGCCACTGGTACAGAAGTTTTTCCAAGTGACCTTTTTATTGATCATTTATCCTGACTGGTTTGTACGAAGTTTGCAGGGTGCCTATGCAAGTCTGTTGTTCATTAACTCTTCATTCTCACTTGTTTGCAGGGAGGTGATACTGTATCCAGCAATAGCTCTCTCAAACTTTCCTTCTTGTACACTGCCCAGTTTTTAAAATACTGTATACAGTGGTACCTTGGTTTACAAAGATAATCTGTTCCAGAGGTCCGTTTGTAAACTAAAACAGGTTGTATCCCAAGGTGCGCTTTCGCCAATGGGGCCTAAAAAATAAATAAAAAATGTTCGTAATCCAAAAAAATTGGGTTGTAATCCAAAAAAAGGTTGCAAACCGGGACATGCACTTCCGGGTTTGACGTGTTTGTAATCCAAAACATACACAAACCAAGTCGTATGCAAACCAAGGTATGACTGTATATATTTTGGGAAACGGCTTTGTTGTGCAAGAGTGGTGAATTCACTTTAATTGTGCAGACCGAATTTATTGGTATGCAGTTGAATCCCACCCATGAAATAGAGAATGTCCGGAAGGACTTTAGGCAGCAGCAAAGATAAGGAAGCATATGCTGTATTCACCTTTAAACACAATAAGGAGTGGGAAAGTTAATGAGCACAAGGCAAAGCTGTCAGTCAGCTGCATAAATCTCAATATCTGATTTTTAATCAATTACATTGGCACAAATTTGGAAGAGAAAACCTTATGTGGAGGGAAAATACGTTGCAGAGTTAAAATATGTTGCAGAGTTCACAAAATATAGTGCAGAGGCAATTATATTCCACCCAGTGGAGCTTTTACTTGTGCTGAAGGCAAATGAACATCACGGTCACAAATCCAAATGCCTTCAGGATTAGCACAGTCCATAAAAAATCCAGTTGCAGCACTTGCAGAAACTTACAAACTTATCTTATGAGACCAAGACCTTAACACTAAGCATACCTATGTACAGAACAGAGATAGAAAGAGAAAGGGAAACCTAGGCTCCTTCTGGCCTATATTTATAGTCAGCATGACCTTAATTGGAAGAAGGTAAGAGAACCAGTTCAAATCAAATGTACTCAGAAATAACCCAAACAATCATGGCCCTTCTGTCTGCCTCTCTCACACAGAGAAGCTTCTAGAATCCTCTTGAATTCATAGGAATAGGAATAATCTCTATACATTAGCTCAGTACTTTATGAACTAAGAAATGCAAGCTGACACTCCCCCCATTTGTTAGTTGCAGGAAGTATTGATCTGCAAAACACTTATAGGAAAAAAACATTGCATGTACACCTTCCTTCTACATCTAGTTATGCAAAACACGAGTCAGCTCCTCCTGAAATTTACCTCAGGAAATGGGAAACACCACCAAGCATTCAGCTCAAGTCCCATAAAGACAGCTTCTGACCAGCTTACCCAACCTGCTTACTCCCCAGGAACACCTGGCACAGGCATTGCATTAAATAACGAGCGTCAATTACCACCAGCTGATCCAGCTTCCACCTTTAAAGGAGCATTTCCCAAAAAGTGGGAGTAGGACCTCTGTTCTTACTAAGCAAAACCTTTAGGTAGCTCACTTTGTGTCGTTCAACACTAGGGTTCTCTAAATAGCCAGTTCAAACCACCTGTACTCGGAAATAACCCAAACCATCATGACCCTTCTGCCTGCTTCCCTCACACAGAGAAGCTTCCAGAAGGGTTGTGATGGTTTGGGTTATTTCCGAGTACAGGTGGTTTGAATTGGTTCTCTTATCTCCTTCCAATTAAGGTCATGCTTAAGAAGGTTGAGCTGTTTTTTCTGGGAGTCAGGGTGTCTTTCTGCTACTCACAGAAGCATCTGGAAATACAGTGGTACCTCAGGTTACAGACACTTCAGGTTACAGACTCCGCTAACCCAGAAATATTACCTCGGGTTAAGAACTTTGCTTCAGGATGAGAACAGAAATCGTGTGGCGACAGCGGGAAGCCCCATTAGCTAAAGTAGTACCTCAGATTAAGAACAGTTTCAGGTTAAGAACGGACCTCCAGAACGAATTAATAACTGTTTTTCTGCTGATAAATTGCAGGGCTAGCAACAAAAGGCTAGGGTTTATTCTTGTAGAAGGAAGGTGTACATGAAAATCCCGCCCCCCTCAATAAGTGTTTTGCAGATCAATACATCCTGCAACTAACAAATGGGGGGGGGAGTGTCAGCTTGCATTTCTTAGTGCATAAAGTCTTGAGCTGATGTATAGAGATTATTCCTATGAATTCAAGAGGATTCTAGAAGCTTCTGGAAGCTTCTCTGTGCGAGAGAGGCAGGCAGAAGGGTCATGATTGTTTGGGTTATTTCTGAGGAAGCTCTGCTGGATGAAATACGGCCTCTGGTCTATTTTTTGAGAATTCTGCAACGTGTTTTAAGGTTTTCCTCCACACGTATGACAGTTTTGAAGAATAACATATTTTTCTCTTGTTTTCATTTGGTGCAGATATGCGTCACACAGGGATTCAGCTTAGAAACGACATCCTCCCCTTTCTTTCACATCTCTTATAAATGGTGCCTAAGCCATGCAGTTTTTTAGGAATATGTGTATTAACACACATGACATTTTTAAAGGGATACCTGACTAATTGGCAACACTATTCTAGTCAGCCACCTGCCCAGGTTTTTTGAACTGGCTGATCCATTAAACATTGCAGCCTTAAGCAAGCTTCATTTATAAATGTAACAACATTTCAGCCAGAATGACAGATCGGTTTTTGTGCACACCATTAATGTCTCTGAAGAAGAGGGAGAAACCACCACAGAGTTCGGCACCTGGTAAAAACATCTTAAAAATTAATATGGAAACAGCTTGAAGGACGGGAGTAGTTTCCAAGAAACACTAAAACGCTGCGCCACACCTCATATTAAATATTTCCTATTCCTCAGCTGGAATTTTAAATAGCGTTTGAAGCAGTTAGTGACCCCTGAAATGCCAGCAATCTGTGTTCATTATACCACAATATAATAAGGAAGTTTGTGGGAAGGGCAGGACATTCTGCTGAACGAATCCAAGGAATAACCTTCCAGGAAGCTGAAAGGAAGTGGGGCAGAAAATCTGGCTGCATGCGGTATTCTTGGTGACCCCTCAAAATTTTGCAACTGTTTGGGTCGTTGGGCTGGTTCTGTTTGGTGAGGTGAAAACCCTATTTTCTAGAGACGACCCAGATTTGGAGAAGCCGTCCTGGATTCTGATTTGATCCTGGAATGTCCCATTTTTCTTTAGGATGTCCCCATTTTCATTGGAGAAATGTTGGAGGGTATGGAGTTATCCACACACCCCCAAGCCATCGGAAGGCAACCCTATACAGTGGTACCTCGCAAGACGAATGCCTCGCAAGACAAAAAAACTCGCTAGACAAAAGGGTTTTTTGTTTTTTGAGCTGCTTCGCAAGACGATTTTCCCGATGGGCTTGCTTCGCAAGACGGAAACGTCTTGCAAGTTTGTTTCCTTTTTCTTAATACAGTTGCGACTTGACTTCGAGGAGCAACTCATAGAACGCGGTGTGGTAGGCTTTTTTGAGGTTTTTAAAGACTTTGGTGATTTCTGAAGCTTTCCCAAAACTTTCCCGACACCGTGCTTCGCAAGACGAAAAAAATCGCAAGACGACAAAACTCGCGGAACGAATTAATTTCGTCTTGCGAGGCGCCACTGTATAGGGAAGATTTTTTTAATGTTTAATGCTTTATTATGTTTTTTATATGTTGGAAGCAGCCCAGAGTGGGCTGGGGCAACCCAGTAAGATGTGTGGGGTATAAAATAGTAAAATTATCATGATGGAATGGGGTGCCCCTATTTTTATCGGAGAAATGTTAGAGGGTATGGCGGTGGCGCCGGGTTGATTTTAAGAGCCTTGCATATCTAACCTTTATTTGTGTAGCTTAAGCAAGAGGGTTTTGCCGTTGTTGTTTAAGCCAAATGCGAGAGCCAGTTTGATGTCGCATTTAGTGTGATGCTTTGGACCCAGTTTCAAAATCCCACTCAGCCCAAGCTACCTGGCAGGGCGGTTATGAAGATAAAAGGTGGACAGGAGGAACAATGGATAGTGCTTGGATCAACTTGAAAGGAAATGTGGGGTATAAATTTAAGAACAAATGAATCATATTTTTATATTCTATGAGGTATGCTCACTTACGTCTAAACAATTAACTGTGTTCCAGATCATTTTCCCCCACACTGTCTTCTGCTTCTTTCTTATGTTCTCAATACATGTTGCCAGCGTTTTTTTGCTTTTAAAAAGGACACACCTAAAATTGAAGTCTTGCAAGTAAGCCAAGCCTGGCAGTAACCTCAGTAGGTCAGATTCTGACGGCCAAATCTTGCCTGTTTTATTGAAAATGACCAGTTTTTTTGGTTTTTTTTAAAAAGTTAAGCTAATTCCTTCCATCTAACCACATATATGCCAGTGACCATTGGCACAGTCTATCTAAAGATACATTTGTTCATTTTGAAGTAAAGTGTTGGCACAGGTTTTCACTAATTTTTTTTTTTTTTGGCTAAATCTCAGGAAAATCAACATGACTGCAAATAGGCCGCCCTGCCCTAGCATTAGACAGATGGGGGCTTAATTTGCAAATGGGTAATTGGCAAGAGGCTACATTTTATTTACTGAATTTCCCCCAAAGAGGATAAATTTGGATTAAATGGGAGATGGGGAAATACTAACTGGTATTTCGATGCTAATATGTGGATGCTGCAACAAACAACAACACAAAAAACACGCATAGATGTGGAGGACACGTCCCCAATAGACACACAGTCCTCCCCAAAACAAAATGGCGGCCACCTCCAGTGATTCAAAAACAGAAAGCTCTATTTTATTTGCTGTTGTGAGGGGAAAAAATGGTTGAAAAAGTCCCTTCTTTTCCAGACACTCTTAAGTCTTCGTTGTTATTACTTTATGTCTATTGCTGGTGTGTTGCTGTAGATCAGGGGTCAGCAAACTTTTTCAGTAGGGGGCTGGTCCACTGTCCCTTAGACCTTGTGGGGGGTCAGACTATATTTTTGGGGGGGAATGAACAAATTCCTATGCCCCACAAATAACCCAGAGATGCATTTTAAATAAAAGGACACATTCTACTCATGTAAAAACACGCTGATTCCCGGATCGTCCAAGGGCTGGATCGAGAAGGCGATTGGGCCGGATCCGGCCCCCGGGCCTTAGTTTGCCTACCCATGCTGTAGATTAACGTGAGAAAATAAAGATAAAACGAATCCAGGAATAATTTTGAATTACTACAGCTAGTGGCCATACATATGCACAGACCCAAAGCAAAATATATACCGTATTTTTTGCTCTATAAGACGCACCAGACCACAAGACGCACCTAGTTTTTGGAGGAGGAAAACAAGAAAAAAAAATTCTGAATCTCAGAAGCCAGAACAGCAAGAGGGATCGCTGCGCAGTGAAAGCAGCAATCCCTCTTGCTGTTCTGGCTTCTGGGATAGCTGCGCAGCTTGTATTCGCTCCATAAGACGCACACACATTTCCCCTTACTTTTTAGGAAGGAAAAAGTGAGTCTTATAAGGCAAAAAATACGGTACTTAATGCTGGCTGGCTAGTTTTGTTTGTTTAACTAGCTTTGTGGAATAGAAAATAATAGGACAAGAGAAATACACAGGAAATACTGTACATTAAAAAGAACAGCATCACTAAATAATACTGACTCAGAGCCATGTGATGTCTGAGGCTGAATGTCATCTACAAGCTGATCAAAATTAGGGTTTTTGATGAGATGGTAATAATAATGTTTCTGCCTTTGTACTAAGCTCTCCCTTCCCCAAACAACTTGGGAATAATTCCTATTGAGGAAAAGGTGGTGATAATAAGGATTACCTCTAAAATGCCCCCCTCCCACCACCACAACAGCAGCAACAACATATGTCCACATTAAAGGCACGTAAGCCCAATGAAATCTACATTTAATGTTTGACGTAACTTCAGCCATTTTAATTCTCAGGATTCTCAGTACTGGCGCTTCACCAATGATAAAATGGATTCTGGCTATCCCAAGGCAATTGTAAAAGGATTTGGAGGACTGAATGGAAAAATTACAGGTGCTCTCTCTGTGGCTAAACACAAGAACAGGCCAGAAACGGTTTATTTCTTTAAAAAAGGTAAGATTTATATTTAGGGTGCATGTCAGATACATCGGAAACACCGGATAGAATCCAATATGTAAGGCCAGTGAGAGCCTTGCATATTTTTTTAAAAAAGGTAAAGGACCCCTGACCGTGGCCGACTCTGGAGTTGCGGAGCTCATCTCGCTTTACTGGCCGAGGGAGCCGGCGTACAGCTTCCAGGTCATGTGGTCAGCATGACTAAGCCACTTTCTGGTGAACCAGAGCAGTGCGCGGAAACACTGTTTACCTTCCCGCCGGAGCGGTACCTATTTATCTACTTGCACTTTGACATGCTTTTGAACTGCTAACTTGGCAGGAGCAGGGACTGAGCAACGGGAGCTCACCCCGTTGTGGGGATTCGAACCGCCGACCTTCTGATCGGCAAGCCCAAGAGGCTCAGCGGTTTAGACCACAGCGCCACCTGCATCCCTTGGATATTTAGGCTTGGTTAAAATAATACCAATTTTGAACATTCATCACAAAACTAAATTATCAGATATACAGTACAGTGCATTGTGTGGTCTTGGATCGATGCCTGGTATTCTAGCTGGCACTGAAACAAAGCCATTTTTTCTCAATTATATCTACATAAATTTACAAGAGAAATAAGAGTTTTGAAAGGGGAGGGGAAAGCATATTGTTTTTAAAATTATGCATGCACATATCACAAAGGTTGCCACCTTGGAAGAAACATTCTGTAGATGGAGACATTCTTCTAAGATGGAAACTATTACCGGACTTGTAAATACTTGTATGAAAAAGGTAGCTTTGAAACTATCTGCTGCCTAATTAATAAGGGATACTTTAATTGATCAAAAGCTTTAAAATCTTTTGGTTGTTATAGTACAACATTATACACACAGTAAACCCATTGAAATTAATGGACCCAAGTTAATTGTGTCTATTATTTTCAAAGGATCTGCTCTGTGTAGGACTAACATGCAATATAACCCAATGGATTTTATATATTAAACATTGCTAATCTGTAAAAACTGAAACAAAATGTAAACCTTTTTTTGTCAAAGGGTGTTTAAGGAGATAACAGAAATCACTGGCTTAAAGCTGACCAAAAGTCCAGAGGTAGCATTATTATCAATTTACGATGGGGTGGAAGGTTCACAGGCTATGAAGGACTTGCTCACAAATTTATAGACAGCTGCACGACTTATGATAGCTAGGAAGTGGAAGGGGCAAGCAGAATATAAAATGGAAGAATGGTATAAAGAGGCGTGGGATATAGCTATTAATGATAAATTAACATGTGCCGTTCAGATAAGATGGGGAATACGCAGGAGAAATGATTTTGAGGAGAAATGGGAGGTGTTTGTAGAATTTGTACTGTTAAAACTGAAAGGGGTCAAACCATCGCAAGAGGTGTTGAAATTTTGGGAGGCTGGATAGTTATAATGGAATGGACTCGGGGTGGGGTGCATGTTTTTATTCTTATTTATTTATGATTATTACTTTTGTAAAAACAATTTTTTAAAAAATGTACAAAATATAAAAAAGAATGAAAAACGAAAACAAAAGACAAAAAAAAAGCCTTAACAACTGATTAAGTAAATTGCAACCCTAGTTCAGGAGTTAAAATATGAATATACCGTATTTTTCCGTCTATGAGACGCCCCGATGTATCAGGGTGGACCCCAATTTAAGAAAATGGGGGGGGGGAGATGTATCTGTGTATAAGACGCGCCCAAATTTTTGACATTATTTTTTAGGAAAGAAACCTAGTCTTATACACGGAAAAATACGGTACTGAGTTTTGGAAATGTCAGTTGTGACAATGCAGACTGTACAATTGGACTGTCAATTTATAATTATATACTAACATCACGATTGATCTAATGTTCTGAATCAGAATCAGTTGTAAGGGATCCCTCTGCAATGCAGAAACCACGGCTCAAATATCCCTGACAGGTGGCCATCTGACCTCTGCTTAAAGGTAAAGGGACACCTGATCATTAGGTCCAGTCGTGGCCGACTCTGGGGTTGCGGCGCTCATCTCGCTTTATTGGCCGAGGGAGCCGGCGTACAGCTTCCGGGTCATTTGGTCAGCATGACTAAGCCGCTTCTGGCGAACCAGAGCAGTGCACGGAAACGCCGTTTACCTTCCCGCAAGAGCGGTACCTATTTATCTACTTGCATTTTAACATGCTTTTGAACTGCTAGGTTGGCAGGAGCAGGGACCGAGCAATGGGAGCTCACCCTGTCGCGGGGATTCGAACCGCCGACCTTCTGATCGGCAAGTCCTAGGCTCTGTGGTTTAACCCACAGCGCCACCCGCGTCCCTTGACCTCTGCTTAGAAACCTCCAATAAAGGAGAATCTGCCTCCTTGAGGGAGTCTTTCCCACTGGGGAAAAGATTTTACCACCAGCTTGTTCCAGGGTGCTGGGAATTGTAGTTTTGTGGGGTCCAGGCCTTCCTAGCAGGGGATCTGAACCTGTAACAGTGCGGTGGGATATCGTTTCTTGCCTTGTGCCTTCAAATACCTTCACCGATACAATCATATCTGATCTAGGTGGCAACCTCCAGCAATATACCTACAAACAAGGAGGAACGAAGAAATGCAGCAAAAAGAAAGTGGTGACTGTGAACTATCCGGCTTACAAACCAAAAGCTGTGATTAGGAAAAGGCGGAGGCGCTTTGAACGTTCAGTAAGACCGGCTCAAATTCTCCGGACCGTCAGAGTCCAGCATCGCCCAGTTGTTCAGTTCAGGCACCAGCCAACTGGTATGTTCACCGTCTTGTACTGTTAATAGTCTACAATCAAGCGGTGAGGATGTTTAAATCATGTGGAATTAAAAATGAAGCGGTCTGTGTGCATGACTGCAGTATAGCTGTTTCAAACATTATATAGCAGGCTTCCTCAACCTCGGCCCTCCAGATGTTTTTGGCCTACAACTCCCATGATCCCTAGTTAACAGGACCAGTGGTCAGGGATGATGGGAATTGTAGTCCCAAAACATCTGGAGGGCCGAGTTTGCCTATGCCTGCTATATAGCAGGGACGTCCAACTCCCAAGAGACTGCAAGATGCTCCCAGGAAAAAAATATGGCAGTGATCTACCCATTTTTTGGGGGGGAGGGGGAGTTCAGAGTTGTCAGAGTTGTGGAGCTCACCAAAACAAAAGCTGGTCAGCGCTAACTCCGTCTTCCGGTTTAGCGATCCTGCGCGACTGAAGGAAACAACGAGGGTGCGGGGGCGGAAATCGGCTAGAGATCAACCGGTTGGACATCCCTGCTATATAGAATGGATTTTCCCCACCTACGCTATTTTTTGGGGGGAATATTTATATATATATAAAAGCAACATATGCCTTTGTTTCATGTGTTACATGCCCAATGGTTATAAACACTTCAGTGATTTGATAGCCTCTCTTTCCTAATGTTTCCTTTTGCTTTTGCAGGAGTCTTGCAGCCAGAGGTCAAAGTTGCCTCATATTGGAGAGGATTCCCAAAAGAAGTGAATTCTGTTATATCGGTTCCAAATGATCAGAAGCCAGATGGTTATGATTACTATGCTTTTTCTAAAGGTATGTTGAAGCTAAAACATCACTACTGCTGCCACCAAGACGGGAAAATATCTATGGCTAGTTTTTAAAAATTAATTTTGTACTCCAGTTCAGTTCAATAACGAAACGGACATATACTACTTGTCTTTTCCCCTCTTAATTTTTACAAGGGATCCCCTCAAAACACAGGTCATCTCTGTGTTCTGTGGTTTGGTTATCTTCTGTAAAAATCATAAAGATCCAGGATTTGTGCATCTTGGACCAATGTTTCTAAGGGTGCTAGCAATTGCTGCATCCGTTATTTTTTACTGTGCTGTCTGTTACTGTAAAGTTCACGTTGTGTCCTTTTGGTAATTTGGTGTGAAATCATGAAAACTCAAGAGGACTTGGATCTGAGTTTTACACTGACCTCTTGGAAAAATGAAGGGCATTTGTGGCTGAGTGCACATTTTTTCTCAGGGGTGTAGAGGTGGTGCTCACGATGTACAGTCGAAATTCCAAATGTGCCCACAGACTCAAAAGGTTTGGTGGCACTTGATTTAAGGCTACAGTACTAACCAACAGCTCTAAGGAAATGTGCATTTGCAATAGAATCTATCCTCCGCTGTAGGACAGTGGATAGTAAAGGTAAAGGGACCCCTGACCATTAGGTCCAGTCGTGACCGACTCTGGGGTTGAGGTGCTCATCTCACTTTACTGGCCGAGGGAGCCGGCGTACAGCTTCCGGGTCATGTGGCCAGCATGACTAAGCTGCTTCTGGCGAACCAGAGCAGCGCACGGAAACGCCGTTTACCTTCCCGCTGGAGTGGTACCTATTTATCTACTTGCACTTTGACGTGCTTTCGAACTGCTAGGTTGGCAGGAGCAGGGACCGAGCAACAGGAGCTCACCCTGTCGCGGGGATTCGAACCGCCGACCTTCTGATCAGCAAGTCCTAGGCTCTGTGGTTTAATCCACAGCGCCACCCACGTCACAGTGGATAGTAGGGATTCACATTTAAGTCAAGATTTCCTGCTTGTGGGACTTGAATGAGACTTTTATCTTTATTTCCCCTCCTTACAGATCAATACTACAGCGTGGACGTGGGCAGCAGAATAGCAAGACCAGTCACACTACAGACTGGGCAGACTGTGTCCGGAGCCTGGTACAAGTGTCCTTTAGAGTGATTTGGAACCTCCAAGAGTTGAAACAGAGACACCATTGCGTTTGACAATTTCCTCTAGTTTTTATTAATAAAAGACATAATGAAATATCCATACATCGATCCAAATTGAAAACAAACAAAAAACCTGCTTCAAGCTTGCCAGCCATTACACAAATGCAAGTAAGAGCAAGACTAGACAGACAGTATACACTGTTTTAATTTCTACTGAGCTTTAATTAATATTGCCTCTGTTCAAGCCTCCTCTGCCACCTGGAGTTACACCTGCAAAGGGAAAGGAAGAGTATTAATATACACTTTTGTTTCAATTAACTGCTATTAGCTATTAACTACGTTAATATCAGTTTTAAAGGATTCTTTCGAAGCCTGCCCGCCACAAGTCTTTTGGGAGAGTAATGTGGGGGTACAGAATGGCATCCCTGTAGCCAGAAGGAATAAGCACTCCATACATAATCTAGTATTAACACCTATTTTAACCAATTCAGAAACAGAAGGCTGTGCCGGAAATACTTTCTAGTTCCTTGAAATTGTTATGACAACTAGATTTACTCCTGCCTAATGGCTATGGAAACAGTTCACTCTGTACTGACTGGCAGATTGATACTAACAATTAATTACTTGGAATTAATACACTGCCTCTGACAAGATCTTTAATTCTTTTCTTTAGTATGAGCTTTCAGATTCTCATTTCTTTTTGAGATCTAAGTTCAGCTGAGGAGTTTCTTATATTTATTTGTTGCTAGCTACTGCCACTCGCATCCCTTTATAACGGCGGTTCTCAAACTTGAATCTCTGGGCCACACTTTCAGAATAAAAATTTGTTCTTGCCACACCTAATTTTTAATTGATAAGCAATACATTGGAAAACACAACTAGGATCGTCCTCAGTATCACTTGATGCTCTTGCTCTCATTTTGAAAAGATCCAGATTATGCAAATAAATAATAATAATGCTTTTGATACAACACTACACTGAAAAGTTTAAATGTTTCTTTGATTGTCCTTGAATCTTCCTGCCATACTTGCCATCGCCAGACCCTTTGAGAACCACTGCTTTATAAGAACGCCACATTGCACCAGATCAACTTTAAATTATGCTATTTTCCTTTTAAGTCAATCAAGTACCTTAGCTGATATATATATGTTGTAAAGTCTCTGGGGTGAATAATCCTCATTATTCAACGTCTATAAGCCCCCTTGCATGTTTTGGTGGCTGCAATACTATGCAATACATACACTTATTTGCAATCCTACAGAGTTTAACACATCTGTGCAAGAAATGAAGGAAACCTACCCCTCTGTCTGTTAAACTGACGGCCAGTTCTTAATGTTGTTGGCTGCAGTCTAACTCGCCGGAAAGGCTTCGGATGATTACTGCTTGTGTCTGAAAAGGAAACCGTATGGGACAAAATGCCATGGCTGTAATTTGACTTTGTCATGCAAGTTAAGTGTAATCATGGCTGATTTTCAATATGCAATCTGTTAACTTCAGTTTTATACTTCAAATCTGTGAGGGCAAATAAAATATCTAACTGGAAAAAGTAAAAAACTGGCTCTCAACCTTCTACATGCTGCTAGCTAGCTAATGGCTAGCAGTGAACGTTTTATGTGCATCCAATTGACGTCCACATGCTCATCACTGCGGACCTGGAAGTGGCCCCAAAATGGGGTGTAACTAGGGTGGGGGTGCAAACGGGGTTTGGCTGTACTCCATATTAATCAACAACACACACAGGTGCCTGTGTTGAGGATTTTTACTGAAAGAAATAGAAAGCAAAAGACTCCTGGTGTTGCTTAAAATTATAAGCACATTGCTTGGTCAGAAGGATGGAGAATTACTGGTCAAAGGTTTGAGGACCTAGGTTGTTCTACACTAATATTTAGACCAGAGAAGACAATATTTATCTGGATCTCCTTTCCATCACTTAGAAAGATCAGATGAATGTCCTCCTTCCACATACTGAACAGACCATGATTTCTCCTCCATGGATGCAGACAAAATAGTGACAAGGAAAATATGAAAATCAAACAGAAAAGAACCAAACTTGTGGGGTTTAACTATCCTAATCTCGCAGCCCTCCATCAGTGAAAGGTCAACAGTACTTTATCCAGACTAGGGTTTCCCAAACTTGTGTCTCCACCTGTTTTCGGACTACTATTTCCATTATCTCTGACCACTGACCCTGCTAGCTAGGGATGATGGGAGCTGTAGTCCCAAAACAGCTGGAGACCCAAGTTTTTGAGAAACCCTGATCCACTGAGATTTGATGGAACCGAACCCTACCTGCAGATGAACTAGAAGGAGGATCTTGACTTGTGGATGGGAGATCTGACTCATCAGGAGCTTGAGATGATTCTTCTTCCTGCTGACTGTCTATTTCTAGACCAACCTCTGAAGTAATTCTAAAGGAAAATGGGAGACACACAATGAATTTGCTAGTCAAAACCTCAGGATGGCACAGGAAATTGTGTAGCAGGGTTCCCCATCTCCAAACTTTTTTCCACAGTTAAGGGTTTCGACATGACCAAGAACAGAAGTGAACTCCCTTTCTAGCTCTTTTATTTAATCTGAAAGCACATCATGCTTAAATCCTTGTGCTCACTAACTAGCAATGGTACAAGGTGACAAAGATTCAGTGATGAAATCTCTAGAAATTCAGTATCTATGTACTAGGAAATATCAGGGGTGTATATGTGAAGGGAGAATTTGTGGGACACCATTTGAACAGAGGTTCACCATGAGGGATTCACTGATAAGGATCCTGGCATTAAGAACTGAGCCTCCTGCTACCTGTGTAACCTTAGCTTTTCATTTTCATAGCCAAATGCCGAGTTCTGTGTCTTGTTTACACTAGAGTCTTACAAAATGTGTGGCATTCCAGCTTTTTCAGTGGGGTGAATGAAGGTTTCAGTGTGTGAGGTTGGAATCACAGCAACATTCAAAGGTCTGCTCTTGGGTATAATCTGTTACTGGTTTTCTGCAGTTACATTCGTTCCCCCAACTATTTTGCTGGTGTTCATGATATCGAAGGTGTTCAAGATTAATTGCACCCAATAAAAATCTAGCACGGTGTCACTCCCAAAAAATATTTACGGTATGTTAGCAAGAGCTGCTGCTCCCAAAGAAAAGCTCTATCGAATGCATCTGTGCCTGAAAGCTTGGCAGGGAAATTATTGAGCTCATCTATCAACAACAGCACTGAAGACCACACATTACTGATGAAAAAAGGAGTGCATGGCTGCCAAGTATTAGCAATACCCAAAGAAACATGATATTTGGTGTGTGTGTTTTTCTAAAAAAAGTTTCTGACTGCTTACTATTGCTGCCAAATAGTTTCTTACGCTTCTCAATTTGAGCCGCCTATACATTTTAACATCTTTAATGCCAAACGATACCCAAATCAAACAAGACCAGTTTGACTGCTGTTTTTGACTGCATTTTTGAGAATCACGCCATGAGGTAATGTAATACAGATGAAAGCAATTATCTCTCTTGCCCTGGCAACTCCATTTAAGAACTGTAGCCTGAAAGCAGTTCACATGTGAAGTTAAAACCTCCCCTTGCAAATGAGGGAACAGAAATACCAGTTCATCATACAAAGTCACAACATTTATATAGTACAGTGGAACCTTGGTTCTTGAATGCCTTAGTACTGTAACATTTCAGCTCCAGAATGCTGAAAACCCAAAAGTAAGTGTTCCAGTTTTCCAACTTTTTTGGCAGCCAAATGTCTGATGCAGTTGTCAGCTATTGTTTCTGGGGCGCCTGCACCAATCGGAAGCTGCGCCTTGGTTTTCGAACGTTTTAGAAGTCAAATGGACTTCCAGAATGGATTCGACAACCAAGGTTCCACTGTAGTTCAAAAAGCTTTACATACATGATTTCCATTACCCTTACAACAACCAGTGAGGATTTAAAGCTAGTCTCCTAGGTCGTAGTTTGACTTAATTTAGAGGCTTTCATTTAGGACAAAAAATATTGAATGCATTTTTTTAAAAAAAGATAACATATTGATGCGGAGAAAGGCATTTCAATAAGGTTACAGTGGTGCCTCGCAAGACGAAATTAATTCGTTCTGCGATTTTTTTCGTCTTGCGAAGCACGGTTTCCCAAAGTCTTCAAAATCACCAAAGTCTTCAAAAACCTCAAAAAAGGCTACCACACCGCGTGCTATGAGTTGCTCCTCGAAGTCACCCTGGGTATTAACGGTTTTAAGAAAAAGGAAACAAACTTGCAAGACGTTTTCGTTTTTTTTGTTTTCGTCTTGCGAAGCAAGCCCATAGGGAAATTCGTCTTGCGAAGCAACTCAAAAAACGAAAAACTCTTTCGTCTTGCGCGTTTTTCATCTTGAGAGGCATTCGTCTTGCGAGGTACCACTGTACATTCAAGCCAGACAACGTGCAGAATCGTCTTAACTGAATGGTTGAGCTTACCCTTCTGACTCTGCCTCTACAAAAACTTCATCGCCATCATCACCTGTACCAGATTCTGAAGTGGTCGATAAGTTACCAGTGGATGTTGTAACCATGGGGACAGACTGGGAAGCATGTTCAGAAGCATCAGCAGCGGAGCTTTCAGTAAACACAGACACTTGAAACAAAGATTAGAGAATAAACTAGAACCATCTAACACTTGGATGATACGTCGCCCACCGCCCCAAATTCTGAACACAGGAAATAGCACATTTGCTTTGGAATGAATCAAACCTTAAGTGGGATACACTTATCTTCGTCATTTTTTAAAATTACACGTTGTATTTCACAACTAGCACACTTCACGTTAGTACAGGCCTGGCTGTAAAGCCTGCCATAGCCTGATCCGTTAGGTCACAGTATTATAGGGCTGGTGGGCTGTGTTTGGGTTCGGGAATCTCACGCTCCATGCAGGTATGGCTTTGTAGAACTTTATGTGTGTGTGGCAGGTGGGGGGAGGCAGTTTTGGATTGTGGAATAATGTATAGAAACATGATTTGAGAGAAATATATTGGGAAGTGGGGAGAAACCAAAGTCCCAGAGAAGACTGGAGTCTTTGATCCCTAGAAACACCTCATGCTTTCCTTGCATCTAAGCATGTGGCCATAAGCTCCAAGCACATTCTGAGATTGTTCTGTGACCACACATTTGGATTTTTCTTCTTCTTGTTTTTTTAAAAAATACTACCCTGGTGGTGAGGGTGTGGATTTTTTTTTGTTCAAGACAGTTTTTACATATACAGTGGTACCTCGGGTTTCATATGCTTCAAGTTACAGACACTTCAGGTTACAGACTCTGCTAACCCAGAAATAGTATCTCGGGTTAAGAACTTGACCTCAGGATGAGAACAGAAATTGCGCGCCAGCGGCTCAGTGGCAGCAGGAGGCTCCATTAGCTAAAGTGGTGCTTCAGGTTAAGAACAGTTTCAGGTTAAGAACGGACCTCCAGAATGAATTAAGTACTTAACCCGAGGTACCACTGTATTATTATTACTACAGTATCACACTTTGTAGACAAGATTGCTATACAGGTGTCCCCCCCCACTTAGGCGTAGCGCCGGGAATTTTTTTCGTAATTTAATTCAACCCTGGAAATGGCAGGAGAGCGCTGGAGAGTCCTCGTGGCTCACAAGCACACCCTCCCCGGAGCTCGAAGGGGACATCAACAAGGACAGAGGAAGCTCTGATGAGACCAGAGGGGCAAGTGGGCCTTTGTTTATGCAACTCAGCCTCCCCAGGGTCCCCCCTCCCACTTCCAGACCATTTGACAGAGAGGCAACAACCAATCTATGTGTGTCCAATTGGCGTGAGACAGCATGTGCCGAACCGGGAAGTGACTTTAAACATGGCAAAAACAGTCCTAAAAGAGCCCAGAAGGGGCAAAAAAAAAAGCGCCTAGCAATCCCATGAGCCTTTGCAAGTGCAATCCCAGGAGCCCTTGTATCGACCGTTGAGGCCTGCGGAGAGTTGGGAGTTCTGAAAAAGGAGGTTGAGAGAAAGAGCAATTGTCGTAGAGTGGGACATCTGGTTAAGTGCTGCTGGTTTTTAAAGGGTTTCCAGAGGTTTAGAGGGTATTTGCAGGCTTCCCCAATGCTGTTTCAAAAATGCACAATTTCACATAACTGTGCGGTGCCTCGGAAAGTAACTCACACATAAACTGGGAGTTGCCTGCATTTAACATCGGGCATAGCTAACATGACACCCTCCATATGTACAACTCCCATCACCCCTGATCATTGGGCTGTGCTAGCTGGGGCTAGCATTAAAAGCTGGAATCCAGCATCTGAAGAGTGTGGTGTTGGCTAACTCTGCTTTATATTGTGAGTGTTGCATTATGTATTCTTGCCTCCCTGCCTACAACCAATTTCTTGCAAGAGGGCTGGCCCTGAACTCTTACCTGGGAACCACACAAAAGGCATTTTTAGGAGGAAGTTAAAAGCGTTAACTACCTCTAGTTACATACTTAATTAGTTCCAGAGGTCCGTTCTTAACCTGAAATTGTTCTTAACCTGAAGCACCACTTTAGCTAATGGGGCTGCCTGCTGCCGCCGTGCGATTTCTGTTCTCATCCTGAAGCAAAGTTCTTAACCTGAGGTACTATTTCTGGGTTAGCAGAGTCTGTAACCTGAAGCGTATGTAACCTGAGGTACCATTGTATATGCATTTCTTAAATAAGCAGCTGTACAGTAAAGCCAACCAACCAACCAACCAACCAACCTGATCAGTTCCCAATAGAGCTGCATTTTCAGGAAGACCATCGGAACAAGAGAGTACCCATGTTATCAACCATTATATGCTCAAAACTGTAGAATCAAGATATGATGGAAATCCCCCAAACTCACCAGGTGCCGCAACCTGAAGTGGAGTTGTTGGGACACTGCGACCTCCTGATTCTTCTTCGTGGGCAAGGAAGAGTGGTGTTTCATACATTCCTAAACCTGCAAGCAATTTGAGAGAAGTTAAATTGAGCTTCCCAGTAGTGGTGTCTGGAAGTGAGAGCTGGACCACAAAGAAGACTGATCGCCGAAGAATTGATGCTTTTGAATTGCGGTGCTGGAGGAGACTCTTGAGAGTCCCATGGACTGCTAGAAGACCAAACCTATCCATTCTGAAGGAAATCAGCCCTGAGTGCTCACTGGAAGGACAGATCCTGAAGCTGAGACTCCAATACTTTGGCCACCTCATGAGAGGAGAAGACTCCCTGGAAAAGACTCAGATGTTGGGAAAGATGGAGGGCACAAGGAGAAGGGGACGACAGAGGACGAGATGGCTGGACAGTGTTCTCAAAGCTACAAACGTGAGTTTGACCAAACTGCAGGAGGCAGTGGAAGACAGGAGTGCCTGGCGTGCTCTGGTCCATGGGGTCACGAAGACTCGAACACGACTAAACAACTGAACAACAACAAACTGAGGGAGCTTCAACAGAATAATATCTAGCCACTAAAGTAATGAATCACCTGAACCAGTTTGTTTTTTATATGGTACTGGCCAGGTACTAAAGAATCTCCCAGCTAGTTCTGTGCACCTTGAGTAGAGTTTTAAGGTGATTTTCCTCCCTCACATGCAGGCACAGCAAACCCAAGTTGTATGATTGAGATTCAAAGTGCATAGTGTCCCTTTCATACAAAAAAAGCAAGAAGTAGAGACAATTTGCACTCACTTTCTGCTTGTAAAATGGAATTTAAAGACAAAAAAGGACCAAAGAACCAAACCAGAACTCCACTGAATATAAAACAGAAAGACAGGACCGAATATCTGTACCTCCTTGCGATGCAAGCTGACCGAGATCTGACTGGCCGGAGGTTTGTGGCATATCTTCAATAGGTCCAAACCTGAATCTAGGAACTCCAGCCACCTGAGGGGAGCTAGAATAAAAGTTACAGTCAGTTTATCAATCATATGTTTGCTGCCCCTTAGTGGGATAAATGGGGAAGAAGAAAAGGAACAAACAAAGGAACCGCACAGAAGTGGTTTGCTGGAGCAGAAAACCCACTTCTGCGATGTGTTTCCATATGAGTCTTCCTACAGGTAAGGGCCAACATTTGCTGACTGAGTAAACAATTTATGCATATCCTTCAAAAGAGGAGAGGTGCCAAGAATTTCTAAACACTTGAAGACTACTATTATCCAATGACAGGAGGTCATGGGGTGTTTATTCAAAACATAATAATAATAATAATAATAATAATAATAATAATTTATTATTTGTACCCCACCCATCTGGCTGGGTTTCCCTAGCCACTCTGGGCGGCTTCCACAGAGACCAAAAATACACTAAAATGTCAAAATTAAGTGAAATTAAGAATTGTGCTGTGGAAACAGAGTATAGCTGCCCAAGAATGGTTAGAGAAAATTGCTGGCCAGGCCCCTGGCAGGAATCCTTTTGGTATTTTGACTTACATAGCTCATCATTACTATGTAACTGAAGGTGCCACTTACTGAATCGCTTCTGCAAATCCATCTGTACGATGAGGTACCACCAACGTTGGGGTGCTTGGAACGGTCCTGTCCTCATCATCAAAAAAGTGTTGCTGCTGAAGAAGAAGACATTAAAATGACAAGCGAACTCAACAACCACAGTAGTACCTTGGAAGTCGAACGGAATCCGTTCCAGAAGTCCCTTCGACTTCCAAAACGTTCGGAAACCAAAGCGCGGCTTCTGATTGGCTGTAGGAGGCTCCTGCAGCCAATCGGAAGCCCCGTCGGAACGTTTGGGTTCCAAAGAACGTTCGCAAACCGGAACACTCACTTCCGGGATTGCGGCGTTCGGGAGCCGAAACGTCCGAGTACCAAGGTGTTTGGGATCCAAGGTATGACTGTATTCCTATTGCTACACATTTTTAAACAGCCATTCCCTCTTAGTATCTCGCTTGGTGTAATAAAATGACGTCCAATTTCTGTATATATACCCAATCCATATTCTGAAGAATAACCGAAATGTGGAAATTCAGCTGACAAGTACTTTCAAGGACAGTATTCCAAAGAAAAGGTGCAAGACTTTGTGCTGAAGAGGCAAACACATTATTGTAGAAAATTTCAGCTTTTTTAGCTGGATCAATAATAATTGGATTATTAATTTGAATAACATGCTCTGTTGAGGGCAGGAGGCTACCATGTGGCTACGCAGTTCTCTCTAAAATGCTCCCTGCATATAATAGAAACAGTCCACCACACAATCTTGATTAACTGACGTTTCAATTGTACCCACAGCAGAAAATGTTTAGAAACTCTACTACTTACCATGCCACCTATGCCAGGGGTTAGCTGAAGTCCACGTCCTACAGACTGCCTCCGCGGCATTGGGATTCTCTGTATGTCCAAGAAAATGTCAAATGCTTTAGCACACATTTAGGTGGGGAACCCGCAGGGCCACTGGCCAAATACACCCCAAGCTCTTAATAGGTGGCTCCTTGAAATTCCCCTTTGATGACCACCCCCCTTAAACTGAGTATACTGATAGTAAAGGTAAAGGGACCCCTGACCATTAGGTCCAGTCGTGACCGACTCTGGGGTTGCGGCGCTCATCTCGCTTTATTGGCCGAGGGAGCCGGCGTACAGCTTCCGGGTCATGTGGCCAGCATGACTAAGCCGCTTCTGGCGAAACCAGAGCAGCGCACAGAAACGCCGTTTACCTTCCCGCCGGAGCGGTACCTATTTATCTACTTGCACTTTGACATGCTTTTGAACTGCTAGGTTGGCAGGAGCAGGGACCAAGCAACGGGAGCTCACCCCGTCGTGGGGATTCGACCCGCCGACCTTCTGATGGGCAAGTCCTAGGCTCTGTGGTTTAACCCACAGCGCCACCCACGTCCCAGAGTATACCGATGGCACCACATAAAAACAATCAGGAGTGGCAGAACAGCTCACCATCGTAGACCATGAAAAGGAAAAACACGGCAGGCAAACATGCCCTGGTTTGCTTTCATTCTTATAGAGTAGAATTGTAGAGTTGGAAGGGACCACGAGAGTCACCTAGTCCAGGGGTCAGCAAACCCGCGGCTCCAGAGCCGCATGTGGCTCTTTTACACCTTTGCCGCAGCTCCGGGGCAGATACTAGCGAGGGGAGGAGGCGCACTGTGCGCCCCGACACTCCCCACTGTGGCGGGCGCTGTACTGGCTGTGACGTCGCATGGGGGCGGTGCGTGCGTTAGTCACGCACCGTCCCGACGTCACCTTCCCGCCCGCTGTCAGATCGAGGCTCCGGAGATATATTTGTTTTAAATGTCGCAATGGTTTTGCGGCTCCCAGTTTTTTTTTCTTCGGAAACGGGTCCAAGTGGCTCTTTTTGTCTTAAAGGTTGCAGACCCCTGACCTAGTCCAACAACCCTGTAATCTCAAGTTCTCAAGTTCAAGTTTATTGCGGCCAAAGCCAGTGACACTAAACATCCCAAGATCAGACAACAAGAAATCAGCAACAACTTCAGAAAAGAAAAAAGGTTATACAAGGGAACTCAACAACCCTGTAATGTAGTAATCTTTTGCCCAAACCCACAACCCTGAGATTAAGAGTCTCATGTTCTACTGGCTGAGCCATCCCAGCAGTCAAATGGCACCTTCCTCTTAGGAGATACAGAGGCATTTGCAAAGAGAATCTAGGACTCTGGGCAAGTAACTGCAATACTTGTCCCCCTTCTAAAACAAAAGATAGCTTATTTTATAAACAGCAACAATCCTAAAAGTTATTACCATTCACTTATATAACCAATTGACTTGGACTGATTTTTTTTTTTTAAAGAAAAGAATAAAGACCATTGCTCTTGCCACTGTGAAGAAAATGCTATGAGGTTTCTTAGATGCTGTTCTTGCTGGGTTTTGTTTTTGTTTTGTTTTTTAGCTTAAACAGGTTACAATTTCAAAACACCCACCCACCACTAGGCAGGGGGCCTTCTCGGCAGTGGCACCCACCCTGTGGAACGCCGTCCCATCAGACGTCAAGGAAATAAAACAACTATCTGACTTTTAGAAGACATCTGAAGGCAGCCCTCTTTAGGGAAGTTTTTAATGTTTGATGCTTTATCGTGTTTTTAATATTCTGTTGCGAGCCGCCCAGAGTGGCTGGGGAGACCTAGCCAGATGGGCGGGATATAAATAATAAAAATTATTATTACTATTATTATTATTATTATTATTTCTTGTTGTTGCTGCTGCATTCCTGAACACTTGTACAGTGGTACCTCAGGTTAAGAACTTAATTTGTTCCAGAGGTCCGTTCTTAACCTGAAAATGTATTTAACCTGAAACACTACTTTAGCTAATAGGGCCTCCTGCTGCTGCCGCACTGCCGGAGCACAATTTCTGTTCTCATCCTGAAGCAAAGTTCTTAACCCGAGGTACTATTTCTGGGTTAGCGGAGTCTGTAACCTGAAGCGTCTGTAACCTGAAGCGTATGTAACCCGAGGTACCACTGTACTGCTCTTTCTGCACAAAGCGACTACCAGATTTAAGGGCAAGATAAAACACATCCAGGTATGGCAATTTATAAACACCACAGATGCTCATATTTCAGCTGAAGAGGATCCACCTAAGAACAATTTGCTAAATGCACAAAATAAAATTCAGCGTCAAAGTGGTTTCCATACCTGTACTGGTGGTCCCAGCTCCTGCGGTGGAGCAGGAATAGCGTGAATAGTCAGTCGCGGGGGCAAGGGATGAGGTCGAGGTGGCCGTGGTGTCTGTCTCTCCGAAGCAGATGTTGGTTGCTGTTCCCTCGGGCTTTCCTGAGAAAACGTAGACTCTGCTGCGCCTGCGCTCCCGTCACCTTGTAATAAAGAAATATACGTTTAGAAAAAGGCATTCGTAACCCCAAACTCTGTAGCAAATCATTTCTAGCCCTTTCATTTGCTGCAGAGGTGGATATAGGGCACCGTGGAATATGAATATAAAATTTACAGCATATTATGGTTTAAGAGAAAATTATATGCAAATGATATATTGTTGGTATCTAACACTGGCAAAAATGTGTAAATCTAAATCAAACAAGTGCTAGAAATTTAAAGAGAAAGAAGGTTCTTTTTATCAAATGTGGTGGTCTTGTAGTAAGGATAAAGCTTACTGGGAAATGATGTATAATGAATTGAAAAGGATGTTCAAAATAAATCTTTGTAAAAAAAAGCCAGAAGCTTTTCTTTTGGGACTTATAGGAACAGAACTACCTAAATTGTATAGAAATTTATGAATGTATGCTACTACAGCAGCAAGAATTCTACTTGCCCCAAAATGGAAAGAAGCAGAAGTCCCAGCAAAGGAAGAAGGGAAACAAAAACTTATGGAATATGCAGAAATGGTGAAACTTACTGGAAGGGTAAGAAATCAAGACAACAAACTTTTTATAAACGAATGGAAATGGTTTCTTGAATATTTACAGATAAATTGCAAACGGATAAAAACATTGGCAGGATTATTGTAATAACCTGCAGTTTCATAGGAGTATATATTTAAAGTAGATAATCCAATGAGCAAATCAAATGAATTTGGATATGCAGAAGATATTGAAAAATAAATTTAAGGAACTGCCAAAAGAGGGGGAAGGAAGTCAAACTTTTAAACAAGGAAGAAAAAAGATATAGGGCACAATGACTGATTCCGCTGCACAGGACGCAGAGCCGGGGGGGTGGGGGTGGGCTGCAGGGCAGGGTGTCGCAATTATGACATAGTGAATTTAACAGAACAAAAGGTGCCAGATTTTGGCCTGGCACAGGGCGCCGCTGAAATCTGAAAGACCAAAGTCCACCCCCTGTTTGCTGCAATGAACTTTGTTTCATTTCATTATCAGCAAAGCGGAAGCATGGAAAAGGACAGATTTTTTGTCAAAGCGGAATTACAAAAGGACATGTTGCTTCCTTTCCTTCCTCTGCCCCCGCAACCCCAGAAACACAGAATTCAGTGAAAATGAGCTATACCACAATTTTGAGAGTCAGCTGCTCTCTGGCTGCTTTCCCCTCCGGCGATGCTCTCTTCCGTTTCTGTACTGGGGTCCATTCCATCAGTCCCCTGAAAGAGACCATCAAAAGATCCGAGGTATTGAGAGCTTCTTGAATTAAATTACTTTCTCTTTAAGATTTGACAATCCCTCCTTTTAACCTCACAAACTATCTGCTGTGCTTTAAACCAGCCAGCAAGCTACAACCTATGTTGCTATTCCCACTGGTCTTCCATTCGCTTTGAGAAACATTTTCTCCTCGGGATCAAACTAGACGCACTGTCAGTATAACATGACAATTATCTGCTCAATGCCAAACATACAATTTTGCCTGCAGTTTTTACCTCTGCATCGTCTGCTTCATATCCATCATTGCCATCGACGCTCCCAGTGCCTTCATTGCTATCATCACCTTCATCTCCCATTCCTGTGTCTTCATCTTCATCATCCTCGTCATCCTCTTCCTCGTCTTCATACTCCTAATGCAACAATTAGCATTTGAGAAATTAAACAGACCCATTTTGAAATTTTGTTCAGAATCATTTGCTTTCTTGTATGAAGAAAAGTGGGACGCAGTGCGAGTAATGAAACAGGACTGGGCTCTTGCATGGAGTTGCGGATTATTAGCAGGGATTTAGAAGTTTTGGCCCTCGGTTGCGGTGTGCAAGGGGGAAAAGCTCTTAGAGCAGGGAGTACAAAAGTGTCACTGCCTTTTGCATCTGAGTCAAATTCATACATTTTAATGGTGGCATCAGCTAGGCTGCAGCCACGGCATACTCAACCTACACAACTCTAAATCCCTCTTCCAGACTCTTATGTATCTGATAATAATTAAGAACTGTATTTTTTTTAAAAAAAAGGGGGGCGACCAAAATATCATTCTAAATTATCTGCAAACTATATCCGATTCAGGTAGTAAATATTTAACACTTTGGGGAACAGTGAACATTTAAACATGTACAGCCTTCTTTTTCTTGGTGTGCACTGAGGAAGATAATAGTTTAAGGTGAACTGCCTTACTGGCTTAGAAAAGTACCGTATTTTTCGCTCTATAAGATGCACCAGACCACAAGACGCACCTAGTTTTTGGAGGAGGAAAACAAGAAAAAAATATATTCTGAATCTCAGAAGCCAGAACAGCAAGAGAGATCGCTGCGCAGTGACAGCAATCCCTCTTGCTGTTCTGGCTTCTGGGATACCTGCACAGCCTGCATTCGCTCCATAAGACGCACACACATTTCCCCTTACTTTTTAGGAGGGAAAAAGTGAGTCTTATAGAGCAAAAAATACGGTACTCTTCTGCTAGTCTAAGGCATTTTAAGATGTGCAATACATACTTTTACAGGGAATGCAAAACAACAACAACAATCCACAACCAATATCAAACACTCTTGAAAAGGACAATAGAGCCCTTGTAATTTATGTGCAACAAATGAGTAGCAACTTATGCTATGTAGAAATATTTTTATTTTACAAAACACACACACATACTTCTGCTTCGCCATCGTTTTCTTCATCCTCATCCTCTTCATCGTCACTGTCGATAACAATGACATCATCTCTCTTGCCCTGCCCATCCTGGGACGATGTTGTGTTCTGCTGATCTGACTGAAGATCTATTGGTGGGGACTGTGAAGTCTCCTCACTGTCTTCCATGGGAGTATAGTCCCCTTGTGTTACACCCTAAGTCAAGACAAATCGAATAAGACCCAAAGTAATTCCAACAGGAGTACCTCCAGGATTTAAAGCCATTTGCCGTATGTTGATATTATATAAAAAGTCTATGTGATCTGATTTTGAGCCAAAATTTCTAGTTTGCCAACCAGAAAGACTTGAAGTGTGTCAATACTCTGGATCCTATTGTCAGTGTAATCAAAGTTTACTTTAGCTGGGACTATTATTTGCCAGGAAGCTTTCTTTCTTTCTTGTGCTGTTTCTTGCAAAAGGAGCAAGAATACTAATCTTAGGCCATACACTGTATATCTGGAGAACCTTGGTCAGAAAAAAAACACTGTTCAGGCTTCTCGCTCAAGAGTATGCTTATTTAAATATTTTTCCCCTGAACTCTGTAAGGAAGACCCTGCTAATATAGCATGTAGTAACAAGCTTAAAGTTTTCCTCTCTTTTAGGCATTTGAAAACAAGAGCATGCACTATTGGATGAAGATCTGTGAATAACCGAATTCACAGTAACATAACACGCTCCCTTTCAGACAATCAGTACAGCTAGGTTGTGTTTGTAACTAAGTTAAATTAAAACTGAGCAGCACACGCTGTCACGTAAAAACTTCACAAACATTTATGGTTCAGAACAGGAAGCACTTCAAGGGTGTCTATTGCAGCGGACGTACAGCTGATGTTATCTTTCGGAACATCCGACAGACAACATGCCTCTTAAGGCAAAGTAGAATTTTACTATGAGTCGCCTGGGTATTTTTATAGTACTAGTGGAACTGTGTGTCAGCCAATAATGTAAAAAGATAATGTAGCCCTTTAAATCTTCCCATCAGAACCTCCCTCCCCCAGTATAATAATCACCATTGAATTCTACAGAAACCTTCCTATTGATCATCACTACAGTGAGGGGGCCGTGGGACGCGGGTGGTGCTGTCGTCTAAACCACAGAGCCTAGGACTTGCCGATCAGAAGGTTGGCGGTTTGAATCCCCATGACGGGGTGAGCTCCTGTTGCTCGGTCCCTGCTCCTGCCAACCTCGCAGTTCGAAAGCACGTCAAAATGCAAGTAGATAAATAGGTACCACTCCGGGAGGAAGGTAAACAGCATTTCCGTTTGCTGCTTTGGTTTTGCCAGAAGCGGCTTAGTCATGCTGGCCATATGACCCGGAAGCTGTCTGAGCACAAACGCTGGCCCCCTTGGCCAGTAAGGCGAGATGAGCGCCGCAACCCCAGAGTTGTCTGCAACTGGACCTAATGGTCAGGGGTCCTTTTACCTTTACAGTGGGGTGCATCTTTCATTGCAGTGCTCTCTACTGGTCAGAAATCAGCTTTATAGCTAAATATAAAGGAACTGGATTGGTCTGAAGCAGAGGCGTAGCTTGCTAGCCGGCACCCGGAACAGCGGGGGCGGGGTGATCCAGCCACGGGGACAGGGCAATCCACCCAGGGGGGTGCCGCCGTGATCCACGCATGGGCTGGATCCCTCAGGCACCCCCTCAGGGATGACACCCGGGGCGACACCCCCCGCCTCCGCTTAGCCTCTGGTCTGAAGAAATGTGCCCAGCACACTCTTTTTTACTATTCCTCTTGCCAGCAGATCACAAGAATAAAGGTCAAAGGACTCTGGAGCAGTGCCATCTTGGGAACCCCAGCCCAGCTCATGCACACAGACTTTTCTGAATCCTGCCATGGCATAAGCATGAGATGCAAAATGTTCCCCTGGTTAGAGAAAGACTTGCTTACTTCTCCAATGGAATCATGAGAATCCTGATTGTAGGCTTGAGCTTCTATTTCTCCATCTGTGCTTTCTTCTGCAGTCACTTCCTCCTGAAACATGACGTCAATTTGTTAACACTAATTTAAGTGACAGATGATGGGGGAAATGTCAAGATCACCAGCAATACACGCCATGCATATAATGTTCTACTTGGGTTTCTTCACTGTACAAGGTAAAAACATAGCAGCAAATCTTTAAGCAACTACAGTGGTACCTCTGGTTATGTACTTAATTCGTTCTGGAAGTCCGTTCTTAACCTGAAACTGTTCTTAACCTGAAGCACCACTTTAGCTAATGGGGCTTCCTGCTGCCGCCGCGCGATTTCTGTTCTCATCCTGAAGCAAAGTTCTTAACCTGAGGTACTATTTCTGGGTTAGCGGAGTCTGTAACCTGAAGCGTCTGTAACCTGAAGCGTATGTAACCGGAGGTACCACTGTATTCCACCTATCTATGAGAACCAACTCAAAATTCACTCTAAAGTCAATGCTCTACAATCTATGTAGTTATGAACAGAACAGAAAAAAACCCCAATCATCAAGAAGATGATATTTCACATCTTCTATACAGTGGTGCCTCGCAAGACGAAATTAATCCGTTCCGCGAGTGTCTTCGTCTAGCGGTTTTTTCGTCTTGCGAAGCAACCCTATTAGCGGCTTAGCGCTATTAGCGGTTTAGCGGCTATTAAAGGCTTAGCGGCTTAGCTGCTAAAAGGCTATTAGCGGCTTAGCGGCTTAGAAAAAGGGGGGGGGAGCGAAAAAAAATCTCAAGACTTGCAAGACATTTTCGTCTTGCGAAGCAAGCCCATAGGGAAATTCGTCCTGCGAAGCGCATTGAAAAACGGAAAACCCTTTCATCTAGCGGGTTTTCTGTCTTGCGAGGCATTCGTCTTGCAGGGCACCACTGTAGTTAATTATTGCACAAATGTGATTTATTTCTTATTTACACTAAGGGCTTGCTCAAAACAGGAATGTAGATCGTTTGACCTGCAACTACTTGATTACTCATCATTTGATGTCTGGCAGCTGAAAGTGTGTCATGATTTCAGTGAAAAGTATTGCATTTGAAAAGACACCAAGTACGATGTTTGGTATCCCTGGACCCAAGTAGATGTGATGTTAATTCCATGAATGTAATTCAAATTGCATGTTATTTGGCATGTACATAGATCAGGGCAATACTGAGCAGTCTCAGGGCTCTTTCGTGACCAGGTTCCTGATCAAGTATCATGTCTCTACAGCTGCTATCTCCATTTCTAAGGAAGCCTTCATTGGTGGCAATAAAATTTCTCTTGGAAATGGAAATACTGTAGCAGCTTTGAAGAGGGAATTTTTTGTCAAGGCAATGGAAGGGAGAAATTCCCCATCCCCAGTCCCAACGCTGCTCAGCCTTTCCTCAACACCTGATATTTACGTAACAAAAAATGTGCACACAATTCACATCACTTCTAGTTTGACCCAGTGAAGGTTCGCACACACCATACAGGTATCATGGAAATTTGCACACTAAAAATGAGAAGCCTGCAGTCAAATACGAGCAGAACAACCCACCCTAGCCAACAGAACCTGCCAATTGTATTTGACACTGGGTGATGTGACACGTTTGTCACCACTCATTCCAAATGCTTCAGAGCTTTTAAAAGCCAGCTTTCTGGGACAATTTTCCCTCTTCTCCTATGCGATACCCATAATGAAACAACTAAATTAGTGCCGTTCTTCTTCTTACAAACCTCTGGCCCAACTCTTTGAACACTTCTCATTTTCTTTGCAAGAGGCATATCAACCATCTCCTCAGGAATTTGGTCCGAGTTTTCAACTGTGCTATCATCTTCTTCTTCGCGGGAGCGTTTGGGTAAAGAAGAACTTGGTGTAGCTGAAACTTAAGGAGAAAATTTCATTAAATTCAAAACACACTTTGCCCAAGGCACAAAGAAAAACAAACAATTATGGCTTTCTTTTTTGAGGAGCACCTTAACGAATGATGCTGGCACTTTAAAATTACTTCTTTTAATTCTAATTCAAAATTACCGTATTTTTCACTCTATAAGACGCACCAGACCACAAGACACACCTAGTTTTTGGAGGAGGAAAACAAGAAAAAAAATATTCTGAATCTCAGAAGCCAGAACAGCAAGAGAGATCGCTGCACAGTGAAAGCAGCAATCCCTCTTGCTGTTCTGGCTTCTGTGATAGCCGTGCAGCCTGCATTCGCTCCATAAGACGCACACACATTTCCCCTTACTTTTTAGGAAGGAAAAAGTGAGTCTTATAGAGCAAAAAATACGGTATATATTTAAATAAAAAACTAAGTTTATTTAGTGCTTTCCCCAAGTCTTCAGAAGCGAAACTGGCCAGGTAAAGCCCTTAATGCTTCTAATCTAGGAAATTTAACCAACCTGTGCCAAATACAGCTGTCGAAGTAGATGGTCTTTCTATCTGTGAGCTTTGCACCACCTCCAAAATTGTGGGGGGTGGATCTTGAGTGGCTGGTTCTATCTGAGGGTGGCTCTGCTGAGTGGGCTGAACAAAAGCTGTGGCTTGAGTCTGCTGCTGAACTGTCAAGATGGGCTGGGAGAGAGAGGTCTGGACGTTGGGGCTTGTGGAGCGCACAGATCCACTTGTGCTTCCATAGACTGGAACATGTTCGACTGGTCCTTCCGACTGCATAGCTGAAATAAAATTGTTGTAATCGTTCGTTCCAGCCACATAATATTCAACTTTTTCAAAAATGAGAAAGCTGTAGCTGTGGTCCAGGGTTCAGGCTGGTACGCAGCTCTGAAATAAATTCCATCTCACTTCCTGTTATTTAAGGTGAACGGCGCTGACAACAGAATCAAGTGAAATGCCTCACAACCTATAGACTAGGGGACAGTCCTTTCTACAAACCAGAATTGTACATTTCAGCTGTATGAAAGTTAATATGCATGCTACTTTAATGAACACGACAAACCCATCACCTGCCTACCCCAGCATTATTCTTTTCTATTAACTACCTTTGAGAAGACAAACGGATCTAGGCATTTCTGTGTACTGTTCCTCACTTCCTGTTTCTTTCCCTTTGGCATTTTCAAAATACAAACTGGTTTTTGCAACTACAGTGGAAGTTTTCCATTTCTACAAAAAGCAATATAGATTTTCAGGGTTTAATTTTTAAGAAGAACACCGAGGTTCCGCAAAATCCTTGATATAGGAACATCCCAAGAACCGGGATTGCAACCATGAACGTTCCACCCTAGGGCCAGTGCTTTTTTCCTTAAAAAATGTTTCGGGTACTCTCATTTTGACTCAAGAAAATCACCATTTTATAGTTCAAATTGGGAAAAATAAACACAGTAAATGGACAAAAGTACAAAGATTCACAAAATGTTTAGGGGTTTGCATCCCTTTGCATCCCCCCAGAAAAAAGCACTACCTAGGACACTTTATGTTATGATGTTCATTCTATCAAATCCCAACCTCAACCATCAGTAGAGTTTCCTCGCTTTATGAATTGAATGGCTTCACAAACAGTACAGGAGGCAAAATATGCCTCTGTGTTCTAATGCTTTTGATGCAGTGGCATTGTGATGGCCTGGGATTCGGACTTGGATGCTGAATCTGAGGGATCCCAGCCTGCACAGGATTCCCTGCCTCCAGAATCAGCTGAGCCAGGGCTGGGGCCTGAGCCTGAAGGGTCCTCACCTGTGCTGGATCCTCAGGTGCAGGCACCAGCTGAGTCTGGTCTTGCTCCTGAGGTGATGGAGGACCCATTGCCTGCAGGTGCTCCACTCTCAGCCCTGTCAGGGGAAGCTGAGGTTGCCTCTGGGTCCGGTAACCCTCCAGCCTCTCCTGAGCTTCGCTCCTCCTGAACTAAGTTCCTGCAGGAGGAGTGCTCGCCTCCAGGCCAGGAGAGGCGAGTCATCTGAGGATTGGGGCCGCCCTATGCCTTGGGGCAGATAAAAGCCGGCCAGCCCCAGTCCCAAGTTGTGGGAGCAACATTGTTGGTTGCTAGTTCCTGCCTAAACCCTGTCCTGCTTTCCTGCCTGAGCTCCTGACCCGCCCTGGCTCCCTGCTTGCACGCCTGTCCCTGACTTCACCCAATTCCCCGCCCTGCACCCAGCTTCAGCTACTATGGACTGCCTCCACGTTGCACCTTTGACCACGGACCGGACTTGGACCTCGCCTCTCGGGTAACCCACGGGACCAGCACAGGCATATAGAATCCTAGAAATTGCACATTAAAAAAATCACTATTCACCATGTACATTGTTAAGCCTTTTGATCGGTAATGTACCTTCCTGAGTTTCCACCTGTGTTGTCGGCATAACTGTGGCTGTTGGGGTAGATGTAGGATTTGTGACAGTTGTCGGAGTCAGCATTGGGCGGATGCTGGCCCTTGGGGTCGATTTGTTCCCAGCTATTGCAGCTGCTGTCACTTTGCTTGGAGTAGATACAACAGGAGTTGGTTTGATGTTGGCCGTCGGTGGATCAGAAGTACTAGCACTAGATAAAAGTCAAAGTTGTATGTGTTAGATATTATTCTAAATATATGCAAATAAGTACAATGTAAACAGTCTTCACTGGAGTGATGTCTAGAAAAGTAAAGGTAAAGGACTCCTGGGTGGTTAAGTCCAGTCAAAGGTGACTATGGGGTTGTGGCACTCAATAGGTCTTACACCCTAGTAAACGAGTTTAGGATTACAGCCCAATCTAAGTGAAGGGCAAATTTCCAGAGAGATGGCTATGTTAGTCTGTAAGCAGAGGCAACTAGCAACAGTATGCCTTGTGGCCTTTAAATGTCCATAAATGAATTATAGCCCTATCCAGGCATTCACAACCTTCAAAGGGGAGGAATCACGGGTGTCCTAAAGATTTTCTGTCCCCCACCACTTTTAGTACACTTTTATGACTTCTATCTCATTCCCTAGTCCTTTGCTTAGTTTGCCCTTCCTCTAGCAACTAGGGAAGCAACTTTCCTGCGATAGGTTCTTCTGAGATCAGGTATTCACTAGAAGTTATTTTCTGCAAACAATACTACACAACAAACATTCCTTCTTCCATTATTTTTTAACCCAAAGCATTCTGGTATGGGCAAACTCGCACCACAACCCAATGTTTATTTTCTTAGAAACACATTCTACAAATGTGAGGGAGCTGGCGTTTATTCGCAGACAGCTCTCCGGGTCACGTGGCCAGCATGACTAAACCACTTCTGGCACAATAGGTCGTTGTGACAAGTGCCAGAGCCCATGGAAATGCCATTTACCTTCCTGCCACAGCGGTACCTATTTATCTATTCATGCTGGTATGCTTTCAAACTGCTAGGTTGGCAACAGCTGGGACAGAGCAACAGGAGCTCACTACCACCGTGGGGATTCGAACCGCCGACCTTCCGATTGGCAAGCCCAAGAGGCTCAGTTTAGACCGCAGTGCCACCTGCGTCCCTAATGTGTAGAACAGAGGGGGCTATAATCTATAAAATGTCTAGGCTCCCCACCCAGCCCATTCCCGTCTACCAGTCCCTCAGCTGATCAAGCCCCCAGGAGAGGGCTTTGTTAAACAGTTGCCCACCCCTCAGTGGAGCAGTTAACAACCCCCCCCCCCCCGCCGATCAAGGCAATTTGAGCTGGTGATAGATACATCACAGGTTCCAGGCTGCCGGGGAGCCGCAATATACCACCAGCTCAGAAAGTCGGAAACCTGTATTGCAGTTTGACCATCATACCGGTTTCAGACAATTAATTTAGTATCGCCCTGTGCTAGTAGCAGCTTATAAAACAAGAGTGGGAAGGATCGACAGAGGTATGAAAGAATGAACACAAGAACTCACATTCCTCTGTCACCTGCAGCAGGAGTCGACTTAAGGGTGATCTGTCTCTGCTGTTCTGGAGCCTAATGGACAAAATGCTTCAGTAAGCCACAGGATTCAAAATATCAGCGGAAATGATTGTATGAAATAGCACCTAAGTCTTGCATTCTACTGAATTGTTATCAGAATATTGACATTTGTGTTTTTATTACAGATTTATTTGAGACAATGAATTCTCAGAAGGCAGTGGACTCTTCCTCATTGCAGGTTTTTAAGCAAAAACTGGATATTCATCGGTCATGGACTACAGGAGGTTGGACTAGATTTCCCTTAGGGTCCCTTCCAACCCAACAATTATATGATTCTATGCCATCTTCAAAAATCCATACCCCCTCAAGCACCACAACCAATCTAGTAACAGCTTTAGTGGATGGAAATTTGGTATCAAACCACAAAAGTAGAGCTGCACAAATTGTCTATCTTATCAGTAATAAGAAAAAGAAAAAAGAAAAGATGAAGGACCCCTGGGCAGTTAAGTCCAGTCAAAGGCGACTATGGAGTTGTGGCGCTCATCTCGCTATCAGGCTGAGGGAGCCGCCGTTGGTCCACAGACAGCTGTCTGGGTCATGTGGCCAGCAGGACTAAACCGCGTCTGGCACAACGGAACACCGTGACGGAAACCAGAGCGCACGGAAACGCTGTTTACCTTCCCGCCGCAGCAGTACCTATTTATCTACTTGCACTGGTGTACTTTCGAACTGCTAGGTTGGCAGGAGCTGGGACAGAGCAACAGGAGCTCATTCTATTGCGTGGATTCGAACCTCCAACCTTCCGATCGGCAAGCCCAAGAGGCTCAGTGGTTTAGACCACAGTGCCACCCGCGTCCTTACCTTATTGGTAGATTCTGCTGGCTCATCTCGCTGCTCGTGGTGCCTCTCTTGCTGCTCTCGGAGCTCTCTCTCTAGGCGGCAAATGCGGCCTTCATACTGCGATTTAAGTGCGCTCATCCGCACTTCCAACTCAGTCTTCTGCTCTTCCAGTGCACCGCTCTTTTGTTTCCACTCCTCGCTTTCTTTGGTCAGCTGTTCCTTCGCACCTGAATTAAAGTATAAGAAGGCAAGTCGAAACTCCTTACTATGTCTCTTTATACAGGAATTCTGAAAACAGCACTTTCATGAAGAGCTCTGTCCCTGCAGGTCCCCTAATACAGTGGTACCTCGGATTACATTCGCTTCAGGTTACATACGCTTCAGGTTACAGAGTCCTCTAACCCAGAAATAGTACCTTGGGTTAAGAACTTTGCTTCAGGATGTGAACAGAAATCGGGCTCCGGCGGCGCAGCGGCAGCAGCAGGAGGCCCCATTAGCTAAAGTGGTGCTTCAGGTTAAGAACAGTTTCAGGTTAAGAACGGACCTCTGGAACAAATTAAGTACTTAACCCGAGGTACCACTGTATTCAACATTTCCATTTTAACATGGCGTTATGCAAATGTTCAAGGGCTACAATGAGAGGGGACTTGGATCAGGACACCCCTCCAATCCAAAATCCATGTCGGGTATTATACCTGCACAGTGGCCTGAGTGTGTATGCAAGCAGAACACCACTCAAGAGGACGCAGCCTCCAAGTTTCCATCAACATGTGCTGAGCTCTATACATAGGGCCCTTGCATTAGAAGAAGAGAAGAAGAAGAGTTTGGATTTGATATCCCGCTTTATCACTACCCTAAGGAGTCTCAAAGTGGCTAACATTCTCCTTTCCCTTCCTCCCCCACAACAAACACTCTGTGAGGTGAGTGGGGCTGAGAGACTTCAGAGAAGTGTGACTAGTCCAAGGTCACCCAGCAGCTGCATGTGGAGGAGCGGAGACGCAAACCCAGTTCACCAGATTACGAGTCCACTGCTCTTAACCACTACACCACACTGGCTCTCCATTAACAGAATACTGGTACTAATCACAAACGACTCCTACCCAGACGTGGGGCCGGCTCAAATCTGCCATCTCTGGGAGAAGAGTGTCCCTTAATTATGGCTCTGGCTCTACCAGGAAACGAGAGTCTGCAAACAGCTCTGGCCTAATCAGTAAACAGATACAGCTGCTTTTCTCCTCTTCATACTACAGCACTTAGCTTAGGAGGAGGAGGATTATTTCCTGGCAGGTTCTTGCAAGCTTAACTTATGCCCATTAGTCCTGCTGGGACAACTGACTCCCAGTTCTATTTCTACTGTGAAATAATGCAGCATTCAATGCATGGTTATGAGATGGGCTTCTGTGCTGGCAGAGTTCCCTATCCCCTTACCAAATACAACTCCTGATTATCTGGATAGGGCTAAGCCATGTTTACAAAAGCAGCAGCAATAAAGGATGGAATATTTTAGGAGAAGAAAACAGGATTAGATGTGATGTCATGTGCATCTGTCTGTTTATACAAACACACTTTTGAAATCATTTTGTGAACCTGAAGTTGTGGACTCTCTCTTATGCAAGCTTCTACCTTGATCAGGTAGCTGGAACCTTACAGCAACATAAAAACCTTACGCCAAAGAACTAAAAATGGCAACCGCTTCAAAAGAACTGCCAGGCAATTCACCTGCTAACTGTGCAATCCTCTGCTTGGCAGCCAGAAGCGTCTTCTTCATCTTCTCCTCCTTCTCAGCAACCTGCTGCCTGAGCTGCTCCTCTTGTGATGTTTTCTCCTGTAGATCTTGCTGAAGACGGGAAGCCTCTGACTGAAGCTGGGCTACCTGTTCCTGGAGATTTTTTACTTCGGTGTCCTTCTCGCCGAGCGTCTGCAGAAAGCAAGACATGGAAACTTCAGGATACAGAACTGCTTTCAATCACTGGGTGATTAGTGAAGTAGCGCAAGCTTTCTATGAGAAGATCCTAGACAATCTAAGAGCTGTAAGAGCACAGGGTGTTTGAATCTGGGTATACTGTAAAGGAGGGAAGCGGGTGGCGCTGTGGGTCAAACCACAGAGCCTAGGACTTGCCGATCAGAAGGTCGGCGGTTCGAATCCCCACGACGGGGTGAGCTCCCGTTGCTCGGTCCCTGCTCCTGCCCACCTAGCAGTTCAAAAGCACGTCAAGTGCAAGCAGATAAATAGGTACCGCTCTGGCGGGAAGGTAAACGGCGTTTCCGTGCGCTGCTCTGGTTCGCCAGAAGTGGCTTAGTCATGCTGGCCACATGACCCGGAAGCTGTACGCTGGCTCCCTCGGCCAATAAAGCAAGATGAGTGCCGCAACCCCAGAGTCAGTCATGACTGGACCTAATGGTCAGGGGTCCCTTTACCTTTATACTGTAAAGGTAACTTCTCCCTGTGGTGTAAAATTTCTGAAACACTTACAAACGATTTTCTATGGTATTTTTTCACCACTACCTACTATTCCCCAATGGTTTCAGGGCAGCACACCTGGGAATATCCCTTTAAGGCACGTTAAGCTGAAACAGCATGACTGGGCCAAACCTCACAGCCATCCAGGGATCTAAACTTGGTTCCCCATCATAAAAGCACAACATCCCATTTCAGTCTTTTTGGTAAGCTGATTATTCATTTTGGGAGTTGGCTACAGACACATATGATCCTCAGAAAAGGCTCTCCCACCTTCTGTAAATTTTCAATCTGTCCTTCCAAGGCTTTTATCTTGGTCTCAGCTTGGCTCAGAGCTTCTTTCACTTCTTGAATTTCTTTGTCTGAAACATGTTGCTCTTGCTGTTCTGCAGAAGATGGAGTTGATGCTTCTGCAATCACCTAAAATTTTGGAAAGTAAACATCTGCGTTGGTGAAAGGGATTGGTATTATACAAGCTAGTAACCAAAATTACAGCAGGTTGTACATTCTATAACAACAACAACAATTTATTTTTTATACCCCGCCCATCTGGCTGGGTTTCCCCAGCCACTCTGGGCGGCTCCCAACAGAATATTAAACAGAATAAAACTTCAAACATTCTACATTCCTACAGCCTCCCATACTAGAGCACAATTTTCAAAAATGAAGACTAGCTGAATTTACAAAAATCTAATATGGAAGAGCTCTTCCATTTTACTTATCAGAAGTTAAAACCTACCTTGTCATGTTGTGCTTTCAGTTCTTCATACTGAGTCTTGTATCTACGTCCAATTTTCTTGACCTGTGTTATCGTTTTAACTTTCTCTTGGATGTCAGCCAGTTTAATGTCCAAATCTTTCTGAAGGGTGTCCTTTTCATTTTTCGTTTTTGCCAGATCTTCTCGGAGGGTCTGGACCAGATTCTGACTTGTTGTCAGTGAAGCATTTGACCTTAACAAAAATTGAAAGAACTTCTAACACAACGGAAATCAATGAGAGCTACTTTCTGTATACTCCTCCCTTTTATTATTGGAAAATGTGAGCAGTTTAAAAGAGGTATGGAAATAAAAATTAAGGGTCCTTGCTTATGGTATCTGAATCCATGGCTGCTGCTACTACCAACACCTGTGGTAAAGGCTGAACAAATATATCAGGATTAGAATTGCCAAGACACCCCATTAACTGCTGAACAAGAACTTAATGTTGATAGGAATGGGTGCTTCTACTATCAAGTATTTGGCATCTCCAAAATTTTAAGACATTCCTTGACGTTTACCTTGCAATTTCTGCTTTAAGCCTGCCTATGTCTTCACTCATCTGCTGTATGCGTTTGGTGTTCACCTCCTTCTCTGAAAGAAGCTTCCGATACTCTTCAATATCTGTGTCTTTTTGTTGGCTCAATAAATGCTGCAAGAAGAAATTTACCTATGAGCGAGCTTATTCTTTTCCCCAATTTATCTTATTCATCTGGTTTCTTTCGTATATTTATATTGCACTTAGTATCAGCAGGGTCTTTAAGTGGTTTATAGAAAGATAACAAATACAATACAAATATATAGCTATACATACGTAACAAAACTAAAAAAACTCCCTCAAAATATAAAATGCAGTCATACCTTGGGTTGAAGTCGCTTCAGGTTAAGCCTTTTCGGGCTGTGCTCCATGGCAACCCAGAAGTAACAGAGCACGCTACTTCCGGGTTTTGCCGCTCGCGCAGACGCTCAAAATGATGTCACGCGCATGCATGGAAGCGGAGAATCGCGACCCGCAGACGCAGGTTGCATTCACTTCTGGATGCGAACGGGGCTCCGGAATGGATCCCGTTCGCATCCAGAGGTACCACTGTATTCACAAAGCAAAAACACACAGCAACACACATTCTGAAAACTTCATGAGATTCAGGGCTGCTGCCTACTTGTAACTGCCTAAAGGAAGAGAAAAATCCCTTCCCTCTTCATCCTCCCTCACTCTGATCAATACTTATCTTTCCATGAGCACCCAATAATATTTACCTTAGTGCAGATATCCCTCCTAATGCTTTTAGCTTTTCTTAAATGCTTCCCTTCTTACCGTCTAAGCAAAAGTGTAAACCTGCCCCAAATCTTATACCATATCTATTGTCTTATTCCCCTTTCTTGGTCTTCTACTATGTAACATTTTCACCCATCTTGGAGTGAGGACCTCCTTATTGTACTCTGGAGAAATGTCCTGTTGAGGCATTGCAAAACAATAGTCCTTGAATATAAGGTAAGCTCACCTGGGTCCGTGCTTTCCAGCGTTTGAGATCCTCTTCCAAAAGCTTCTTCTCTGCTTGAAGCATCCCACTCTTCTCGCTCAGTTCAGCATTAGACTCTTGCAAAGGCAAGATATCAGCTTCCAGTTTACGCACCTGAACACATAACGGTTTAGAAGTTACTTCCGAGTGACTCTGTTTCCTGGTACAGCCAAAATCTCCACATTCAGAGTTTAACGTCGTGTCTCAGTGAATGAACAGCTCCTTGATTTGAAACTTTCAAATGTCTCAAATTACTGTAGGTTGTAAATTATGGTTTGACACAGGGGGAGCTAAGTGTATATTCTGTAATTTCTCATTTTGTTCAATAATTTGTGGTTTTCAGTGTTTTAGGGTTTTGAAAGCTAGATTTAAAATTCATACTGACTTTTGCCTGCATTTGCTGCAGTTCCTGTTCCAGTCTCTCTTTCTCCTCCCTTAGCATCTTGTTGGTTTCTATCAAAACATTCATGGTCTCTGTCTTCTTCATTAGTTCTTCATGCTGAGCAATTGTTTTCGCTGTCACCTAAAATTCAACACAATAGTGAAATCCCAAACATGTGTATCAATATCCACGTTTTCAGGAAGATGCGACCTGGAGTGCCATGGTAATTTTCTTGGGAAACTATTAAGTGCGTTCATTAACCCTGTTAACTCGGCAAAGTTAACTGTCAGAGCGAGCAATATATATAATAAAAGGTTAAAAAAAAGGTAACTGGACGGTTCAATCCAGTCAAAGGCAACTATGGGATTGCGGCGCTCACCTCACTTTCAGGACAAGAGAGCTGGCGTTTCTCCAGACAGCTTTCTGTCTCATGTGGCCAGCATGACTAAACCGCTTCTGGTGCAACAGGACACCATGACGGAAACCAGAGCGCATGGAAATGCTGTTTACCTTCCTGCCACAGTGGTACCTATTGATCTACTTTCACTGGCATGCTTTTGAACTGCTAGGTTGGCAGGAGCTGGGACAGAGCAACGGGCGCTTACCCCGTCGTGAGGATTCGAACCGCCGACCTTCTGATCGGCAAGCCCAAGAGGCTCAGTGGTTTAGACTGCAGCGCCGCCCACATATAATATGAACAATTCTCAAACATGAAAGGCCACTGTGGTATCTAACAAGGTTATCCATCAGATGTCAAAGAGATAAACAACTACCTGACATTTAGAAAGCAGCCCTGTTCAGGGAAATTTTTAATGTGTGACATTTTGATGTATTTTTAATCTTTGTTGGAAGCCGAACAGAGTGGCTGGGGAAACCCAGCCAGAGGGGCAGGGTACAAATAATAAATTATTATTATTCTCCTACTCCAGGCCCTTACCAGGTGTCTGTACTGATCAGCCTCTGGCCCATTACATGAATCCAGTGGTTTCAAAACTACCTATAGCTCTATCAATGAACATCTCTGCTGCACAAACATTTTGAAGCATCCGTTTGTCACAGTCCGTTCACGTAGAACAGTAGCCTGGGTTTTGACCCATATGAATTGTGGGTTCACTGCAAGAACACAGCCAACACTCCTTGTGGCTTCGCAATGCAGAGAAAAGAATTGACCAGTGGTCTTCCAGGGAATCTTGGCCACCACTGCCAATCTTCTCAGAGGAATCTCATTGTTTTCTAAAGAAGCCAACTTAAATCTAAGCATTCATCTTCACTTCAAACACCAGATGTTTCAGCACAGGCAAATTATCTCAGATTCTTTGTATGTAACAACAGTTGTGTTTCTGAAAGCAAGCCAGAGGTGTTCTCCAGATATTACCAACGAAACAAGCAGCATTCCTAATAAACTGCATGTCTGTCAATAGGACAGGAATGTTTCCAGGACTCTGAAATGTCAATATACAAAGGGAAATACTTTTGTTAACTTCTAACTAAAGGTGACCATAGGCACACACATACATACCTGCACTTTCTCTCTCTCTGCGTTCAGACTTTCCTGCAATTGTTGGAGCTCCCTTTCCAAATGTTCCACCCTCTGGCGGTACCGTAAGCTCTCCACTTGTGCCACCTCAAACCTCGTTTCTGCAATCTCTTTTTCTCTGCGTATAAACCTGCGGTGGAAAGAAGCACTACTTGAGATTAAATGCCTCAACAAAACACTGTTTAGCCCGCAAAGCTAAAAATTGCTGGGTTTTAAAGGGAAGTTGGAAAACATGACCAATCAATATTGGGATTTGTTTCGGCCTTATAATGTTATTACAGGCAAATGCAGACACAGTGCGAGATCATATAGTTTAGGATCTGAAAGTGGGTTGTCAGACTGTGTTATGCTATGTTACCAGTGTGTGTGTGTGTGTGTGTGTGTGTGCGCATTGCTACCCTTGGTTAAGGTTTAAGCCATGTTTCTGAATTGGAGTTTAGGAGCAGCCTTCAGTTAGCAATGGCCACATAAGATACCCAAGAGGGAGAAGTCACACGGGGCGAGGATCTGAGTGCAAGAAAGGAGTGAGTTTACAATGCTGCTGCTTCTTCCTGACCCCTAGAATATGGCTCTTTCAACTGCTTCAGAAAAATCACAATTGTTTCAATGAAGGCAGGAAAGCAAACCGGATTCTTGAAGAGCCACCCGGTTACCACAAAAGCCTACCCCCTGCCTTCGACCACAAGGTGGAGCAAAATCCCAACCCGATGACCTTCTATACCAATGGGAAGAAGTTTTGATTTTGTCAAATCTGCTCAAATACTAGGCATTTCAAAAATCCCCTTGAAACAATTGCAAATGGGCCCTGAAGCAGGGTATAGCGAATATTTTGTTGCGAGCCACCCAGAGTGGCTGGGGAAACCCAGTCAAATGGGCAGCTTAAAACAGTAATAATACTAAAGATGGTGCTCTCCCCAGATGTTGTGGATTATAGACTTGCCGTGTTCTCTGGGGGATTTGTAGTCCACATTTTCTGGAGGATACCCACTTTGTGTACTCCTGTGGTTCATTACTTTGCCAATTAAATAATAATGATGATAATGATAATAATTTTATACCCACACTTCCCGGTTTAAAAACCAGGCTTAGGGCGGCTAACAGCAAATATAAAACATTGATTAAAATGTGACTTAATAACAGCATAAAATACAACATAAAATGCAACATCAATATCAATAACATTCAAAAATTCAGGGGTCATTTTGGGGAAAAACAAAACAAAACCACCCCAGTCAGTAGACATCAAATGATCACCAGGCCTACCGGGCCAAGTTGGTTCTACTAGGGCCAGCAAGGAGACCAGGGAAGAATTTAAATGTGGGGTCCCAGAAAGGGGCTCTTCATAGAAGAGGAAAGGGAAAAGGGAATATAGGATCAAGCTAATTCAAATTGAAGGCCAGGCGGAATAGCTCTGTCTTACAGGCCCTGAGGAAGGAGATCAAGTCCTGCAGGGCCCTAGTCTTGTGGGACGGAGTATTCCACCAGGTCAGAGCAGTCACTGAAAAAGCCCTGGCCCTGGTGGAGGACAGTCTGGCTTCCTTAGGGCCTGGGAATGACATCAGATCCATACACTAAATAACACACCTGAGAATTTCCACTATCTGTTCTTGTGATTTTCCTTCTTCAGTGAGAGACACATTTAATGCTCCTGGCATGCCTTCCTTCATTGAAGACATCATCTTGTCGCTGAGAGTTTCCAGCTGTTCATGCAACAGTCTGTTCTGTTTTTCTAAGTCTTCACAGCGAGAAGCCAGCTTAGAAGCTTCATCCTTTAAGAGAAGAGTTTATTTTATTTTTTAATGTCACCTGCTTTCAGGATTTCACATACAGTTATGTGTAAAACTTGTACAGTCGGAAAAGTTACCTTTAACATTCTCTCTCTCTCTTCCCACGAAGCTCTGCTCTCTCGCAATGCAGCTTCTGCTTTCTGGGCAGCTTCCTCCAATTGCTGCTTTATTGTGGAATTCTTAGCAACTTGTTCTTTGGCAGCCTGCAAGGCTTCAACATCAGAGGCATGAAGCATCAGCTCCCGCTCATATTTATTCTGTGCTTCCGCTGCTATCTTGGCCTGTTAAAAAAAACACCCAGCTATCACCATTTCTGAACTTTTAAGGAATTCAATTCACTTTATTTGGCCCCCCGCACTTTAAAGGTTCTCATTTTGTCACTAAAGTGATGTGTAAGTTTAAGTGGGGAAAACAAAACCCAGCCCATTCCAAGCAGCCTTGCTGGTTCTCCTAAAATTTAGGATACAAGAGTTTTCCATAACTGCATTCTAGATTAGACAGATTTATTTTTTTTGTAGCAGGAGCCCACTGATTACATAAGCTTGCATACAAGTTCCCAAGCGATATAGCATTACAGTGTCATTCTAACAAAAAGGGATAAGACACTGATGCTTCACATTTTCAGTGAGTGCAGACCAACATGCAATAAACATGCAATTACAGTTGTACTTTGGTTTACAACCACAATCCGTTCCGGAGGTTCGTTCGTAAACCAAAACAGGTTGTGTAACTCAAGGCACTCTTTCGCCAATGGGGCCTCCCCCAAAATTTTCCATCATCATCAAACCTTTTATTGGCATCACATACAAACATCCATAGCAAATCAGTACAGAATTCCCGCCTTCCCAGTGACACAAATCATTTGTCAAATGAAAGAGGCAAAGCAGTCTAACATTACATCTCTAGGTCTCCAGGGAGATCAGACGTCTGCAATGTGTTTCGAGGACAAAAAAACGGATAAAGATATTTAGCCACTAACTTGGTGAGCTCTTGATTATTCCCCAATAATAGAAAATGTATGACCTCTAACTCTGGTTTCCATTTGGGGATGCAGAGTTGATCTAGGAACTGCTGGTGGAGATCAACATATAGTTTACATTTAAGAACTATATGTGTAAGAGTTTCCACCTGATGGTCTTCACATGGGCAAATTCCTTCTCCTTCCAAATTTGTTCGTAATAATAATAAAAAAAGGTTGTAATCCAAAAAAAGTTCGCAAACCGGGACACGCACTTCCGGGTTTGACGTGTTTGTAATCTAAAACGTATGCAAACCAGACTGTTCGCAAACCAAGGTACCATTGTACTCCCATTAGGCTAGTGCAGGGAACACCAACCTGGTGCCTGTAGACTCGCTTAGTGTCCCCGAGCTACCAGAGAGCCAGCGTCAGATTGGGGGCCTTCCTTTTTTCCTTTTAGTTTTCTTGGGGGGGGGTGTCTTTTTGGGAGATTGCAGGCACCTTTCTTTGCCTCTGGAGCTTTTCTGAATGCGGAGGGTAGGTTGTTCATGCACGGTCTCTATGTGTAATTGAGAGAGATGTACCTGGGCAGCAAGAGATGGAGAGAGGTGCCGTGTCTGTGTGCTTGGTGTGTGTGAAAGAGACGGGAAGGTATTATGTACATTTGTTCTGGGTATGTGTGTAGTTTGTGAGACAGAGAGATAGGTGTACATGCAGGTGGGTGGGTGGAGGGTGAGGTATATACTGTTTGGGGGAGATGTATTGGAGTATGGGGGCAGGTATGTTAGCAGTGTGTGATCTGCATGTATGAAGGGTCTGTGAGACAGAGAGGGAGAACTACATCTGAGCAGACAGAGGCAGCTATATATGGGAAGTACTTGTGTGTGTGTGTCTGTGCGTGCGTGCGCATGGAGAATGAGACTGTATGTGTGTGAGAGAGATGCAGTGCTTGCTTGTAATCTGTGCGGTGTGTGGACATCTTGTATATTTCTCCTGGTACTGGGGAATGCTCCCTGTTATTACACATCAACAGCATTTTTTGGGAGGGCAGAAGGAAATGTAAATATTGTGTGATCTCCACAATCAGGAACCAGTAGGACATAGCTGATTTCCTAAGCAGGTGTAAGCAGCAATGACTACACTCTCTCCAATTTTGTGTTATGCCACACACTCACAGCACTCATGTTGTGTTACACCACACACCCGTGACAACCACACCCTTTTTCAGAACCAAAATGTGCCCACTGGTCCAAAAAAAGGGTGGCAATCAATGGAGCTGGTACAAAAGAGGTGTGAGTGCACAATCCTCATTTATGAGAAACACAGTCATGGAAAATCAACGTGAAGGAATGGGTTTCCCAAACCCAAAACTGACTGTGCAGGCAGTTTGAAACTCCACCAAAATCCCTATTTTTCCTTAGCTAAAATGCTTTCACTTGAGCTCTTGAGCCAAAACCCAGCTGTATAAACAAGTGCTCAGAGCTCTCTCCTTTATCAGTTCGTGACAGCAAGGATGGCCTTGACTGTACCAGTAGAACAGGGAAGACACATCTGTGCCTTATCTTACGTCCTGACCACAAAGACGCACAGACCTAGTCCAGGAACAGCGCCAGAGTGTGTTCTTGGGAGTTGATGACCTCTTGCTCCAAGAGCAAGCATAGGAAACAGGAACAACCTTTTATGGTCAGAAGTACAGGAAGGAATACCCTTTTATGGTTAAGAATACCGGAGCAGGAACATCTGTGATGTCAACCTGCGTGCACAAGCTGACGTGGCTGGATTCCTGGGGAGGGGGGAGAGGGTGCCTGGAGGATATATATACTGCATGTAATCTCTCATTTCTTTGGACTTGCTGTGGACTGACCACGCAAGTGCCTTTCTGCTGTTCCGGAGAGCAGAAATAAAGAACTCTTTCTCTGAACCAACCCTTGGTGTCATTTGACTTCCTTCCTCCTGTCCGCAGGACTCCAATAAGGCTACAAATGGAACATAAATTATCAACAATATCCTGTGTCTGGATAGGCCTTATAAAAACTTACTTGTTCTTGGCAGTCCCGTTTAGCATGCTGCTCGTTGGTAAGAGCTGTATTTGCTCTCTGAAGAGCTTCCTGGACTTCAGACTTCATACTGGCGAGATTTTTCTTCAGCTCAGAAAGCTAGTCATTAAACATCAAGTGTCAAACAATCACAAACTTTTGAAAACCATTACATTTTAAAGTTACAGCTGATTGGCGCACTGAATAATCAAAATTTAATTAAGTGCTAAACCTGAATTTGACTTAATTCAAGGTCATCTAAGGCAGTTCTTTACTTCTACACAAACTTCCCCAATAAAAAACCCTCTGCATGCTTAGGGCAGATTGATATAATCATGCTTTTCATCTGAATGAAACAAACACTGTCATCACTGGCTGTTTTCCATCACACGCTGAGGAAAAAGGAAGATTTCAAAAGATAAAGGTTATTTTGTGATGACCGCATCAGAAAAAAATACCGTATTTTTCGCTCTATAAGACACACCTAGTTTTTGGAGGAGGAAAACAAGAAAAAAAATACTCTGAATCCCAGAAGCCAGAACAGCAAGAGGGATCGCTGCGCAGTGAAAGCAGCAATCCCTCTTGCTGTTCTGGCTTCTGGGATAGCTGCGCAGCCTGCATTCGCTCCATAAGACGCACACACATACTTTTTAGGAGGGAAAAAGTGAGCCTTATAGAGCAAAAAATATGGTAATTGTGTGAATTAATTAACACAAGTAACTCTGTATGTCCAATGGGGCTTTGGGTGGCAGTTTTTAAGAACAGCAGCCCTGACACACACCCTCCACATGCCACATGGCAAACAGAGAGGACTTGCAAAAGCACATGGCAAAATGGCATCAGGGTCTGCATGTTCACCGAGTTAAAGAAAACCTTAAGAATAAAAATTACACTAGATATGCTCAAGTCCTTCCACAGAGAAGCCCTTTGTAGCCTGGCCAAGTTCTCTTGCTAGCTACAGTGAAAGGAAAAAATATGAAGGAGAATACTCGTGCTTCTATACCTGCTGTTCCATGTTCTCTATAGCTTTACGTTTCTCATCCTGAAGTTCCTGCTTTTCCTTCTCTGCCTCCATCAATTTCTTTTCTAGTTGGGACTGGTACTCAGAGGCCTCCTTCAGGCGGGCTTCAACGGCAGCGCGAACTTCTTCAGTTACCTGCACAATTAACTCAGTTTTAAATGTGATATCCGTAAGTGGCACACAGCACACAGAAAACCTGCCTACAGTCCATCACTTTCACTGAGAATGGAAAGCAAGCTTGAGAAATACAGGCCAATGCTCAAATCTGAATTACAGGCCAATGCTCAAATCCTAACCCTAACCCTCCCATTTTAAAGGGTGAGAAAAATCTACAAGTGTAACAGATAAAGGGCAAGCTGTTAGCTTGAGGAATCTGCTGTGAGGACAAAGCATGTCTGAGATACTCTTGGGCCACTTTTTATTTTATAGTTCCTAAATAAATGCCAATTAAAAATGAGATCTTTTCCACTGGCTTTCAGCAATATCAGCTCATGTAAGGGACCTACACAAATTATTTGACCGTATTGATCACAGCAGCAGTGTGCCAACTCCGGCCCACAGGTCTAATTAGATCTGTCAGGGATCCTATTCTGGCCCGCAAACATATGCGTCTGTATGGATTTTTAGGAGAGGGTAGTAAAAAGTGAAACGGGAGAGCAGGCTAGTTGTTCACAAAAAGGAAGGGAGCGGGGAAATAGTCCCTGCACATTTTAAATAATATTTTGGGTTCTACAAATGTTATAAGGTTTTTCTTCTCTTTTTTTAGTGAAAGCTGAGAATCTGGAAACTGTTATTCACCTAGAGGGGGGCAACTGCCCCCCCCCCATTGTGGGCATCTATGCCAGCGAGGCTGTTTTCCCCAAGTCACCCCCACCTGCAGGGCACCTGAGATTACCAGCATTAATTGATCAAGGAAAAGACACAGCTGGGACACCAGTTTAAAAGTACACTGCCACCTGGGCATGCAAAGCAGTGCTGGATCCCAATTCTCGAGGGTTGTTTCCCCCACCTTCTGACTAAATCACAAGAAAACTGCTTGCGTTTGTGCGGTTGTACCATGAAAACATAGTTCCATGTCTAAGTCATATTGAGCAGGCAGTTTTATTAGCCCAGTACCTGCTTCTCTTTGTTCAGGGATTCCTCGAGGCTTACAACCATAGCTTGGTATTGCTCCACATTACTTGTGGCAATCTTCAGCCTTTCCTTCAAATCATTCACTTGCTCCTCAGACTGTCTCAATCGACTTATGAGATCATCCACATCCTCGTTTGCACTTGGCTGGCCTAAAAATGGCAAAGATAAGGTTAAACAAAATAAAGTGTTCTTCAAATTAATTCTGGATTTGGGGGCATACTACGTGGAAGCTGAGAGCTGGACCATAAAGAAGGCTGATGGCCGAAGAATTGATGCTTTTGAATTATGGTGCTGGAGGAGACTCTTGAGAGTCCCATGGACTGCAAGAAGATCAAACCTATCCATTCTTAAGGAAATCAGCCCTGAGTGCTCACTGGAAGGACAGATCCTGAAGCTGAGGCTCCAATACTTTGGCCATCTCATGAGAAGAGAAGATTCCCCGGAAAAGACCCTGGTGTTGGGGAAGATTGAGGGCACAAGGAGAAGGGGACGACATGGTTGGATAGTGTTCTCGAAGCTACCAGCATGAGTTTGACCAAACTGCGGGAGGCAGTGGAAGACAGAAGTGCCTGGCGTGCTCTGGTCCATGGGGTCATGAAGAGTCAGACATGACTAAACAACAACAAACATGGAAGCTGTTTTCTCATGTTTTACACACGCTAGACACAGGTTCAACTTAGCAAATGTTTACACTTTTTCTTTTCTTACCTTGACCAGGAGCTCTTTGTGATGACTGGGATGCTAACTGGGCCTCCATATTGTGAAGCTGTTGCTTTAATGTTGCAATGTCCTTTTGGGCATTCTTCAGCAGTTCTTTTGTGCTAGCATGAAGATTTATTTCTGTCTCAAGCTGTCTTTTAGCATCCAATAAGTGAATCTGAAAAGGAACGGCCATACTTTACTTCAAAGACAGCGACTAAAACGTAACTCAACTGCAACCATAGGTAGCTTAAAACAGAATTTTGCACATCTCTTCACAAAACTGAGAAAAACTATGAACTGCAGAAGATATTTGCGTTTTGTTTGGGGAAATGTGAATTAGGTAGGTTTGTATGAAAATGTACATTAAATGAATTTCATCCCCCTTCCCTAGGCGTAATAGGTAGGTTGTACAGCAGCTCTCATGTTTGCTCAAGCATAAGATTTCTTTGGATTTTGTTTCGCTTGTCTACGCTCTCCTCTAGAAACATTATAAGGCATTTCTTCCATGAGTGGATAAAGCCTTCTACACATGGGGCAGTTTTCGAAGCAACTCTACGACTTGAATAAATACTGTATGAACTCCATTCTGGTGCCTTGAACCAGAAATGAATGGAGATCCATTTGTCTTTCTTTTCAAAAACCACAAGAGTGCTATGTCAACGACTTGTTTCTTTAATTTCTCATACTTACATCTTGAGTTTTGTTAACTGAATGCCTTTGTTCCGCCTCATTTTCTAGTTTTTTCTTCAGTTGGGCTATTTCACGCTCCAATTTCTCTATTTGGTTATTGAGCCTCTGTTGAGTTTCGGTCTCAGCCCTTTCCAGTATCACCTAGTAAAGAACAATATATACTAACATGGAACATTTTTGCTGAATTGTGCTGAAAGGAAGAGCGCTCCCAAATGCTTCTGTAGAAGAGTTTGGATTTGATACCCCGCTTTATCACTACCCGAAGGAGTCTCAAAGCGGCTAACATTCTCCTTTCCCTTCCTCCCCCACAACAAACACTCTGTGAGGCGAGTGAGGCTGAGAGACTTCAGAGAAGTGTGACTGGCCCAAGGTCACCCAGCAGCTGCATGTGGAGGAGCAGGGAAGCGAACCCAGTTCACCAGATTACGAGTCCACCGCTCTTAACCACTACACCACACTGGCTCTCTTACTGGCTGTAAAGCCCCCGCCCCCAAATCTGTTACTTACACACAGACCTATGTGCAAGAGAAACATTGTGTTGTTCCTGAGCAAGCTTTCCTCCATGAACACGCCCTGCTGAGACCCGGAGAGCATGAGTAAAGAGGGCACAAACAAACCTGAATAGATTGCAGATTAGTAAGCAGCATATTTTGTCCTCTCTGTGCTGTTACTAAAGAATCTTTCTGCTGAGTCAGGCGAACCTCTGCCATTTTCAAAATATCCTTCTCTTTTTTCAAATTCTCTGCTCTCACCTTTGAAAGAGATTACATTTGATCCTAGGTTAATTCAATCCTGGTAAGGTTAAGTGTTGACATCTGTATAAAGTGAGTTATTAACCCAAAATTTACATTCCCAGTGAGTTTTCGGCCACTTGAGTACATAAAGCCAAAACATATTAATCACAGCTTAGCTAGGCTCATGCCGTCCCTAGAAACAGAAATATGTTGCTGTCAACCACCTCAATGATGAACAATAAGCTAATGATGTGATAATTCCCAAAGCTTTTCAAGCTATAATTCTCTTTCTGAGCTATGATCTTAGATGAAGGGCAGTATATAAATGCAATAAACAATAAATAATCAATTCAATAAGTAACAAGAAGTAGTAGTATTAAGTGGGATATGTGTGTGCTGAATAAAGTTCACTCACACAACATAATTCTTCCTTCTGAAGGAATTCTTCCTTCTGTGCAGTCAGTCTGAAACGGGACCCAAACTCCACATTTTTCCTTCTCCAAGGGAGCATTTCTAAAATGCATTAACTTGAGCTTTTCAAGCTCAGGAAGCTTGAGCTTGAGTCAATGTATAAACAGAAAGCCAGCTGTATAAACAAGTGCTCAAAGCTCTCTCCTTTATCAGTCCGTGATGGCAAGGGATGACCTTGTCAGTTCCAGAGTAGAGCAGGGATGAGACGTCTGGGTCTTATCTTACGTCCTGACCACACTGACGTACAGACCTTTTCAGCCACCCGGGAACGGCGCCAGGAGCGCTCTTAGAGTTGGTGACCTCTTGCTCCAAGATAAGAGTATAGGAACAAGAACAGGAACACCCTTTTATGGTGAAGAGTACCGGAACAGGAATATCTGTTTATGGTCGTGGATGTCAACTTACATGTATAAGCTGATGTGGTTGGATTCCTGGGGGGGGGGGTGGAGAGGGTGCCTGGAGGATATATATACTGCATGAAATTTCTCATTTCTTTGGACTTGCTATGGACTGGCCACGCAAGTGCCTTCTGCTATCCGGAGAGCAGAATAAACTCTTTCTCTGAACCAAACCTCAGTGTCATTTGACTTCCTTTCTCCCTCCCGGGAGCAACGTAGACCCTACCAGTTGGTATAGTCTAATAAGACTACACTTCTCCCTTTCCCTGGAACATTCAGTTATGCATAATATGTTGTACTACTTACTTCTGCCACAGCTAATTTTTCATTAGCTCCTCTCAGCTCTTGAGTCATAGTGTTGATAATTTGTTCTTGTTTTTGAGTGGTTGCTGAAAGCTTCTGGATTCTTTCATGCAATGATGTTATCTCTCGCCGATATCCTTCCACATTATCCTGAAGCATCTCGTAACTTCACAAGGAACATAGATAAGATCATATTTCAACCAAATTGGTATTACAAACTCAAATGAGGAGAATTCTAACAATTTTGTTTCCACTAAAATCAACTGGAAACAAACAACTGAATAGGTTTTTTGTGTGCAAGTTTTCCAGTGGCTAAATTAACTGGTAATCTTACCGAGTACAGACAGTTCTAAGCATGGTTTTTGGCCCACCCCCAAGAATGTTTAAGAAAGAGGATGCAAGTTACTGAATATTTTTAATCAGTTCATACCTCTTTGAGTTTATTTTCATTATTTAAAACATTTATTCTCTATCAGCCCAGGATTGTAAACCATGGTTTTAAACTAACCAAGGTTATTGAAAACCATGGTGCAGATGTACTGCCAACCATGGTTACCTAAAAAGTGGAGGAAGTTATGACGCTGCATAGTACTCCCATCTCCTAACCTTAGTTTGATCAGGCAGTGTTAAGAGTCTACCATGTTCCTTGAAGTAATTTGTCCTATTTACTGCACGAGATTACTGCCACTAAAACTCCAGGTTTCAGGGCACAAACTGCAATCCTCCAATTGCATTAATAGTACAGAAGTCTTTCGTCAGCATTCATTAACGATGGCGTCGTTAGAGGAAGCATCGATTTGAGCTGCGCGTCAGTTGTGTTTTTTATTAGTTTTATCAGCTTTTTATTAGCTTTTATCAGTTCTAGTATTTTATTGCTCGGTATCTTTTTCTTAATTACTATAATCACAACGTTTAAGCTAAAAGTTTTAGAGAAAGCCCTGGAAAGTCTCAGAGAAAGCCTTAATTAGCTCCAGCTCGACTCAATCTACCAACTACTTATCAGCAGGAGAGGAGATCAAACGCCCTAATCTTGGAAGGATGCCGAGTTTCCTGATTTATAGCAGAAAACAGGCTGCATCTCCGTGAAAATGTCTAAAAGAAGCGATCGGCTTCATTTCTACAAGCGAGCCCACAGCAGAAGTGCAAGCAAAGTAAACTGGATGATTTTGTAAGAGCCCAGAATCCAGAACCTGCTACATCAAACAGAGTTCATTCTCAGCTAGGTGGGGACACTTTAATGGGTGGAGACCACCCAGGGGAGAATGCTGAGAGGAACACCCACGAACCATTCATTAATACTGTCTTACCGCTTGGAAGCAAATTCAAGTTGGGTGGAAATCTTTGTATTCTGTGACCTCAAGTCTGTAACCTGCTCCTGAAGCTTCTCATTTTGCTCATTCAGGAGTTTGTCATTCTCTGCCTTTTCTTTCTTGTAGCTCTCAAAGAACTCCTGCAGCTGTAGAGCAAGTCAAACGCGTTCAAAGATAAATACAAGGCCAAGCAGAAAACTGGGCTCCTTTTGTAAAGATGAGGAAAAGGCGTTTGGAGAAAGACTGGCTGGTACCTGTTTAAGAGCAGCCTTAGCCTCCACTGCCTCTGCTGATTCTGTCACTGGCACAGCAGCAGGAGTTGACATGGCCTGAGGCGCCCCTGACAGACGCTTAGGGGTCACTGCCAGAGACATTTCTTCTGGCAAGATGCTTGAAGCTATAAAAGAGAGAGAAGCAACATTATCAGATCAGAGAAAACGGAAAGATCCTTTATTTCTTACCTTTCCGAACCATCCTTTCCCTAGAGAGCTCAGAACAGTCCTCCTACTCCCCATTTTATGCTCACAACCTTGGGGGGGGGGGGGGAGCCAGGCGGTGAGTGTGTCACTAGCTGAAGGTCATCCAGAAAATCGCATGGGTGGATGTGGGTTCAGACCCATGTGTCCTTGGCAGTAAAGGTAAAGGACCGCTGGACAGTTCGGTTCATTCAAAGGCGACTATGGGGTTGCGGTGGTCATCTCACTTTCAGGCCAAGCGAGCCGGCGTTTGTCCACAGACAGCTTTGCGGGTCATGTGGCCAGCAGGACTAAACTGCTTCTGGTGCAACGGAACACTGTGACGGAAACCAGAGCACACGGAAACGCTGTTGACCTTCCCGCTGCAGTGGTACCTATTTATCTACTTTCACTGGCATGTTTTCGAACTGCTAGGTTGGCAGGAGCTGGGAAAAAGCAATGGGAGCTCACTTCGTCGTGGGGATTTGAACCGTTGACCTTCCAATCAGCAAGCTCAAGAGGCTCAGTAGTTTAGACCACAGCGCCACCCGCATCCCTTTTTACCTTTACCTTGGCAGGAGTCTGACCGTTAACCCAGTGCACATTACTGGTTCTCATTCACACTAATGGGCTACACTTTCCAACAGTGACATTTTCATGGGTTGTGGAATTCTGCATACCAGACCTCAAATTCTATCAAAGTTCATGTTTTTATTTACATTTGTGCCTACATCTGGATCAAATGATCTAGACAGCTTACAATATATTAAGGTAAAGGGTAAAGGGACCCCTGACCATTAGGTCCGGTCGTGACCGACTCTGGGGTTGCGGCGCTCATCTCGCTTTATTGGCCGAGGGAGCCGGCGTACAGCTTCCGGGTCATGTGGCCAGCACAACTAAGCCGCTTCTGGCGAACCAGAGCAGCGCATGGAAACGTGGTTTACCTTCCCACCGGAGCGGTACCTATTTATCTACTTGCACTTTGACGGGCTTTTGAACTGCTAGGTTGGCAGGAGCTGGGACTGAGCAACAGGATCTCACCCTGTTGCAGGGATTCGAACCGCCGACCTTCTGATCAGCAAGTCCTAGGCTCAGTCGTTTAGACCACAGTGCCACCCGCGTCCTACAATATATTACAACCATATAATTAGGAACTCAGAATCCCATTTCTCCCGCTAACAGCAAAGGCCAGAGGTTCTTTCTCCCGCACTTCTGCATTACTAGAGCACTTTCAACAACTGGAGCATATTATGCAAATCCTCATAAACATGCAAGCTGTGTTTATTTCTGCACAGCTGTCCAACTTGCTTTGGGGAGCTTCAATTCTTTTGGCGAAAGGGACCGTCATCTTCTCCTGCTCCCACTGCCCCCAGGGTGAAAGCTTATATTCTCCAGATTCTGCCACTAAAATCTAGCTCAGCTGAGGAAGAACGCAGGTGCCTCCTGCCACAGCTGATGTCCTTGAAGTGCCTGAGGTGCTGTCACACAATCTTCTCAACCTTACTGCCTTCTACTCCTGCTTTCAGCTGCGAAGTCTCACAAAATTCCTGTGATCTCACAAAATTCTCAGCTAAAGCTGTGCAGTGTTGTTACTTCTTAAAGAGGCCCAATATGCGGCTGAAAGCATGAATCAAAATTAAATTGATTCCTCCACTAATAATAATAATAATAATAATTTATTATTTATACCCTGCCCATCTGGCTGAGTTTCCCCAGCCACTCTGGGCGGCTCCCAATCGACTATTAACAACGATACAGCATTAAATATTAAAAACTTCCTTAAACAGGACTGCCTTCAGATGTCTTTTAAAAATAGGATAGCTGCTTATTTCCTTGACATCTGATGGGAGGGCATTCAAGAGGGTGGGCGCCACTACCGACAAGGCCCTCTGCCTGGTTCCCCGTAACCTCACGTCTCGCAATGTGTTGTGCATTTGGAACATCAAGCAACATAGAATGTAAGATTGAATCTACACTGTTCCTTCACAAAGTTTGAGCAATTTGTTCCAATCAGAAAATCACAACCTGAGAAACGGTTAGGCAAACTTTTGGGACATGCTTGCCATTCTACCCTCTCCAATTCTCACTGTACACAATGAAGAAAAAGAAGAAGAAGAAGAAGAAGAAGAAGAAGAAGAAGAGGAGGAGGAGGAGGAGTTTGGATTTGATATCCCGCTTTATCACTACCCGAAGGAGTCTCAAAGCGGCTAACAATCTCCTTTCCCTTCCTCCCCCACAACAAACACTCTGTGAGGTGAGTGGGGCTGAGAGACTTCAGAGAAGTGTGACTAGCCCAAGGTCACCCAGCAGCTGCATGTGGAGGAGCGGGGACGCGAACCCGGTTCCCCAGATTACGAGTCTATCGCTCTTAACCACTACACCACACTGGCTCCAAAGCCTAAACCTTGCTTTCCTCGCATTACAAAGAAGTACATTGGCATTATTGAAGGGACCATACCTTGCAATGGAATGGAAACTCCCGACGTCTGTGCCAGCAAGATGCGATACATGTCACGCTGGCGAACTATGGAGTCTACAAGCTGCATCTGGTGGTGCCGTGACTCACGTAACTTTTCCAGCTCAGTGATAGCTTCACTGAGTTGACTCTGCAGCTCAGAAATCCTGTCATGGAGAGAAAACAATTGTACTAATTTTTTATTTTTTTAAAATCAACCTCAGGTAACAAATATGTCTTATATTACTGCTTTCTAAACAGAACAAATATGTGATTAAGATCAGATTTCTGGATGTCAGAACATGCTGCTAAAGGGGAGCATACTTAGATGAAGTGGTTTCTTGCTCCTCTTTCTCTTTGGCGTCACCCAGCTCTCTGAGAGCCACTAAGAGGCGTTGGTTTTGCTGCTGAAGTTCCTCAATGTTCCTGTAGGAGACCAGATGTTGGCTTATGACTTCGGAAGAGCTGCTGATGTCAGCAGAGCTCACTTCTTCTTCGCGGATAACATGGTTGCCTCGGGCTTCTTCGAGTTCCACCAAAAGCACTCTTATCTTTAAAAAGGAAAACAGATGATTCATACAACAGGACAATAGCTCTTCCAGAGCTGTGCTGCAAGAATTCTATGCGAGATGTTAAAACGGTCATTCTGCTTTTTAATACAAACTGACTTTATTTTTAAGTGCATATTGTATCATGTTGTTTCGATTATTTACTGCCATCAATGTGGAATACAATAGGTTATGAATTTATGAAATAAAAGGTACGGGCTGCACTGAGCTGACGTTATTTTAAGGCTGCAATCTTAAAAGTGCATGCTTAAAATTAATTCCAAGTGAAATCATTAAGGCTTACTCTGGAGTAAGCAGAGGTTCAGAATCCCAATACTTTCAAAAACTGACTCTAACTTTAAGGTGAAATAGTATATCAAGGTATATAGGCTTACAAGAGTGAACCACTTAAAAAAACCAAACTAACCTGTTGTGAAAGATCTTTGACTTGGATTTCAAGCCTCTGGTTCTCTCTTTCAAGCAAAGAAGCTTGCTTGTTTGCTTTATCAGCATCATCTTGCAAACGTTGAATTTCCTGTAAACCAAATCCACACGCTTAAAAAAGAAATGTATTTATTTTGCAGGAATAATAAAAGGTCAAAATAAGAACAGAACTGCAAGCATATTAAACAGCTAACTTCTCCCAAAATTTACACTAGAACTACTATAACACAATAGTCTTATTGTTACCCAGTAGGTGGATTAGTGCTGATTTAAGAAAAGTATTTCACGTAGTTGAGGCCCAAAAGGGCCTATAGAATTTCAACTGTGGGACACGCAGGCCAAAAGAATTTGTAAGACTGGCTGCATAAAGAAGACCTCCTACATACCTAATTGATAAACACATTCAACCAATGTGCCAAATATAGTTGCAACAAGAGAACAAGATATGCCTTCTCCATTATATGACTCAGAGAAGTCGGTGATTGTTTTTATTTACCGTTTGTAAACCGCTTTTCACAAAGTAGCTTCAAAATGGTCACACAAAACAAAATCGGATTAAAACCAAATTCTGCGTGATTGCCATAAAACTTAGGGAACAAGCTGTGGTATCAAAATGATTAAGGACTTAAATGATAATTTTAGGTTATATGTTAGCGACTAAGTTAAAACTTTTATATATTTTAACTGTTGCTATATCTGTAGTGTCCCTGTTATACCGAATTGCAAACTCAAATGTATCCCTATCATGTTTTATGACTTCCTTGATATTGTATGTGGGCTGGAACTGGTCTGTGACCGAAATAATAAAACTTCAATTCATGACGTAGCATCAACAAAGCAGCTGACTCAACAAAAGGAGAAGCCACCAAAAGCATGTTGAAAAGAAGCACGCCAGCCTCACTGGGGAATGCCATTAGGAAAGAAACCTGACGCAGCCCATGGAAAGAGGGGATTCCGTATTTCCTGGGCAACAGTCAGTATGCTGTGGAGGACCATCTCACTTACAAGTAAGTGGGAACATTACTCAGCCGACTTGGATTTGGAGGAGGCCGAAATGGGAATAGAAACATTACTTCTCAATCCAAGGTGCATCACATTTTTCTTCAATCCAAGAAAGCCAGTGCTGATACCATCAATTGAGACATATCAATGAAAAATGGTGAGGGGTCTATATAGCCTAGGAGCTTGACCCACACCGTCAAGTAAATCACGCAGTGAAGCTCTTGATAAGACTGCAGGTTACCTGTTTGACTGCTCCTTCATATAAAACTCACTGGCTGGGAGAAAAAAAGACCCTCCAACATATAAAACTCTAATGCTGTGCCAGAGGGATTCCACTGACCCAATGGGACTCTTGTTTAGTCATGTTAAATTCTCGAGAATAACCTTTTGGAGAAAAATTTTGAAAATATTCTCGATTAATGAGAATATTAGAGAATTTTCATTTTAAATACAGTGGTACCTTGCAAGACGAATGCCCCGCAAGACGGAAAACTCGCTAGACGAAAGGGTTTTTGGTTTTTTGAGTCGCTTCGCAAGACGATTTTCCCTATGGGCTTGCTTCGCAAGACGGAAACGTCTTGCAAGTTTGTTTCCTTTTTCTTAAAACCGTTAATACAGTTGCGACTTGACTTCGAGGAGCAACTCATACCATGCGGTGTGGTAGCCTTTTTTGAGGTTTTTGAAGACTTTGGTATTTTTGAAGCTTTTCCAAAACTTTTCCGACACCATGCTTCGCAAGATGAAAAAAACCGCAAGACGAAAAAACTCGCGGAATGAATTAATTTCGTCTTGCGAGGCACCACTGTAGGAGAATATTCATTTTAATGCATTGAAAATGATATAATTAGTTAATATAAATGTTTATTCATGGGTAAACTTTTTCAGATGGCAACCAAAAACTGTACAAGTTTTTGTACAGATACTTTTATTCAATGGGGCATGTTACGGTTTAAGGCAAGTAAATTCAGTAATAGGCTATCTTGTGCTTCTAATAGCTCTAACACTTAATAACTGTGACTAACAAAACTATATGCATACATATAAAAAAGTCATTAACATTAAATATATTATCATTATATAATATATTTCAGTATGTCAATCTCTGGTAAGTGGCACTTTGTACCATTGAATGGCACTGCAAAAAACCAGTTACTGGCACTAAATAAAAATATAGAAACGTCAACTGTTTAAATCAAGGCCACCTCACATGCTGTTACACGTAATTGTATAGGCCTAGGTACTTAAAGTGTATAAAGCATTAAAGCTACTTTCTGTAAAAAAAATTACACTGTATGGCCAAGGGGATAGAATCTCGAAGAATATGGTCACACCTAAATAGAAAAAAGGGCTATTACATATAGTTGGAATACATATGAATTCAAATGTTCATCAAATTAAATGATTAGCATTTTTAAAACTAAAAAACAATGTTTTCTGTAGCTCACATTTCAGAACTGTCAATGGTGAATGACACAATGCCCAGTAATGTAACTGGATTAAAAAAAAAAAATCATTATTCATTACTTACACTGGCAATATCACAGCCTGACTTATTATTTACCAGATTTTTAAAATGTGGGTTGTAAAACTGGTTCTTACTGGTTCTTTACAGTTTGTGGAGAATATTCTCCAGAGAATTTTCTAGCAGAGAATGTTCTCATTCTGGAGAATATTCTCCGGAGAATATTCTCACCTCACCTCACTACTCCTGTTTCCTCTCCTCCTGTCCACTAAAAAAATCTGCTTTAGAGAGTCCAGAGAGGAGGAAGAGTAAATTGTATTATAGGCATGGAGGTCCCTTGTGGGTTGCAGCACTGGATACAGCTCAGCATCAAGGAGAATGGGAGGTAGAATCCTACCATGTGTGAAATTTAGAAATATATAACTATCTGGGGCGGGGAGTAAAAATGTGAACCACAAAATGTTGACCTTGAAACTCAACTCTAGCACACATAACTGTTGTTCACAGCTACAGTTTGACTATGTGTTGTGGGGATGGCGATAAACGGCAGTTTAACTAGGTGGCTGTAAACTGCACACTAAATTTAGGTCTGAAATCAGAAGCGAACAGGAAATTCTATCCCCTTTTCCCAGAGGGCAGCTGGGTGTGAAAGAAATCACTTTCGTTAAAAAACAAGGTAATGTGGTTGTGTGTGCTGATAAAGGCAAGTACATTTTGACTCTATCACTTTGGTTTTAAAAAAAAGGTAATGTGGTTGTATGTGCTGATAAAGGCGAGTACATTTTGACTCTGAATCTCAGTTCCGTTTTGTACCAACCTTCATTGCTTGCTCAAGTTTAGCAGACAGACTTGCTACAGCTTTCTGAGAGCGTTCATATTCTTCACGTTGACGCTTCAAAATAGGTGCTTTGGCTTCTACTTCCTGCACTATTTCATCCAAGTACTTATTAATCCTCTTATTCTCCATTTTTTCTAACAGCAGCTGATCCTGTGCTTCTACGTATGCATTGTAAAGCTGTGTTGAAAGATAAAAACACACAACTATTGAATGTCTTACCTAAAGAAGACAGGCAGCCATTTATCAACCAGCAGACATTTTCTAGACTTGTAACCATTAGACATATTCTGTTCCCAGGATACATGTAATTTCCTCCTCACCTTGACATCTGAGGGGTTGGAAAAGATCTATGGGATCAGCCCTGACAATGTGTTTATGTATTTTACATATAGCCCCCCACTATTGCCCAGGAGTGGGGACACAGGTGGTGCTGTGGGTTAAACCACAGAGCCTAGGACTTGCCGATCAGAAGGTCGGCAGTTCAAATCCCCACAACGGGGTGAGCTCCCATTGCTTGGTCCCAGCTCCTGCCAACCTAGCAGTTCGAAAGCACGTCAAAGTGCAAATAGATAAATAGGTACCGTTCCAGCAGGAAGGTAAACAGAGTTTCCGTGCGCTGCTCTGGTTCGCCAGAAGTGGCTTAGTCATGCTGGCCACATGACCCGGAAGCTGTACACCGGCTCCCTCGGCCAGTAAAGCGAGATGAGCGCGCAACCCCAGAGTCGGTCATGACTGGACCTAATGGTCAGGGGTCCCTTTGACAGTGCTGGATGAAACATTGTAACTGATACCAGAATTCTCAATAATGAATACAAGGGGTGTCGTGGAATTCTACTCAATATTGATCCAGAGTACATTCCAATGTATAGTTAGCAGAGTAACAACTTAAACAGGCTGCAGGATTCCCAAAATATAGACCAAAGGCAATTATATTCCATATCCAGCAGAGCTTTACTGCTACTGAAGGCAAAGGTGCATCATGGTCACAAATCCAATACATCCAGGATTGGGACTGTCCATAAGAAATCCAGTTGCAGCCAATTTAACTTAAACTTACAATAACTTATAATATGTCTAAACCTTAATACTAAGCGTACTATGTACAAAACACCACATCAGAAGGAAAAGAGACAGAGAAAGTGAAAGCCAGGCTCCTTCTGGCTTTACTTTTAGTCAGCATAACCTTGACAAAAAGAGATAACAGAACCAGTTTACTCAGCTTCTCTGAAGGAATAACCCAAACATCATGAACCTTCTGCTGGTTTCTTTCACACAGATAAGCGTCCATAACCCTTTTGAATTAGAATAGGAAAGATCTCTACATATCAGATCAATGCTTTCTGTATTAAGAAATGCAAACTGACAAGGGGGTTGTGTCTCTCTCTGTGTGTGTGTGTGTGTGTGTGTGAGAGAGAGAGAGAGAGAGAGAGAGAGAGAGAGAATGAACAAAGCTTTGTGTTCTCCAAGGAGAAATCTGACTTTGACCCAGAGCCGATAAAGGAAGCCTCCAAAAGCACTTGAGACCAAGAGCCAAATCATGGTCCAAACTGTCAGTGCACACTCCTAAAATGTACCTCTGTGACAAAAGGGAAATTTTCATGAGGGGTCCATGCCATTAACTTACAATGACATAAAACATCAACCTTCACAAGTGGAACACTAGCCAGATAGAATACACGAGTAAATTCTACTGAAATCAAATGTTAAGTTTAGTTAAAAACCCAAATGGGTGAACATTAGTCATTCAGTTTAAAAAAATTGTCCCAGTAAATGAGGCTGCATACAAAAACACAAATATGCAGGAATCTGCAAGCAGTACAGTATCATCTACATTACTTCCTACCTCGGTTAATTTCATGCCAGGCTTCACCACCTTTGCTACTGCAGCAGCCGTAGGAGACATAGCTGCCAGCTCCTCCTCTGAAAGAATGGCTCCTAGAAGAGAGAAATGGCAAAGGGCGTAGGTTTTTTAATGTACAAATCAAATCTAAAAGCTTCCAACTACATGCATATTCAAATACTTCAGATTTCTGACTGGCCCTAGAGTTTTGACTAGCCTGGTTATAAGCCTTCAGGGAAACTGCAAATAAAAATAAAGAATCAAACAGATTGGTTCAGGAAAACCATAGAAATATCCTGCAAATGATACTTGAGGTAAAATTTTTACTATTCTGTACGTTTCATATACTCAAGAGAATCCCCAGATAACCGTTTTTAAAACAGTTTGCATGTGGCTTTTCAAGTACTAGAACAGTATAAACAGCTGTAGAGTGAGGTATTGCTAAATGCCCCCATTTTACAAGGTCTATTTCCCTAGGTGTTACCAGACCTTTGCGCTTGGTGGCTGAAACCAAATCGTTTGCATTGTCCAACTCTTTCTCCAGCTTGCCAATCTTTTCCTTCAGTTCTTTTTCCACTGCGGCCTTTGATTGTTCCATTTCAGCCAAACGATCCCGTGTTTCTTTGTTAGCTGAGAATAGCAGAAGAAAGAAATGACCACTCACAACTTTTTAAGCTTCCAAGGATTACTAAACAAACCATACGGCGGGGCGATATGCAAATATTTTGAGAATTGTTTAAGTGCCCTCTTTGGCAACAGGTTTGCATCATCAGTGAGCTAGGAAACACTTAGAAGATCTAAGCCTGGATCTACGTGTGGCATGGAAGAAGTGGACACAGAGAGGTTTTCCCTCTCTCACAGCCCTAGAACTTGTGGACATCCAACGGAGCAAAATATACATAAAAAGGTAAAGGTAAAGGGACCCCTGACCGCTAGGTCCAGTCGCGGTGCTCATCTGGTTTTACTGGCCGAGGGAGCCAGCGTACAGCTTCCGGGTCATGTGGCCAGCATGACTAAGCTGCTTCTGGCGAACCACAGCAGTGCACGGAAACGCCGTTTACCTTCCCGTCAGAGTGGTACCTATTTACCTACTTGCACTTTGACGTGCTTTCAAACTGCTAGGTTGGCAGGAGCAGGAACCAAGCAACGGGAGCTCACCCCGTCGTGGGGATTCGAACCGCCGACCTTCTGATCGGCAAGTCCTAGGCTCTGTGGTTTAGACCACAGCGTCACCCGCATCCCTCTATACATACATTTATACATACAATATACATACATTTCACTAATTTTACAGTCATTTTAACATTTCAACACTTGACTTCCTTCCCCCTCTTTCTTCATTTTTCTCAGATGCTGTAACTATAGACGATGAGGGGTACAAATAAGATGCAAAAAAACAACACAAGCTTCAAGATCATTTGTTCCTTACCTTCACCTGCCTCCTTCAGAAGTTTGTGCAGCTCCTCTACAGCTTGGGTCAACTCATTGCTTTTTGCTTCCAAATCGTCAGCAGCACTCTAAATGCAACATATTTTAATTAAAGCACAGCAATTCAATATAGCAGCAAAAAAATTTAAAGCCTCGGAAAGTGGAGAGAGGGTGAGCTGGGTTTCATATAGACTATTGCAAGGAATTGGGAAGGAGAGGTTACAGAGTGCAAAATCATACTTCTAGCTAGCTGAAGCCCAACCTAGACTCATTTACTGAATACACTGATAAAGAACAGGCTATTATATTCCTAAAAGCATAGATTGTTTGGAATTGCTTAGACTCTGTGCTTGAAACCAGACTATGTGGCCTGGCATATGGCCAAACAGATTTATCACAAGCTAGACACTGGTAGCTGAGCCATAAAAGATGGGTGGACTTCAATGATTGTTCATGCAACGTCTGAGACCAAGAATCGTCTTTAAAAAGAGAAAAAAGAAAAAGATTGGAATGTTTCAGGAAAATCAAAACATCAATCAATAAAAAGTCACCTAAACTGGTAAAACTCTTTCCCTCGAACTTCCCATTACTTTTCATTCTGTGCTCTGTGTTGCATTTCATATAAGAACATGTTCTAAAAGTTTGGAAGATGTGATTAAGTCTATATAGCCATACCTGCAGGTAGCTGGGCTATCTCAACGTATTCAACAACAAAATGAGATCAGACTAGTGGCTATGCCAACACTTTCCAATCTTTTGATCTTAGTTAGGCTCATGTACTCCCTCCCTAATGTCCAGGGTGGATAAAATCAATAATTTTTTTTTTAAACCCAAACCAGATTTTTTTTAATTTAATTGGATTTTTAAAATAAAATGCTTCTGGAGAAAAAAATCTTTCTAAAGATAGTTTTATATTTAAGTTACATTATAGTCCAATGGCTATTCATCAGAAAATTAGGATTTGTTTTAAGTTTTTCATGTGTGCTAAAACTCAGTCTAAGTTTTTTTTTTTTAAATTGTTTAACCACATCAGTTAACAAACATGGATACACATGCTATAATGTTATTGTTTTAGTTAAATAAATTGTTTAAATTGTTACTAAGGAAATTATTATTTTTCTCCTTCCAATAAAGTACAGCAGAAAAGTTGTCCAAATATAAAGAGTTACCTTATTAAACCTCACAATAATTTCATAATTATCTATGTATTTCTAATAGTATAACCAAATCAGTAATTTTTGATATAACTGTAAAAACTGCTCTGAAAATATATTATTCCAATAATGAAACCTCTATCTGGTTGTAAATATTAAGATTATACCAGCAAGAATGAGTCTTTCTGTAAAAAAATGATTTAAATCAAATCTACCCTGCTAACGTCCCCCCCTTTTCAGCATTATCCACATTACCATTACATCTGTACCAAGCTAAACGCTAAGTACAGTTTTACAATAGAATCTGAAAATAGATGCTGGTTTACAGTTCTGAAGGTTGTATTAGCAACATGTTTAATAATGCACTGTGACAACTATAAAACGATGCAATGACAGTACCCAAAAGAACAAATTCTGCTTGCAGCATCAAGCAGTTGAAACGAATCATGGGGACCTAATGTGGCAAAGGGAATGTGGGGAGGAGCATGAATTCACTTAGGAGAGAGAAGGGAGATCATGTTATACACAGACTTCAGCGTCAAAACTCTGAAAGAGCTCCGAAATGTATCAATTATCCATCCCCAGATTACTTTTGTTAACATACTGGAGCACAACTATCCATGTCCATGTTTTCATAAGCAATCACTAACCAAAAGGTTACTTTCTAGAAATTCATATTCACCAGCACATTTGTGACTTCAACCTTCGCATGTCCTAGTTAGCATTTCACGGTAAGTATGATGAGCATCAACGTTTGTCAGCGTACGTTTATAATAAGCCCTGAAACTAAAATTTCAAAACCGTTATTAAAATTCATACCTTGTATAAGTTAGATAACTTGATATGGGCGTTCAGTTCATTGTGGAATCTTTCTTCCATGCTAGCTTGCTGTTCTTTTGCCTGGTGAATAAAGACATTTGTGCAGTTAACACACAATGAGAAGTTTTAAGGACCCAAAGGCTCTTCACAGTCATACAGCAGTTTGGTACTGAAAAATTATCATGAAAAAATAATTACATTTAAAATGCATTTAAGGGCAAAATCCTCACCTTTTTAGTTTGTTTTCAAAACTGAATTTGTATAAGAATACATTAGGCTACTGTGTGCTTCTCAAATGTATTTGGACAGAAATGCTGCAATTCATATTTTTGCCAGATTCACTCCATTTCTCTAAAGTAGTTCCATATATCACAGTCAGTTATTATAAGGAATTCCCACCTGAATGAGCATATATGCTTTCCCAGACCTAAGTCGACTGAAGTTAGCAGCCCTATGAGAATTACTTCATTTTTACCCGATACAAGCAAGAAGAGAGAAGCTACCTCAAATACTGGCATCGCTGTTGCCCACAACGGAAGCTAAAACAAAGGAATGTATGTTTACCTCCTTCAGTTTCAGCAGAAGATCTTCCACATGTTTCTGTAGATTTCCGTTAGATTGTTTTAGTCCACTGACTTGCTCTTCCAGTCTGGAAACCTCCTCTTTCTTGTTCTCCAAGTTACACTTCAGCTCTAAGATTTCACTTCCCTTTTCCCGAGTGATTAGCAGGAGTTCATCTGTTTTCGCCTTCAGTTCTGTATTCAGCCAAGTGTTCTGATTCTGTAGCAGTTCCTTTTCCTGCTCCCACCTTTGTTCCCGATGCTATGAAATAAAGTTATGTATGATACAGCATTCCATTCAAGCAGCAGTTAGAGGAAAAGAGTGCCCTGGGGCACATACTACATTTTGAAACAAGTTCTGTTAAGGCAAGTTCTTGGGCAATTCATACCAATCATGCAAGTGCAGGAATTCCTGTCAAATTATTATCAAGGGGACTGAGACTCAATGCCAGCTTCACTCTTATACATACTCAAAAGTAAGACTCCCTGCATTCAGCGATACATCTTCTCAAGTGTTTATAGGTTTGCAGCCTTAAATCACCCTGCATTCAGCGATACATCTTCTCAAGTGTTTATAGGTTTGCAGCCTTAAATCAAATAAACCCCACAACCAAATCTAGTCATGGTGCATCACAATTTCATTACTAATCCCGAACTTGTTAATTATCTGTCAACTAACTACATGTATGCTGTGAAATGTCCCATATTGCTTGAAACCTTATAAATATGACCACATCCTCTATAAAAGAATAGCTGAGTAACTATTCCAATAGATGGCTGGTAGAATTTTATTGAGACAGATAAAAAATGGCCACTGAAAAATTGTTTGTTAACATAGGAAGTGTGCCATTATCTTACTTCTACAATTATACAAAAGATAAGGGCATGAACAAGTTTTCCAGTACTCACCTTTACAGAAAAGGCTGATGTCTGAAGCTCATCCAGCTGTAATTGTAGCTCTATTTTTGCAGTATTCGCTGCTGCAAGTTTCTCATTCAGTCGTTTAACATCCTCTAGGAAAGGACATACAAAATGAAGAGATATTATGAAGAACATCTGTAGATGACCCTCCTGTATTGTCAAGCTCATGTAGAAGTGCCCATGGTGCGTGGGCTACCTTTGACTTCTTTGATGGCAGTGCTTAGAAGGCTATCGAAAACCATTGCAGGAATCTCCCCTAAAACCACTACTTAAAAGTAGAAATTCTAATCATTGCACAGTATGCCCATCACACAGTACAAGAACAAAATTACAAACTGTTCACTGTTGCTTAGTTTCATTAAGGATTTCCACTGGTAGTTTCACCTCGGTGCAATGATACTCTTAACTGAAGGATTGAGACAACCTGTCACCAAAACCCTTTTGACCATATCACTTGATGCTCACCATTTAGGTGTTCCTGCTCTTGAGCTCTTCTGTCACTTGTTCGAACCAAATCTCTCTTCTCCGCTTCCAACTCTTCTTTTGCTCTAGTGAGCTGATTCTTAAAACAAAGGAAAAGTGACTTTAAAAGGGACTATAGCACAATAAAAATCTGCTGTTAAAAGCGGTGTTAAGAAACATTAACTAGTGCAAGATTATTATCACTCTCTCAAGATTCACATCGAGACTTGGCAACTGAGGCTAATAAGAAAACCCTACTTTCACCAAAAATGCTACTTTCACAACGAGAGTCTACTTCTTTCAATGTAACATTGACAATGAATTGTGAAAGCTTCCATTCACTGGCATTATTGACAGTTTCTGTACCTGTATGGCTGCATTGCGATCCTGAGCAGCTTCCAGTTCTTTGTTTCTCTCATTTAACAATTTCAACTGCTCATCTGCATGGGAGACAAAATGAAGGACATTTTCAATTTTATATTTACATGAATTTATCTGTCAGAAATGGCTAAGTATCTTCTTTCTCCAATAAAAGAGTAAAGGGTTTGGACCTGAGGAGCTGAACCCTGAGTGATGTCAGGATCTAAAACTGACTGAGATCAGCCAACTGACCACCCCAAATGTGTGTCTAGTAGACAAGAAAGAATGTAGAATTCTCAGCATGTCCACCTCTGCTATGAGATTCTTCTCCATTGTAATTATCCCTATAGAACACCGCCCTTGCTTAACTGCAAGCCTCAAGGTAAAGGGACTCCTGACCGTTAGGTCCAGTCGTGGATGATTCTGGGGTTGCGGCGCTCATCTCGCTTTATTGGCCGAGGGAGCCGGTATACAGCTTCCAGGTCATGTGGCCAGCATGACTAAGCCGCTTCTGGCGAACCAGAGCAGTGCACGGAAATGCCATTTACCTTCCCAGGTAAGTAACAAAATAATGTTTACCTTTATCACAGAATGTAATTCTTCTGTCATCAAACAAATCAATTTTTCACTGAAAAACTGAATAACCTTTCTATGCAGAACTGGCAAAACTGACATACAAGCTACGGGACAAGGATAACTGTGACTTTAAAGATGAATGGGAACCCTTTATTAAGTATTTGAAGACACAACAAAGCGAACTGGACTCCTTGGCTGGTTTTGAATAAACGCTCACAAACTTTTTATTGATAATAATCAGCTAAATAGTTTGAGGATCTATACAACTATGTAACATGCAGAAAACAGCATTTTTAGAGAAATCGAAGACTGGAACTGAGGGAAGTCGGAGGGTGGGGGTGGTTGGGTTCTGTGGGGGGAGGGAGGGGGAGGGAAGGGAAATGGGGAAAAATAAGATTGATATATTTCTGGATAATATGTTTTGTTTTAATTTTGAATAAAAAGTTATTAAAAAAAAGAAAGAAAAACTGAATAACCTTTAGTTGTTTCAATACATATTTTGGAAAAATCACAAAATGAATACAACTAATAGTATTTACTGATCACCTTAATACATAGTAATACTTACTGAGTTTGCTGACCTCCTGTCGGAGATTCTGACATTCCTGTGTCTCATTTACGAGTCTTTCCTGACTCTGAGCAAGTCGTTTTTCTACTTCAAAATATTGTTGCTCTGCAAAACATGCATTAGCACAATTTCAAATTTTGCCCTTTCTCAGAGCTATTCAAGTCAAAGTGTGCCATTCACAGTTATGTAAAGTTGCAGGAATCCTTGTGAAAAGCACACAATTTTTAATCCAAAATACTCTACTTATCAGTCTCAGATTTTTTTGGACCACAACTCTCATCAGCCTCAATAAGAATGGACAATTATCAAGGAAGATGGGAATTGTATCCAAAACACCTGGAGAGCACCAAGCTGGGGAAGGCTGTTCTAAAGTGATACTAGGTCACCTATCGCCTATCTTCCTCACAGTCCAATCCATGTCCTTTTAAACATGAATGCATGTGGGGGGGATTTTGTTACTGTTATCATGTTACGTATTTTGTGTTATGTTGTAAACCACTCTGCCTAGATGTAGGGTGGTACATAAAATTAATAGAAAATAATAATAGTACCTGTTTTCCTAGAGCTGTAGACTAGTCTACATGTCATAAAATGCACCCAGGAATTAAAATCTCATACCACCCTAGACATTTCTGTTATACACAACATGCTGCCCTAAGCACAAGTACCAAAAATTCCAACACTTAAAGTAAATAGCAGCTTTACTTTTATATTGATCCAGTTCACAAGTACCTCTGAATTTTTCTATAGCCCATTTCCAGAAAATTAAGGCCCTGAACATTAACCACATTTGCTCAGTAGTAAGTTAATCGGGCTTACTTCCATGTGAGCAAGAGTCATAATTGCAACCTCCATGACTTGTTTCCTAAATGTGAACAGATACTCAACAGGAACAATTTAGAAAGAAAAATAAAAGCCCAAGCATATTGGGTGCTAACTGCAGCATCTAACACCTTAATGCTCTGCTCTCTTAACCCATACTGGCATAGACAAATGCCTGGAACACCTATGCTTTTGGGGGAGTGTGGCATGCTGTTTTTATTGTTGTGTTTGCATTTGTATGGTTTTCATAGATTTCTTTCTCTCTCTCTCTCTCTCTCACACACACACACACACAGTTCTAATTCACAGAAAAGTAGCTCTAGTTGGAAGGAACCCCAAGGGCCATCTAGTCTGACGCCATGCAGTGCGAAAATCTCAACACGTGATCCCTCATCCAATTTGAAACCATACCTGTCCCTGCTTAGCTTTGCAAATGTGCTAGCAGTATTATTGATGCACCACTTAGGAGTACATGTTTGTGTGTGTGTTTTAAATAGATGATTCCCCATGTTTTATTGGCTGTGGTTTTTCTCTGTTTCATGTCTGATGTCTTACTGTGCTTTAGTTTGTTGGAAGCAGCCCTGAGAGTGGTGACATGTAAATAAGTAATTATTATGAGTTTAACAATAATAACATTAAACATGCATTGTAATAATTATTTATTGTTTATATGCAGTCCTTTTCTGCCGCTATTATTATTATTATGGCATGCTGTTTGTATTGTTGTATTTGCATTTGTATGGTTTTCACAGATTTCTCTCTCTCTCTCTCTCTCTCTCTCTCACACACACACACACACAGAGTTCTAATTCACAGAATCGTAGATCCAGTTTGTTGGAAGAAGCCCGGAGAGCGGTGGCGTGTAAACAATAAATAATTATTATAAGTTTAATTAATAATAATATTAAACTCGCATTATAATATTTATTGCAGTCCATTTCTGCCATTATTATTATTATAGTGGCAGAAAAGGATTGCATAACCTGCCGCATCTGAATCCACTCTCGCTTCTGCTTTTACCCCACCTACTTTAATCTTAAAAGCATTATTATTACTATTATGGCATGCTGTTTGTATTGTTGTATTTGCATTTGTATGGTTTTCACAGATTTCTCTCTCTCTTTCTCTCTCTCTCTCTCTCTCACACACACACACACACACACAGAGTTCCAATTCACAGAATCGTAGATCCAGTTTGTTGGAAGCAGCCCGGAGAGTGGTGCCACGTAAACAATAAATAATTATTATGAGTTTAATTAATAATAATAATAACAGACTCACATTATTTTATTGTAGTCCTTTTCTGCCATTATTATTACTATTGTGGCAGAAAAGGATTGCCTAATCTGCCCCGTCTGAATCCCACCTACTTTAACCTTAAAAGCATAAACAAGAACCCGCCTCCCTCGCATGAACCAGTCCGGGTCCCTGGGGCCGCTTCCCGCCCTGCCCTCCTCGGCTTCCACTCACCGCTGTCCACCTTGTAGCGCTCGTGCCGGGTGCGGAGCGCCTCGATCTCGCTCTGCTGGTCGGCCAGGAACCGCTCGAGCTTCCCCTGCGCCGACTTGGGCAGCTTGGCCACCTCGGCCCGCTCCAGGACCTGCTGCAGCACCGCCGCCATCTTGGGCGGGATACCTGAGGGAAGGAGTGAAGGGGCGGCAGCGACAACGGCGGAAACGACGACACCCTCCGACCCACAACCCCCCGCGCGCGCGCCTTTACTTCCGGCCCGTGAGGGGCTGGGAAAAGGGTTGAGTGGCGGGTCGGAGAGGGCGGGCGCAAGACGCGAGGAGTGGGGGGGAGGGGGAGGAAGGTCGGCTTCTACGCACGCGCAAAGGAAGGCGCCGGCTTCCGCAGCAGCTCGAGAACGCAGAGATAGAAATGTAGACATGCCTTCGTCACCATTGCTTCCGGGTAAATAAATAAGTATGTAAGTAAATAAATGAATGAATGAATGAATGAATGAAAAGCGTGGGAACGTCCCGCTGTGTTTCTCCAATTTGGGTATCCAGTTGTTTTATAGGATTACAACTCCCATAATATTCCTAGCTTGCAGGACCAGAATATTTTGCTTCTAAAATATTTTATGGCTTAGGCAAATCTCCTTAAAAAGGATGTCCTGTTACAGGAAAGCTGACAGAGAGCAATCCTATACAGCTTTTAAACATAATGCATACCACGCAACACACATTTGTAACGTAAACTTCCATGCACATCTGGCTAAGCATCTTTGCAACTCCAATATATTGCCATAACTGGTGACTGCACGCTGGTGCAGCAGTCACAAGATCCATCTTTTTTTTGTAGTAGTAGTAGTAATAATAATTTATTATTTATACCCCGCCCATCTGGCTGGGCTTCCCAGCCACTCTGGACGGCTTCCAACAAAATATTAAAATACAGTAATGCATCGAACATTAAAAGCGTCAAGCCTAGAAAAAGGCGTCAAGAGCACCTGTGTAGTTTGGGCTCCAGAAAAATGGAGTTGTCGGCCTTTGTTTAACTTCTATGGTTGCTCAAAGGCTTCCTGGAGAAAAAAACCCTGCTTATTTCTATGGTGAAATATAGAGATTGAAACGCTGCAAAGGTAGTTAGGAGCGGAGTGTCCGCCATTTCGGGTGTGGCAAGTTTCCTTCCTTTTATTGAAACACCAGAAGCAAACGATCAAACGATTTTTAAAAAAAACCAGGTGAGTGGATTAAAGGTGGCAGATGCAAGCAGCAGAAAGGAATCACGAAGACACAAAAAAGAGGAGGGTGGCTGGCACTCTAACTCTTATTTCCGCCACACTCAATATGTCGGGTGCGGAGCGCAGCTTTTTTCCCCTTATGCGCGTGCGTCGAGTCTGCTGCGTCACTGAAAGGCGTCCCGGCTGACAGGAGAGCGGCGGCGGCGCCTCAAGATGACGCTCAGTGTGACACCTCAGTGTGTGGCAAAGAAGTTGGACGGTGGGACGCGGGCAGGTGAGAGGGACGGGCTGCCTTACCTGGGAATCTTTCCTCAGAAAGAAATGTCGGTGCCCAACAGATAAGATATCTCGGAAGGAAACTAGAATAGTCAGGGATGGTGGGAGCCGCAGCATAAAAACATTTGGAGGGTGGCAGGTTGGGGATTTGCTGTCAACTTGTCCCCTTTTTAAACGGAAATTCCCTTATTCCGAATAGGATTCCTCGCAAGAAAAGGGAAAAGTGGACAGCTATGGTTGGGGAAGCCTGGCGGAGGTGTGAGGGAAAAGGTCTCTTCTCTTTCTGGTGGAATGTGGCTTATCATAATTTATTGAATTTATATACAGTACCTGCCTATACCCGGGGTTCTCAGAATAAAATCAATATATAAAACCACAAAATAATAGTAGTAGTAATAATAATAATAATAATAATTTATTATTTGTACCCCGCCCATCTAGCTGGGTTTCCCCAGCCACTCTGGGTGGGTTCCAACAAAGATTAAAAATACATTAATACATATTAATACATAATGTAATATAATATAATATAATATAATATAATATGTGTGTGTGTATATGTGTGTGTGTGTGTGTGTGTGTGTAAAAAATAATATAATAATACTTAAATAATACATAAAAAATACAAAATACATAATAAAAAGAAAAACAGCAACCCAATAGCCCCACCCCTCAAAAAACACATTTTAAAAGGACATAGAAGGGGACGACAGAGGATGAGATGGTTGGACAGTGTTCGCGAAGCTACCAGCATGAGTTTGAGCAAACTGCAGGAGGCAGTGGAAGACAGGAGTGCCTGGCGTGCTCTGGTCCATGGGGTCACAAAGAGTTGGACACGACTAAACGTCTAAGCAACAACAAGGATGTAAATCAGATCAACCAAAGGCTTATCCTGAGCATATGTACTTTCTCAGAGTAGAAACCTGCTTTGCTTCTCTTTTCATCCTTTAACTTCTGGTGTTTTGCTCATTTGCCAGCTGCTGACTGGGCTATGGGACATTTGCAATAATGGGAAGGAGCTACTTTGTGGAAGAAGCTGTTGGGCAGTATTTGTCGGAGCTTGCCACTAACTCGCAAGCCCTTCTCACCGGCCTCTTGGTAGGGCAGGTAAGTGTGCTACGTGTGTGTTTGCTTGTGTCGAGTGGGACCTTATCCACCCACCCTGCTTTCTGTATCATTGTGGTGGAAGCCTCTTCTCTGAATAAATGCTCATTACTGTCATCATCATCACATGTCAAATTTGTTCGCTGCTGCTGTATCTTGCCCACGACTTACTACCAACCAAAGGGATAGACAGACAAATAACCCCACATAGATGTTTTAAAACCAAGTGATTACTCCTTAAGTTACAATTGGGTGTTTCCAGCTGGTGATTAATAGTTTGATTCTATTACTGTTTACACAGATATAAATTTATTCTTGTTTGTTGGTAAGTATGTTTTGAGTTTCATCTTAAAAGCACAATCCAACAGGAGGGTCTCTTCTGTACATGCCCCATGGAGTCCACACAGGTGAATTTCCTGCTGGTTTCTGCTCTTTTGGAGCTGTTCCACTGATTTACTTTGAGATTGATTGTGCATTTAGACCGATCTCTTCTTGAAATGTTGGAGAATAGTAGTTTAGAAGGGCTGTCTTTTGTCAGTTATTGCAGAACAGTAACAAATCAGGTTATTTGAGGTTTATTATATTATTCTTACACTTAAGAAGCATTACGTTGAAAATCAAGTTATTTTCGGCCAAATCTTGTGTTAAATTTGATATACTGTTAGCTGCTATTATGTTTCCCAGAGAGGGACTAAGTTTTGGGGTGGGGGTTTCATTATGGAAACTACTCACAGTTTGAGCTTATGAAGTGACCGAAATAGGCACACCGAAATGCATTGATTTTAGCCTTCGTGCAACACTCTTTGTGTGTATACATATATACACACATGTTATGGTAGATGAACAGTTGTAAAAGTGCTGAAGGGTTGAACTTGGATTCTTTTCTCTCTCCAAAGCTACTTCCTTCCTTCCCTATTTCTAGTGCTCCCAGCAAAGAGACTATGTTGTCCTAGCCATTCGAACACCTCCAAAAGAGGAGGAAAGTAAAAGCAATACAAGTCGTCGTTCAGATTTGTCTAATATTGATGAAGAATGGATCGCAGCACACGCCAATCAGGTCATAAACATTCAGTTGTTGCAGTTGCTTTCATTCTGAAAAGTGTTGTTTTTCTTGTAATGCTATTTCACTTTGATAATTGGTTTCTAAGCTACTGCTAAGTACTGTGTTCTTGTAGATTATAGTCTGAAACTGTAGACCTTCACAAATTTTAGAATGCTATGCATACCTGTGATAGCTGTAAACTTAGCTGACTCCTGATACTTCATATCCTGGCATCTTCCTGTCTGTTTTGACTTCTGATGTGGCCTTAACTGTACTTTTGGTCCCAATTTTCAAACCATCATAGCATATATATTGGATAGACAAGGTGTTCACCATGATCACTGGAATATTTCATAAATTGGAGGGCCATTGCAAGTATGTTTTTACTTGCATTATTATCTTAAGGAAGGCATGGGCAATGTGTGTAATATAATAAGACGAAGATGATGACGATTTATTAAATTTATATACTGCCTTTTATCAAGAGATCCTGAAAGAATATTTCTTTGTTAGTTTGTTAAACTTGTAGCCCACCCTCCCACATAAGTAATGGGGAGAGGTTGTGATTTATCTGAGGCCACCCTGAGGAGCAATTTGAAACTGGGTTTCCCTGTTTCAAGCCCCGGTTGCTAGGTGCTGTGCCATATTAGAGTGTGTTGTGGTATTTAATATACTGCTTAAGAATGTGGAAGTTTGACAGAATACTGTGAGTAATGAAAATGGGAAAAATATATATAATTGAAGAATCACAGACATATTGACAAGATCCCTATAGCTTGTATAGTTTTGCTTGATTATTGTATTGGAATTAGGGTCTGTTCCTTGTAACTGCGCAAATCAGAGGCAGTATCCCTTGAATAGCAAAAGGAGGTCACTACCAATAGACCTTATGTTGCCCATTCCTGAATTAATGTCCTGTAGATGTTGTGTTCATGGGCTTGGCAGATGTCACAGGCATGCTGATTTTTATCTGCTCTGTTTTTCTACCATGATTGCTGCCACAGTTTGAACTCCCATCAGTCATTGAAATGTATGTTATACATGGCCGGAAATTGTCAGTTGAATAACGGTGACGTCATTTGTGTTTGTCTGACTTTGTAGGTGTCACGAATGCTTCCTGGGGGATTGCTAGTCCTTGGTGTCTTTACTGTTGCAGCTCCAGAGCTGGCAAAAGAAATCCAAAATACCTTAAGGAAGGTAAAGGATAATACCCCTAGCATCCCTCTGGACTGGGGTGGGAAATCTGTTACCCTCCAGATATTGTTGCACTTCAACTCTCATCTGCCTCAGCCAGCTGACTGTGGTCCAGCAACGTCTGAAAGGACACTGGTACACCACTCCTGTCCTAGAAAATACTACTTGAATAGCAGCTAGCCTTCATTGTTTTCTTAAGCATAGTGACCAAAGTGGCTTACAACCGTTATGTGTGTGTGGAAACGCTATGATCAACATACAGTACTAGCATACAACAATGCATTTAATAAAATAACAAATGAAATCTGATGAAATAGAACAGTAAAACAGAGCAGCAGCCCATAAAACGAATCAAAAGCCCTACAAACCAACGAGATAAAAAGTCTCTACTTAGAAGGCAAAATGAATTTTGGGAAGGGAGTTCCAGAGCCACCAAAAAGGCCCTCTATACAAGCCTCTGCTGCTAGCAGAGCAGAGAGACAGGCTTCCCCTTAAGATCTTAACAACCAAGCAGGTTTGTGTGGAAGAGTGGGAAAGTTCAGTCGGTAGAGTTCAGTCATTTGAAGGCCACCTTCCCTCCCTTACACAACAGCCCCGAGCAAGGGAATGTCAGTCTATTTACCGTATTGGCCCCAATATAAGCAGCACCTGAATATGCCGCACCTTTAAAATTGGAGGGGGGCGGAAATAAAAAATACCTGAATATAAGCCGCTCCATTCCTCGCTGTTCCTGGCTGCATACTGGGTGAGTTGGGGAGGGAGCCACGCTGTGTTGTCGGCCAGGGAGAGGACAGAGGACTACCCACGGGGCAGCCACTGCTTTTCAGAGCTCCTGCCACTGTTTGCCTTGTGCTCCTGGCTGCATATTGTAAAGTCGCGAATATAAGCCACACTTTAACATTTCACAGTTGGAATTTTTGGGGGGGGTGGGGTGGGAATGCGGCTTATATTGAGGCCAGTACGGTATTTCGTGGTGACCTGCATAAAAGCAGTTGCACAGTTGTGCGTATGTGCGGTGTTTGCCTGTACTCTTTCTGTTTCTTTTTTAATGAGGACTAGAAACCAATCTTAATTCTCTTCTTAATTCTCTCCAAGCTTGTGTTTTCAGTAGAAAAATCTGTAGCTAGAAAGAGGTTGTGGAACATCTCAGAAGAAGATGTGTCTGACAGAGTGGCTCTTCATCTTTGCTCCGCTACAAAGAAGTATCCTTTTTTTTTTTACATTAAAATTAGGACCTTCATTTTAATGTGTAAAATAGATTTGATTATCTGTGCTCTGATCTGCCTCAGTTAGATAGCTCATGCTACAGTCTTATGCACAATTACTCCTAAGCTGCATTGAAACAGAGTTCAACTTGCTTCTGAGTAAACCTGCATAGGATTGTGCGACGATCCGGTTCTTGGTCATGCTGTGTGCCAAAGCCAGTGCTGCCACTCAGCACACGATCAATAGCTGCAAAGGAAACTAACACCGAGGTTCACCAACATTATGCATTTGTAGATACAGATGGATTTATGGGCTTAACTTGATGCTCACATTGTGAGCTACACACTATGAGAAGATTGAAAGAAAGACGATAGGTTTGGATTTCAGCCTTGCAGTCTATCTTGCTTCCCTGCCCCCTGTGCCACTGCCACATCTGCAGCCCTGTCGCGCATAGCAGCTGGGGCGAAAGGTTGGGGGGAAGCAGATAATTGTGCTAGCTTGGAGATGGTGCGGTGATCATGCCCAGATCAGGCCCCGTGATGTTATGTGATGGCAGTGAAATCGGATTGCAATTTAACAGCTCCTGGACCAAACCAGTCCCTCTCTTAGGAAAAACCCAGTGTGTCCAAAAACCCATTCTGGGACTTTTGACTGGCTGCAACTGGTGTAAACGGCCAACGGCCCTTCCACCCAAGCAGTCAGCAGGCTTAGCTGGGAGAAGCGGTGGTTTGGACAGTTCTGTCTGTTGGATCTAGTTACTGATTATGAAAAGCAAATGGAACAAATTATTTAACATGGCTCTATTGGGTTTTTCTGGATTACAGGGCTGGGTGCTTTAAATGTAGTAGGACCCTTCTCTGATCAACGTGGCATCTCCTTAAGTATTTGGATAATTGCATAAAGTTTGCCACACATCCTGCTACTTCCAAGTTACTGCTTAGAATACATGGTTATTCTCCTACTGCTGCAAAGTTAGCGAGTATTTAGCCACAGCTGGGAATAAAGACATTGCCATGACATAAAGGAACGGTTGGAAAATGACTTCTTTTTACAAGTGCTTTTTAAATAACATCCTTTAAGCACACTTGGTTATTATTCCTCAATTTGGAACGAATGCTTTGCCGCACTTATGATGTACAAGATCCAAAGGTAAGTTGTGTTTGCTTGTAGGAGGCGATGTTGTTAACTTTAGGCCTAATTTGGCAGGGAACTGTTTTGCAAGCCCCACTTCAAATGATTGGAGGAATCCCTAAAGCTATTGCTGTACTCAGTAAACTAACTCATGCACTTCAAGAGAGCCTCCTGAATACATTTTCTTGGTGGAATGGATCGGTCTCTCTCTTGCAATTCTTAGCAGCTTGCATAAAGCATTTAACTTCAGATGCAGCGGTAATACTGCCTTAGACTGCAATTCTGTGCATGTTAATCTAGAGTGAATCCCTTCTGGACATATATGTGGGTAATCATATGTAGATTGTTCAGACTCTGCAAGAAACATTGAATTATTGCCTTAATAATTTAGCCTCTCCTCTCCTTCTCTTCCCTCCTTCATTTAGAGTACAGCCAAGCCGGCAGACTGGAAATATCAGCATGGCCTTGCCATGTCATGGCTATCTTTAGAATGCACAATTAATGCTAATATACACATCCCACTACCAGTGACCTTGGCCAGCCACGACTTAGAGAAAAACACAAGGGTAACAGAACACTTGCTATGCATGACTTACATCTTGTCCGTTTAAGCTAATATTTATATTTTATGCTGTGAACTGCCCTGAGATCTATAGATAAGGGGCGGTATACAATTTTAATAAATTATAATAATTTAAGTTAATGTATATTTATATATTGGCTATAATGATATTTATCGTTCTGTTGGATTCTGCCTTTCCTTGCTTCTTTCTGAGCCTGGACAGCTTCTGTACTCTGCCCATTAAGCCACTTGGAAGATTCAGGACAGATTTAAAAAATACTTTACACAGCGCCTCGTGAATGTGGCGGCCCTTCTTTAGAGACTATGTTAAGGTGCTGGTATAAGCACTTCTGTAGATGTGTTTACAAAAGACATGTTTTAACTATATTTTGGAATCTAAAATAAAAAAGTGGGCTGTGATCAGCCGTAAACTGTTCTGAACTCATTGGAGCAAGGGTGGGGAGCATTTGGCCTTTACATGTTGTTGAACTACAACTCCCATCAGCCTTTACCATTGTCATGCTAGCTGGAGCTGATGGGAGTTCTAGTTCAGCAATATCTGGAGGATCAAAGGTTCACCACCCCTGCCTTGGAGGAATGGCAGGATACAAATGTGATTTTTTTTAAAGTTTAGGGTGTCTGATGATTGAACAGCCCTCTATTGTTCAGGCTTCCATGATGATCGCATGTAAATAAAGATGTACTGGGCTGAACATTAAAGTCATGGATTGTTCAGCAATGCAACATGCCTCCTTTTCTTTTCTTTTGTTTCCGCTTTAAAGAATGGATTAGCACGATGGGCCAAACAGATAGAGGAAGCTGTATTTCTGATCAATGGTCAAGTTAGAGAGGAAGATGCCGACTTACTGGAAGGGCAGGTAAGTGCTGAACAACGGAGTCTTAATGCTGGCGTAGGTCACAATGTTTAGAGAGGTATGTGTTTTCAGTGGTCAGTTTAGCATAGCTTGACTTGATAAGTACACCTTTATTTTGTAGATAATGGTGCTATTGCAGGAAAGGTGGCCAAATGAGTCTCAAATACTGAAGCCATGTGTCTCTTCTGATCAAGCAGTATTTTAACTGTCCACATGGTAGTAAGCAAACCATGCATAATGATTTGCCAGTTGACCAGAAGAACTTTATACACTGATCAGAAGGTCAGCGGTTTGAATCCCCGCGATGGGGTGAGCTCCCGTTGCTCTGTCCCAGCTCCTGCCATCCTAGCAGTTCGAAAGCATGCCAGTTCAAGTAGTTAAATAGGTGCCGCTGCAGCAGGAAAGAAAACAGTGTTTCAGTGTGCTCTGGTTTCCGTCACGGTGTTCTGTTGCGCCAGAAGTGGTTTAGTCCTGCTGGCCACATGACCCAGAAAGCTGTCTGTGGACAAATGCCGGCTCCCTCGGCCTGAAAGCGAGATGAGCGCCACAACCCCATAGTCACCTTTGACTGGACTTAACCATCCAGGGATCCTTTACCTTTTACCTTTATAATTGGTAACTGGTAAACTGTGTTCCTCCTTTCAGAATGTTCACCTGTCTCCCAGAGTCAAGGGCAATTGCTCAGTAGTAGCCTGCATGCTTTTCATGCAGAAGATCCCAGTTAGAGCTGGGAGAGACCCCTGTCCGAAATCCTGGAAAGCCACAGTAGTTAGTGTAGACAGTTCTGAGTTAGATGGATTTGTGGTCTGATCTGGTATGAGACAGCGTCCTGTGGAGGAAAAGAGTATCCCACTAGGATGAGAAATTCGGGATCATTGTGATTGTGGCAATTTATATTTTGTGTGTCTTTAAAAAGAAATGAAAAAACCCTCTTTCCTATACTACTTCTTTCTTACAGCAAGGTATTCTGCATGTCCATGCATTGGTCATTCTTTCACCACCAGTTTGATGTACCTAGTCTATGTGTTTATTTTCTGAAACTGGATACCTAATGTTTTGGGGCTTTATATCGTGAAATGTATTTTGCGTATAGGGCTTCCCAAAGTCCTGAGTGACCACCATAGTGCTTTGTAGCCTTGACTGCTGAGGGCTGAGCCCAAGGATAGAATTTGCAGTTTTGTTTGTTCTTCCACACAAATACAGAATTAAAGACTGTTAGGAGAAAATGTGCAACGTTTTCAGAAAAAAACGTATCCAACATTTATCTTGTAAAATTCACAACACCCAAATTCTATCTTTGGATATGGAACACATGAATTATTTTCTCTGCCATTTTCTGTGTTTCAATTATCTTTACAGAAAAAGTCTGCAAGAGGAAACACGCCATCAGCTACTCAGAGCCTTGATGTTCGGGTTTTAATGCAATTGGTAAGTAAATTCACCACTGCAATGGTAAAAAGAGAGTGATGTGAAAAGTCCCTGGTTTAGTTCTATGAATTCACTTGATGGCCTTATGTAATCTACTGTTTGTTGGCCTCTGCCTCTCTTCCATGGGGCAAACAGTAAAGGCCTACGGAATATCTCTATAGGAGAAGGTCACTTCCTTTTCTTCCATGCTGATTTAAATTCCCACTGGATTCTTGTTTGAGCATGATGTTTGGGAGCTTAGCAGCTATAAGAGATGGAAGCTGGGAAGTCCCCTGTTGAAGTCTCCCATTCCCTACCTAAATTGTGGAATTTCCAGCAGAGATGCAGAATATAGCACATAACACTTTATAGCTACTATCTCTCAGCATCAGGGATGAGCACTAAAAGTGCTTTTCAAGTGTTTGGCATTAATAGTCTAAACCAGCCTTTCTCAACCTAGGGTTCCCAGATGTTGTTGGACTGAACATCATCCCTGACTGACTATGGATGATGAAGTTGTGGTAAACTGTAGGGTGTAAATCTTACTCTAAAGGTTGTTGTAAGTTGCCGACCTATAGAGATGAAGTTGCAAGTCAAATCAGTTGGGGTCTGTACAGATGTTCCAAGAGGCCAGATGAAAAAGTAGAGGCCCTTATGCTCAGTGGCTTGATGCTAATCCTCAAAAGATTAACATGGCTGTGACAGCAGAGCATCTGATTTTGGCAAGCTGTTTTTTAACTGAGACTGAAGCTGAAATCAGGAGTGTTAAAATCTTAATTTATACTGCTGGTGAAAACTGTTGTTCCTGTAGGCCAGGCTTCCTCAACCTCGGCCTACAATGTTTTTGGCCAACAACTCCCATGATCCCTAGCTAGCAGGACCAGTGGTCAAGGATGATGGGAATTGTAGTCGCAAAACATCTGGAGGGCTGAGGTTGAAGAAGCCTTATGTAGGCTGATCCCTTGTTGATTTCCCACGCCCCAAATGCGGATCAATAGTACTTTCAGAATGATAGCAACACCTGTCATCTTCTTGTACAGAGGGGAAAGGGAATAAGCCTGCAATGTGAATACTAGAAAGCTCCATGTTTTAATGTTGCAAAAGGTTAGGTTAAATATATTTTGGTGAGAACACATCGTAGCATATAAAACAGCCAGAGAATTTTAAAACTGTAAACTCTGGAAATGTAAAAGTGGTCAAGAAATTGAGAAATCTGTGCTTGAGACTTCTTTATGTTTTCTCTTTCAGTCACGTAGTTCAAATGCCAGATCCACAGCAACAGTCCAGATATGCAGCGGCTCCATAAATCTTAAAGGTGCTTTAAAATGCAAAGCTTACATCCATAATAACAAGCCCAGAGTTAAAGATGCTGTTAAGGTACTTTTGCTGCCCTTCAGTCTACTGAAGGATTTGGTCTTAATCCTTGCATCCCAGATATTTTAGCAAGCAAGCAAGCAAGCAAGCAGATTTTGTTGTGTTTTCAGAAACCTGCCATCATACAATTTCAGCATAAAGGTCCTCAAACTGTTTAGTTTTCTACTGAGCATTAATCCAGAATAAATTTGTAAAAACTAAAAGAACAATAGCATACAAATGAACATAATGGAACGGTATAGTACAGTGGTACCTCGGGTTACATACGCTTCAGGTTACATACGCTTCAGGTTACAGACTCCGCTAACCCAGAAATAGTACCTCGGGTTAAGAACTTTGCTTCAGGATGAGAACAGAAATCGTGCTCCGGTGGCGTGGCAGCAGCAAGAGGCCCCATTAGCTAAAGTGGTGCTTCAGTTTAAGAACAGTTTCAGGTTTAGAACGGACCTCTGGAACGAATTAAGTACTTAACCCGAGGTACCACTGTATACAGTTACATAGAGTTCAGAAGGGAAATTCCTAGCTAGGAGTTTCACAAGTATATCCTTACCTACTTTCATTTAAATTTTTAGCAGTTTTTGTCAAAACAGCCATTATGAATTATACTGTTCTGAACGTGACATACCTACTCTGATCAGACAGTAAATATAGTAACTTCTCATCTATTGATTTCCTTCTGAGTTTCAACAGTAGTTGCAACATTTAGATCACAGTTCCATATACATTTCATGCCCCTGTAAAGATGTGTTTGATCCTCCACAACTAATGAATTGCATTAGCATTCCACCTTGGGAGTCCAGGGTTTGGCTGTCCTCTCCTGGGTTTCTGTATGTCATCCCATATCTCACATGGGTCTGGGATAAAGGGAAATATAGTGAGAGCAGGAGCCTCCAGCCTCTCCATCTCCAGCCCCTGCAACTGAGGATGCTAAGGATGCCTCTGTTTACTTGCAGTATCTGCCTTCCTGCTCTGTCAGAAGCCACAGTTTTCTTCCGTTGAAGGAACCATAAGCAGGTAGCATTTGCAACATGTTCAACAGCTGCCAGTCTCACTTCTGGGATTCTTTGGCATTCTAGAAGATGCAATCTCAGGACTATATTACCCATTCTTTGGCCCTTTGCCCAAAACTGGACCAGCTACCCGGCCCTGAAGGCAGGCTGAGCTTTCACATATTGCTTGTTTAACCTTTAATACCTCCCTGACTTGTTGCCCAGTGGAAAGAGGCTTCAAACGCTGGAATGTCTTTGTATCTTTTTGTTCTTGCCTTTGCAGGCCTTGAAGAGAGATATAATAAACACTCTCTCTGATCGTTGTGAAATGTTATTTGAAGACCTGCTTCTAAACGAAACACCAGGAAAGAAAAGTAAGAGCGGGCGGAAGGAATTGTAGGACTATATCTAGTTGTTGTTTTTTTAATTGCTTTTGAATTTGGATTTTAAAAATGAATTCCTTCTAAGGAATAGGAGGACGTACTTATTTATTAGTGAAAACAAGGGTGGAGTCATGTAAGTCCATGTGTCTGAGTACTGCATGTGAAAGCTGCTTATACTACTCTAACAATAACTAGGTTTTTTCCTGAGCAAATTATTCAAACTAGTTTCTCCCCATTGCTTTTTTTTTTTTGAGCGGGGGAGGGCAATGAATGCAAACTTAACTGCTTGCAGCCCAATCTGATGCATGACCTAGATGTCACTGCACCATTGAAACGGCAATATTATTAATTGCCTGCAATTTTTAGTTGCTTCTTTAGGTGGCATAGTTTGTCTACATATGTGCATGCTTTTGCATATTATGGGCCAACTAAGTTTGCTTTTTAGAGTTAAAACAAATAGTTTAGGCTCATTTCCCCTTCTTCTTCGAAGCATTCTGTGCCCTCAAGTTTGCTTTTTGTCATTTATTAGCCAAACTTCCCAGACTGCAATAGCGGATAATCATTGTCGGTTTACTGCAGTAAAAATGAATTGGAGAGCAACGGGGGCAGGAGGGGGGAGACATTTGGGACATCCCCCCCCCCCCAATACAGGAGAGCAAGTAAAACATCCCGGTTAATTTTTTTGTGGCAGCTTCCCACCTTCCTCAGCAAACTGCTTCTCCAGCACATCATTTGACCTTGGTATCAAAAGTTAGGAGCAGAGCCATTGAAATGAATGGACTGGTCCATTCATCTCATTGCTTCTACTTTGAGTGGAACTTGGTTGGCTACAATCTAATATATAAAATCTCTCTTCCCCACCCCCGGAATAAATCCAGCTTGGAAGACCAGGCAGTGGCTTCAGCAGGCTTACAGCCTTGTAAGAGAATTTGTGGAGCTTTACTGAGAAATTATATTTTCCTCCATGTTTGTGGGCTGTTCTGAGTGATCAGTCTCTGTGGCGCAGGATAGCAGACTTGAGATCCCCTTGGCACGGCCATGGCATCACCGCTGCTAGTCGGTCCCTTCTGCCAGATAACTCCTCAACAGAGCTTTCAGACATGCATTCCGTGTCAGCACCAGTGCTATGGAAAGATGCAAGTTGGTGACATTGTTATATTGTATGTTTCATTTTTAAGATTTGATACCTCACCAAGTAATCCATATGCTTCTTGCAGCACCTGCAGTGCAGGTTAAATTAATATAAAATTGAGATTGCGTAATTAGGGCATGTGACACACCTATACAGACATAGTGCTGATGCTGCCTGAACACAGAAACACCGGAGTATATACTAGTAGTCACAATGTCCCTTAGTGGTGTTCAATATTTTATTAATAATATTTTATTTTATATTTCTGTTTTAGATTCTGAAAGGGAGTACCACACCTTGCCTTGCAGAGTGTTTGCTCCCATCGTTGGGTCCAGCGTGTTGCTGTGCGACTATAAGTTTGGAGACGAGACAGCCAGGGAAATCCAAGAGCGCTTCCTTGAGATGCTGGATCAAGCTGTTCAACCAGAGGATTTGCAGACAGCTGAGGAAATGAATATGGGTAAATATAGCCACTAAGTTAAGAGGCGGATTACGCTTTGCCAGGAATTATAGAGAAGCTCAACCTGTGGAACAAGCAGAGCTTAACACTGGCTCCTAAAATGTTTTCTGCCTCAAACCTGAGCCTCAACAAGTGACGTCCAAGCAAGAGGGAAAGTTGGGTTTAGGCTATTCACTTTCATCCATATTGGTCTAAATGGTGGCATTACTGGAAACCTGGTAGTGGGGCCTAGTGGTGTGGCGGGGTCTGCCAAAGGTCAGTACAAAACAACCAAACTTTAAACATAAAATGTAAGAGAATACCTACAAGATTTTAATAATAATAATAATAATAATAATAATAATAATAATAATAATAATTTTTATTTATACTCTGCCCTTCCTGGTTTAAAAACCAGGCTCAGGGCGGCTAACAACAAATATAAAACATTGATTAAAATGCGACTTAAAAACAGCATAAAACAGCATAGAATACAACATAAAATGCAGCATCAATATCAATAAAATTCAAAAATTCAGGGGTCATTTTTGGAAGGAAAAAACACACCCAGTCAGTAGACATTGAATGATCACCAGGGCTAACTGGCTAAGTTGGTCCTACTAGGGCCAGCAAGGAGACCAGGGAAGAATTTAAATGTGGGGTCACAGAAAGGGTTTCTTTATAGAAGAGGAAAGGGAAAAGGGAATAGTAAAAAGGTAAAGGGACCCCTGACCATTAGGTCCAGTCGTGACCGACTCTGGGGTTGCGGCGCTCATCTCGCTTTATTAGCCGAGGGAGCCGGCGTACAGCTACCAGGTCATGTGGCCAGCATGACTAAGCCGCTTCTGGCGAACCAGAGCAGCGCACGGAAACGCCATTTACCTTTCCGCCGGAGCGGTACCTATTTATCTACTTGCACTTTGATGTGCTTTTGAACTGCTAGGTTGGCAGGAGCTGGGACCGAGCAACGGGAGCTCACCCCGTCGTGGGGATTCGAACCGCCGACCTTCTGTTCGGCAAGTCCTAGGCTCTGTGGTTTAACCCACAGCGCCACCCGCGTCCCTAAAGGGAATAGAGAATAGAGGATCAGGCTAATTCAAATTGAAGGCCAGGCGGAATAGCTCTGTCTTACAGGCCCCACAAATAATAACATTTAATAACATTTATTTTTAAAAAGTAGCTTGTAATGCTTCTTAGGCCTTGCACTCAGTCCGAAATTGGGAACTTCTCATTCACCTTTCTGAGTAAAGACCAAGCTAGATGTGGCCAAAACAGTCCCGGGTGGAATCTTCCAACATCTATCTTTTCCTAAAAGCAACACCATGGGATTTTGAATGATCTCCTCCGCTTCCAGTGTTGCAGACCCAAACAAAATGATACCTGAGCAGTATGTTTTTCCTTTTGCAGCTAATTGCACTTAGGCAGTATTTGAATTAGGGCCACAGCACGGCGGGAAACACTACAGCCCCAGTCCAAATCAGAACAAGAAAGTTGTCTTTGGGGAGCCAGCCAGGAACTTCCTGCATTACATCTAGTTTGGCACTTGGTAAAAGAGCAAAAGACTTGTTTTCTTTGTGTAAAACCAAAACTGAATATTCAAGGTATAAACTTGGAAAATAGCCCTTGCCTGTGGCTATGGTCCTGGCATGAAAGCAAGGACAATGGAAAGGAAAAAGGCAACACGACAGCTAAAAGTTCTAGAAACTTGGGTTGTTTGAAACGAGGCGATTCTGCCCTCTAATACTGTATAGATTATGTTGACTACCTTATACAGTGGTACCTTGGTTTGCGAACAGCCTAGTTTCCGACCATTTTGGATTGCGACCAGTTCAAACCTGGAAGTGCACATTTTATTACTACCCAATTTTTTTGGTTTACAAACAATTTTTTGGATTACGACCCCCCCCCTTTTTTTTTGAGGCCCCATTGGCGAAAGCGTGCCTTGGGTTACAACCTGTTTTGGTTTACGAACGGACCTCTGGAACGGATTATGGTTGTAAACCAAGGCACCACTGAAACTTTCCATTTTGGGTCCATAGTTCAGTCCTTATGCTGTCACACCCACTGTTTCTAGTGCTCTCCTGTCCTTCTCTGGTTAGCTTTCTTAACAGTCCCTAAAACAAATTAACTTGACTCACTTTAGAAGTTTGTAGTTGGAATTAATAAATAATCCATAAATTAGCTTGCACTTAAAAAAACCAAAAACAAAACCCTAACTTGTTTAGATATGGAATTTGCTATGCTTTTCTATTCTTTAGCATAAGCAAATACGTTTTGCATCAGGAAGTTCCTTCGCTAAATCCCTGTTGCTACCATCAAGGGGTTAAGTCCTCTTGAGTAGATCAACACAAATAAGATTTCAGCGAGGGTAATCCCTTCTCCTGTACTCATTCTTTCTTATCTAGTGGAAGACCTAATGAACTCAAGCAATAGGTCTTCTGGCCTCTACAGAGCTGTGTAGCTGTGAGTCACTTTTGAGTCGCTTCTGGCGTTATTGTTGAGATAAAGCCTTCCTAGCATTTTTAGACCCTGAGATATGAGGTTTAAGCCTCATTTCAGTGGTTGTGTGTGTGTGTAAGTAAGACCCGTGACTAGGTATTCTGTACTCGGACTAAATTACGCACATGCGTTTTGCATATGTTTACTTGAAGCTGATCCTACAGTTTTCTGAAGAGTTTGGACAAGGCTATGTGTTACTGGGCAAGGAGGGGAGACAAGTGTGTGAGAATGGGATTAGGGTGAATCCACAAAGACCATTTTTGTATCTTCTTTCTTAAACCAGTTGAAGTAACCCCCCTGAAGGAATTCCAAGATGTTGTGCAAGAGAAACGGTTGACTAAAGAAGTGCTTCTGTTGAAGCTTCATCAAAATATAGGTAGGTAGGCTCCAGCAATTGCTCTTGCACCAATGGAAGCAATGAGTGGTATTCAACACTAGTCCTACTTGGAGTAGACCTATTGCATTTATCTGCATGACTAATTTAGATTCATTAATTTCAAAAGCTCTACTCTGAACAGGATTTAGCCGAATACAACCCAGGGGGAAATGAGAAACAGGTGCAGTCGTTGTGGTTGATATTGGCGCCCCAAATGAGCATTCTCTCTACAGTGCATCAGACTGAGCTTCCCAATTTCAAAGGTCATCTGTGATGCCTTATTGGGTATAAAGAACTGAGGGTGGCATGACAGGGTCCTACTAGAACAGAAACGCAGTCTGTTTTGCCAGTGTTTTGCACTTACTTAGCCACCCCTTTAGGATATTGCATGCCAGCAGGGGCACAATTATAACAATTCGTGAAAGCAGCAGAATTCAGATGCCTGCTGTGTTAACCTGAACATTTGTTTTAATTTCCTTCCTTCCTTTCCTTCAAAACAAAAACAATTTGCCAAGGCAGCAATCCTGTATCCGTTTACCTGGGAGTAAACTGCACTGAAACCAGCAGTACTTAGTTCTGAATAGACATGTGTGGGAATGTACTATAAAATGGGAGTGGTTTTAGTTAGCGTAAAAGGTAAAGGTACCCCTGACCATTAGGTCCAGTCGCGGAAGACTCTGGGGTTGCGTGCTCTTCTCACTCTATAGGCCAAGGGAGCCAGCGTTTGTCCGCAGACAGCTTCCGGGTCATGTGGGCAGCATGACTAAGCTGCTTATGGCGAACCAGAGCAGCGCACGGAAATGCCAATTACCTTCCCACTGGAGCAGTACCTATTTCTCTAGTTGCACTTGATGTGCTTCCAAACTGCTAGGTGGGCAGGAGCTGGGACTGAACAATGGGAGCTTACCACGTTGTGGGGATTCGAACCGCTGACCTTCCGAACAGCAAGCCCTAGGCTCTGTGGTTTAGACCACAGCGCCACCTGCGTCCCTTTAGTTAGGGAACAAGCATCTATTCCTCAAAGCGTGGGGCAAGGTGGCAGGACAAACTACTAGGCAATGCCGTGATACAGCTGTTTGACTGTTGGCCTTAGAGCAGAGTATAAATAAAATTATAGGCATATAGGAGCGACTAGAGAAAGTAAAAAACAAAAACACACAAATTAAGTCTACGGTCTCTCATCTTTTCCATTCTTTCTCACTTGTTGTCTTTCTTGATATCTGTTATCTGAGTCTTTTGTGGTTGTGGTTGATATCTGTGATGCCTGAATCTCCGAGTGCAAAAGGATAGAATGAGTTATGCATGTCAGAGGCCTCGGATAGATCCCTGAGCTAAGGTAACGGCAGTTGAAGAAAGGGGCTGGGATTAGTCAGTGCACAGAGAGGAAGTGTTATTGTCACATGTCTGGTAAAGCCTTTGCAATGTACGGTGGAGCAACAGGATTTCACTTGCCCTGCCTTGCCTAATGTGCTCCATGTCATGTGTAATTGATGTGTATATGTGTCAACACCTTTATAGTGTCTGTGAATCAGCTTTGAAGGTCCTGTTTCTACATTTTGTGGTAACGTTAATGTGCCTGAAATTTGGAGCAGATCTAGCCCAGGTCCAGTCAATTATCTCTCTATCTTTTTATCTGCAAGCTGAACCTAGCCAGCAGAGATCTGGTAAACCTCAGTCTGTTTCCAGACCTTATTTGAACAGGGGCAGTAAAAACTGTCAGCCTCTCTGCATATTCAGCCTCATAAGTGTGGGTCACCCCACATGCTCACACCTTTCAAGCTTGCTGGGTGAAGGTCATGTATCAGTCGTGAAATTAGATTTTGTGCACAGACTTGTCAGCTACATGTTACATCCAACACAGAGAAGCAAGGTGGGGCCTGGAGTCGATCTGTGCCATTGTGCGGCATGTTGATTTTGTATACTTTGCGTTGTCTGTGACGGAATTGAGAAAATATGCGTATCGTTGAAGAGAATGGAAATGGCTATCTGAACCCTTATATATTTTGAATGTTGCTGGTGAACAAGTACTGTGTTTCAGGGACTTCCATTGTGTCTCTGCTAATCTCTTTCCCACTCCTTGCCTTTTTGACAATCAAGTTCTCCTTTTCACGTACTGAATTTGCCTTTCCTTTGTCGTTTTCAGGAGTGGTGATAGCAGTGGCTGTCGCAATATCCGCAGCAGCCTTCTCCTTCAACTATTTCAGCGACTAGGCTTCAGATACTAAGAGCCAACCTGAAAACTCCAGCTGCCCCAGATGCCCTCTAAAGATGCACGCTTCCAGAACCGATTGCTTTAACAACCAAGTGTGTCACCTAACAAGGCCAATTAGCAGAAGCTATCCTTATTTAGAACAGCTATCCTGTTTCTGCATGCCATAGTGTAGGTGGTATGATTTTTGAGAGGGTGTGTTGGGGGGAAGACCAACACTACCGATCGGCAGATTAATGCGACATTACTTTCCCAAGTTCACAAAGAATTTGTCAAACGTCTACTTACCTTTCCGCTTACTAATTAAAAGGACCATTGTTAAAGTTGTTATTTTGTGTTTTTCTAGAAATGCCAAAGCTGTGTGCGATTGTGCAAAGTTTGCTTTCTTCTTTAAACTGCCCAACACTTAAAAAAATACCTTATGGGTCTTAGTTCTCCCCTTCCCCCTATTTCTGTGAACATCACTGGGGTGTCTAAGAGAGGGTTTGGGACCCATTCCTGCCTTGGCAATCTCCTAGGGCTTCATGCCAACGGTGTGCGAGGTCAAATGCAAAAGGGGCCAGAATAATGGGTGTGACATTTAAAGGTAAAGGTAAAAGGACCCCTGACCATTAGGTCCAGTCGTGACCAACTCTGGGGTTGCGGCGCTCATCTCACTTTATTGGCCGAGGGAGCCGGTGTCCAGCTTCCAGGTCATGTGGCCAGCATGACTAAGCTGCTTCTGGCGAACCAGAGCAGCGCACGGAAACACCGTTTACCTTCCCGCCGGAGCGGTACCTATTTATCTACTTGTACTTTGACATGCTTTCGAACTGCTAGGTTGGCAGGAGCTGGGACCGAGCAACGGGAGCTCACCCCGTCGCGGGGATGCGAACCGCCGACCTTCTGATCGGCAAGTCCTAGGCTCTGTGGTTTAACCCACAGCGGCACCCGTGTCCCTGGTGTGACATTTAGCTGTATACAATAGGCTACATTCCAGCTAGATGCAGTTTCATTAGTATAAGAAAAGGTAGCTGGGCCCTTTCCTTTTTCGTAGACATGCGATCCTCATCATTTTCTTAAACCGCAGCAGCTACGCAGCAGCCTATGGAGGTGTTGCGTTGCCACTTAGCGATTTAATATCCTAGTCTATTTTGCAAGCGAGAGCTGCAGTCATCACTTGGCCCTCCGGCTTGTAGAAGCCTCCCTTGCGTGATTACTCTTCTTCCAACACACAACAGGAAAAAAACATCCACAAGTGAGAGATCGTGTTCAAAGGGATTCTGAATTTATAGGATGATCATGCCTGTTATCTGGGGGATATATTTATGATCTGACAGGAAACCTCAGAAGTAATTATGTCTTACATGCTATTTTAGGAAACTAGCAGTTAAAAGAAAAACGGGGAAAGCCCGGGAATGCAGCGGTTGGAGCCACCGAAGGCTGATTCATCAGAGGTGTGTCCTCTTGAGGGAAGTGTAGGGGTTGTAACGCTTCCCCATCTGTCCTGAGTTGTGTGCCAGCCCTTCACTTGGGAGTACTAGTGAGAACTTGACTTGAAGAATATCCACCTGTTTAATTCTCAGTCCATCAGTTGTCTCCTTTGCCCTCCGTTCGTAGGCACATGCTGTCCACCCTGTGGGATGGCTCTACAAAGCCAGATGGTTTTAATAACACCATGCTCAATGGGATTTACACATCTCCATTCTACGCTTGGAAATGGGAGAAGGTGGGATCGCCTAGGGTGGAACACCTGGTTTATAACGTGACACATTCAAGTTGAAGTTCAGGGGCTTCCCCCCCTCCTTTTATGAACAAAGGGCAGGAAAGGCCTAGCCCTTCTTTTTGTGTGTGTTTGCATGCTGCTGGGTGAAGTGAATTAAGACACCTGTGAGGGGTGTGCCTTGAGGGGGAACCCCATTGAGAAGGTGGACGAGGAAGAAGGAAGGGCAAGTCCTTGCTTGCCTCATCTGTGTGGGTTTCCTGCACAGCTCAATAGCTGACTGCAATGTAACTGAAAGTGTTGCCATCGATGGTAGAGGAGGATTTCCCTGATGTGGTGCCAAAAGGTTTTTGCAACCTCCAAAGTATATATTTGTGAAATCACTTTTATTGATTTTCCAGATATAAATTTATAACATTCCAAATTCATATCCATACATAGAGATTACTCTGAATCTCAAGACTTCCATCCATGGGTCCTATTGCCAACATTTACAACTGCATATAATTCCGTAGTCTGTATTTTAAATCAATCCACATTACCTATAGTATTTGTTACGTTACAAGTGTTATTGAAATCCTGCTAATGTTTCCATCTGCTTGCAGTGATCTCCTAGCTAAATTATATTCCCCCCCCCATTCTTTTTTAAAGTTTTTGTACTCTTGGTTCCCAAAGTTTCACTTTGGTGATATTATGCCGAAATGTATCTTGTTACTCTGCCGTGCCCTCCAAATTTAAAGAAAATATATGAGTGTGTGTGTGTGTGTGTGTGTGTGTGAGAGAGAGAGACAATTTGATTTGCGTTTCCCCTCCTTTGATGTCAGCAGGATACGTTCTTCTTAAATAAAAATTTAAAATGTGTCATGGTCACTTTTACACTCAAAATTAGGCATGCGGTCCGTGGGTTGGTCCTGTGTTGATGAGGCCCTTAGTCCAAAATAAGTTAGCCACCCTTACTTTGCTTGGTGGATCTCGTGTGACTGTTCATCCTAACCCTACTGAATGCCTAGAGACCTGATTTAGGCTTTATGATACATCAAGTAAGAATTGTCAACGTGTTCAGACTACGGTACTAAACATGGATGGTAGGGGCACTTTTCAGGGGTCCTACCTTGCAAGACAGTCAGAAGCTAGTAAGTGCATAAGCTTTGATGCTAGAACTTAATTATAGATCTAGGTCTAGGCACATGCCACAATTTGGCAAAAGCACAGGAGGATTCAGTGTTGAAGCTGGGGCTGATTTGGGGGATGGACTGTAGAAGCATGTTAATTTTGCATCATTTTAGCTTTCCTTGAGACAATTCCGGTTACTTTGGTGCAGAACATTTGGGGTTTATTAGCACATGCACACGCCCTGCTGCCTCTTAATCCCTATAACCTACTAGAAGGTGATCGTATTTGTTATTTCAGTAAAAATACTGGCAAACTCGAGGCCTTAGGTGCGGTCCCTTTATTGCATATTTTGCATTTATTTGTCTATGCCTTCAGGGCTCCCAGCTGCACTTGCATTGACTGTTTATTGGCCAGGTATGCCTTTTACTCTTTAAAGATTCACAACCAAGATCAGCATTAGTGCTGGATGATTTAGTAGTTTTCCTGCTGTTTCTCCAGGATCGAAATGAATTTAACCGCTAAATTTTTAAGAACAGTTACTGAGAATTGATGGCATTCACTCAGTCAATCCATGTCTGTCAGTCCTGCCTCTTGTGCAGCCATGTGTGCTGGGGCAGAGCAAAGAGGAGCAAAATAAAGGGGAAGTCTGCACACCATTAGCCTCTTTATGCTGATCAGCAAGGAAACTGACTTGGAGGACTTGATTGGAGTAGCTGGCCTAATGGTGGAAGGAGACTTCTTTAGCCAATGTGCCTCTTCCCCAATTTTCTCCTTGCTGCACACAAGCTAAGTCCAAACTTGTCATTGCTCCGTTCACTGGTTCAGTGTCTGCTGTGGGGGCGAAATTCTAAGCAATGAGTGAAGTTTGCAGACAGGCTCTGTAGCTCAGTGGCAGAGCTTGTGTCCTTTATACAAAAGGCCCCATGTTGAATTCCTGGCCTCTCTAGGTACAGATGGGAGAAATCTGTTTGAAACCCATGGTTAACTCAAAAGAGACTTGGCACAGCCAAAATCTGTAACCATTTTGTGGGTTCCAGGTGAGTATTGCCATCTACTGCAGTTGTATGTGCGTCTTCCATGCTGCCTGAAGTCACTGGTGTTGAGAAAGATGTGGAGAATCCTTTGAAAGAAAAAATGGAACAAATTGGGGTTTTTTGTGTGTGTGTGTATAATAATAATAATAATTTATTTGTCCACCGCCCATCTGGCTGGGTTTCCCCAGCCACTCTGGGCAGCTTCCAACAAAGATTAAATTACATTATAATGTAACACATTAAAAACTGCCCTGAACAGGGCTGCCTTCAGATGTCTTCTAAATGTCAGGTAGTTGTTTATCTCTTTGACATCTGATGGCAGGGCGTTCCACAGGGCGGGCGCCACTACCAAGAAGGCCCTCTGCCTGGTTCTCTGTAGCTTTGCTTCTCGCAGTGAGGGAACAGCCAGAAGGCCCTCAGCGCTGGACCTCAGCATCTGGGCAGAACGATGGGGGTGGAAACGCTCCTTCAGGTATACTGGGCCAAGGCCATTTAGGGCTTTAAAGGTCAACACCAACACTTTGAATTGTGCTCGGAAACGTACTGGGAGCCAATGCAGGTCTTTCAAGACCGGCGTTATGTGGTCTCGGTGGCCGCCCCCAGTCACAAGTCTAGCTGCCGCTTACTGGATTAGTTGTAGTTTGCACGTCACCTTCAAAGGTAGCCCCACATAGAGCACATTGCAGTAGTCTAAGCGGGAGATAACCAGAGCATGCACCACTCTGGCGAGACAGTCCATGGGCAGGTAGGGTCTCAGCCTGCATACCAGATGGAGTTGCGTGGCAAGACCCCTCCCCCTTGTGAAAACAGATGGAGCTGTTAGACAGCTGCATTGGATACAGAATTGACCTGCTCCTCCATGGACAGCTGTGAGTCCAAAATGACTCCCAGGCCACGCACCTGGTTCTTCAGGGGCACAGTTACCCCATTCAGGACCAGGGAGTCCTCCACACCAGCCTGTCCCCTGTCCCCCCAAGAACAGTACTTCTGTCAACCTCAATCCATTAGCCGCCATCCATCCTCCAACTGCCTCCAGGCACTTGCACGGGACCTTCACCGCCTTCACTGGTTCTGATTTGAAAGAGGTAGAGCTGGGTATTATCTGCATATTGATGGACACCCAGTCCAACCCCCCTGATGATCTCTCCCAGCAGCTTCATGTAGATGTTAAAAAGCATGGGGGATAGGACGGAACACTGAGGCACCCCACAAGTGAGGGCCCAGGGGTCTGAACACTCATCCCCCACCACCACTTTCTGGACACGGCCCAGGAGGAAGGAGCAGAACCACTGTATAACAGTGCCCCCAGGTCCCAGCTCCTCTAGACGGTCCAGAAGGATGTTATGGTCGATTGTATCAAAGGCCGCTGAGAGATCCAGCAGAACTAGGAAACAGCTCTCACCTTTGTCCCTAGCCCGCTGGAGATCATCAACCAGTGCGACCAAGGCAGTTTCAGTCCCATGATGAGGCCTGAATCCCGACTGGAAGGGATCCAAATGGTCAGCATCCTCCAGGCGTGCCTGGAGTTGTTCAGCAACCACCCACTCAATCACCTTGCCCAAGAATGGAAGATTTGAGACTGGGCGATAGTTGGCCATACTGGCCGGGTCTAAAGATGTTTTTTTAAGCAGTTTAATGACTGCCTCTTTCCACGGGTCTGGGAATGCTCCCTTACAGATTGTGTGTGTGTGTAAGTAAGGGACGCGGGTGGCGCTGTGGATTAAACCACAGAGCCTAGGACTTGCTGATCAGAAGGTTGGTGGTTCGAATCCCCGTGACGGGGTGAGCTCCCGTTGCTTGGTCCCTGCTCCTGCCAACCTAGCAGTTCGAAAGCACGTCAAGTGCAAGTAGATAAATAGGTACCGCTCCGGCAGGAAGGTAAACGGTGTTTCCGTGCTGCTCTGGTTTGCCAGAAGCAGCTTAGTCATGCTGGCCACATGACCCGGAAGCTGTTCGCCGGCTCCCTTGGTCAATAAAGTAAGATGAGCGCCACAACCCCAGAGTCAGCCACAACTGGACCTAATGGTCAGGGGTTCCTTTACCTTTACCTTTAAGTGAGAGAGAGGGAGGGAAGGAGGGAGAGAATGAATTGTCTGAGCAAGATTTAACAGACCTTGTGGATGGGGCTTCCTCATGGCTTGCAAAAGAATAAGTTATTGGGGTGGAGAATAAGCAAATACTGTACGTGCAGACCTACCTAACTTTGAAGCATGTTTTGGTGTGCAGAGGCAGGTTAGGGAGCTCACTGAGGGGGTGATATTGCCCACATTCCGGATGTCGACATTTATTTAAGGCTGTCCGCATCTGGCGCTCCACAGATCCTTGTAACTAACTTGTACGTATAATCCAGATGGTTAAAGAAATAGTAAAAACCTGAGGATTCCCACTTTTTCAGTGCACGCTTCTAGGTGTAAAGGGTTCTAATCTGCTAGCAATGGTCTAGGACGATATTTTCTCTAGATTAAATAAAAGCAGTACAGTTGCATGATAGTTAAGTTTCCAAGACTGAAGATGTAAGAAAATAGTATATACCAATTTTGTTTTTTTGACAAATCAACACGTTTTTTCTTGTTCTGCTCATCTTAGGATGAGAGGGGTTATTTGAATAGAATGGCAGAAACAAAACATCTTATTCCTTCTAGAAAACGGGCAGGAATTAACTCTTCAGAGCATCAAAATGCAAAGGGCTGAGGCTTCAGCTGGTGGGGATTTGAAGGAGTAGCCCCCTTTCCCCTCCACATGATTTAAGAACACATGGAAGGGAATACCTGAACAGAGAGACAGTATTTTCAAATATGTGCTTCATGGTGTGGGGAGGATACAAAGACTCTTGCATGCGGTGATTTATAATCCCAATGTTTGTCATCCTTCCTTACCTTAGCCTTCCTGCAGAAATCCTGATTCATGGCGTGATCAAAGCTTTAATGTTGATTAATAATGTTGGAGAGTTGTAATATGGGGAGGCTTGGCTGGCGCCATGTGTGATAATTTTTAGATTCGCTGGTAAAGTCATGCTTCTGCCTGCTTTGGCCTGCCACCTCAATTAGCTATTTCTTTATAGGCAGGTATAATTAGATCTCCTAAAACTGCACTGTTTTCTAAGGAGGCAGTGGGATGGGCTTAAGTGATCTTAGTATTTCAATACCACTTAACCACCAAAGCAGAGTCCTGCATGTATGCATAACCTCCACGGACACAGTGAATAGCACTAATCTGATGTTTCTGATGCGCTCTGCCTTCAGATGTCTTTTAAAGATAGGATAGCTGCTTATTTCCTTCACATCTGAAGGGAGGGTGTTCCACAGGGTGGGTGCCACTACCGAGAAGGCCCTCTGCCTGGTTCCCTGTAACCTTACTTCTCGCAATGAGGGAACCGCCAGAAGGCCCTCGGTGCTGGATCTCAGTGTCCAGGCTGAACGATGGGGGTGGAGACGCTTCTTCAGGTATACTGGGCCAAGGCCGTTTAGGGCTTTAAAGGTCAGCACCAACACTTTGAATTGTGCTCGGAAACATACTGGGAGCCAATGCAGATCTCTCAGGACCAGTGTTATGTAGTCCCGGCGGCCACTCCCAGTCACCAGTCTAGCTGCCACATTCTGGATTAATTGCAGTTTCCGGGTCACCTTCAAAGGTAGCCCCACGTAGAGCGCATTGCAGTAATCCAAGCGGGAGATAACTAGAGCATGCACCACTCTGGCGAGACAGTCTGCGGGCAGGTAGGGTCTTAGCCTGCATACCAGGTGGAGCTGGTAGACAGCCGTCCCGGACACAGAATTAACCTGTGCCTCCATAGATAGCTGTGAGTCCAAAATGACTCCCAGGCTGTGCACCCGGTCCTTCAGGGGCACAGTTACCCCATTCAGGACCAGGGTATCCCCCAAACCCGCCTTCCCTCTGTCCCCCCAAAACAGTACTTCTGTCTTGTCAGGATTCAACCTCAATCTGTTAGCCGCCATCCATCCTTCAACCGCCTCCAGGCACTCACACATGACCTTCACCACCTTCACTGGTTCTGATTTAAAAGAGAGGTAGAGCTGGGTGTCATCTGCATACTGATGAACACCCAGCCCAAACCCCCTGATGATCTCTCCCAGCGGCTTCATATAGATATTATGTGTTATGGGATTAACGTGGGCCACAACTTTATTAAATTTTCAGATGTAGGAAGACCTTGGCTTAGGCATTGGGCATTTATCCCTCCCAGTCCCCACCTGGGGATATGGGGCACATCAGGGTTATCCAGTTTGTCTGGGGATCGGGTTGGTTCTGGAAGACGTATGTTGAAGCAGAGAACCTGCCCCCCGCTTCACCAAAAAACAGGGGAGTGCACTGACAACCTTTCAGCGTATGGCCAGTGACTCCCCTCAACACAACCCCTTTAACGGGGAACCCTGGGATCGCCGCTGTGGCAGGAGGGGCGTGTGCCACTGCTTCACCCCCCCCCCCAATTCAGGGAAGATAGACTAAAGGATTCCGCCCAAGGCCTGTAACCGCCAAAGTTGTGACGTTTTGCTAAGGGAAAGCGAAACCTGCCAATGCAGGGAAAATTCCTTCCCAGTTCTTTAACAGCAACCATTGTAGGACCATAGCAGCACCCGCATACCTGTAAAGAAGAAGTTAAAGATCAAGGTAAAGGGACCCCTGACCGTTAGGTCCAGTCGTGACCGACTCTGGGGTTGCGGCGCTCATCTTGCTTTATTGGCTGAGGGAGTCAGCGTACAGCTTCCGGGTCATGTGGCCAGCATGACTAAGCCGCTTCTGGCGAACCAGAGCAGCGCACGGAAACGCCGTTTACCTTCCCGCCAGAGCGGTACCTATTTATCTACTTGCACTTTGACATGCTTTCGAACTGCTAGGTGGGCAGGAGCAGGGACCGAGCCAATGGGAGCTCACCCCGTCACAGGGATTTGAACCGCTGACCTTCTGATCGGGAAGTCCTAGGCTCTGTGGTTTAACCCACAGCGCCACCTGCGTCCCTAAAGAAATAAAGTTAACCTGCAATAAAAGGCCTAAACAAAGGGAGGGTACAGCAGGTGAAGCTCTGGAGCAGGGGTCAGCAAACTTTTTCAGCAGGGGGCCGGTCCACTGTCCCTCAGACCTTGTGGGGGGCCGGACTATATTTTGGAGGGGAAAAATGAACAAATTCCTATGCCCCACAAATCACCCAGAGATGCATTTTAAATAAAAGCACACATTCTGCTCATGTAAAAACACCAGGCAGGCCCCACAAATCACCCAGAGATGCATTTTAAATAAAAGGACACATTCTACTCATGGAAAAACATGCTGATTCCCGGACCATCTGCGGGCCGGATTGAGAAGGTGATGGGGACACATTTGGCCCTTGGGCCTTAGTTTGCCTACCCATGCTCTGGAGGCTCCACCCCCTTTTATGCCCCCCTTACTTGGTCCGCTCCCCTGGCTCCGCCTCCCCAGTCGCAATTGGTTATTTGAGCTGAGTTTTGGCAGGAACCTCATGGTTCGCGACCTGGGGAGGTGGTCCAGGTGAGCTCTGCCGGGAGTCACGTAGGATCGGGGGGTGCTGCGCGCAGGCACGCAAAGGGCACCCTCCATTTGATGTGGAGAGCGGTCATTCTCATCCTTCCCCATCCTTTGAAGTGCCGTCTTTCAGATTGCAAACATGATGCAGAGTTTGTCTTGCTTGTTGCTGATCTTCTGCAAGCCACGCTGGGAACCTTCTGGGCAGGGTAAAAATCCTTTAAATAGACAAAGCGGGATGTCAAAGTATCTAAATGGCTAATCTCCTGGGTCAGGAAACCCTTTCCAGTTGTTGGACTTTTCCAACTCCCATCATCCCCAATCATTGGCCAAGCTGGTTAGGTGTTTTTTTTAAGTAGACTTTATTAATTACTTCACCACATAATATAAAGGGTTGATAATTTGCATTTTTGAGCAAAGACAAAAAAAATTACATAGCATGCAACATTACATAATTATATTTAATAAAGTCGTATGTTAAAATACATCTGAAACTTTATGCCTTTTCTAGCCAACCCCCACCCCCCTAACTTGTCACAACTTCACAATTATTAGAAGGTGAGCTAAAATGTGCAAGTTCAGTATGGTTCGCAAATATGATTTACTTGATTAGCTGTTAGTGTTGCAGTAGCTTTTCTAAACAGCTCTGGCTGAATATGACTCATTAGGCAAGCAATTCCTAACCAGAGTATTATCATGTGGGGGTCTTTTCTTTTTATTAAGATAATTGCTTTTTACAAACTAAGAGTTTTATTATGGTAAAAGGGGGTAAAACTGTTTAAACCAATAAATAAAACATATAGACAAAAGACCAAATTGGATGTAGTTCTCCAATTATTTTAAACTTTGGGAAAATTACATTTGAATGCTCAGCTGGAGATGTCTTGAAGTTCCATTTCTCACGGTCACCTGCTGTCTGTTATGTCTAGAATAGCCCAGTCTCTTACGTGTTTCATTATCTTTCAGCTGTATAGCACTTAATTGTTGCCATCTAGTGAACTGTGCTTATGTCCTCTTCCGCTATTGTGCATAATAGTGTGCTAGCAAAATGCCTTTTGTCTGAAAAGTGTTTTTTGTAATCCCTCATTGCATGCACTGCACCATCCCACGTAGTTTATTAGCATTCCCATTTTACATGACGGTATCTGATACTAGGAGGAAAGGTCTCTTTCAAAGTGCCACATCGCTTACTGCCAGTTTGCTGGTTCTCCCAATCTAAGGCCAATTTTAAAGCTATTTTTAAGCTATTTTATATGAAAGGCATGACATCAGTTAAATACTTGAAAATCCCTGTGCGATCTCCACTTTACATTATTATACTGATTTAGCTCATTCATGGGAGCTGGGCATGTTTAGCCCGGAGAAGAGGAGGTTAAGGGGTGATATGATAGCCATGTTCAAATATATAAAAGGATGCCACATAGAGGAGGGAGAAAGGTTGTTTTCTGCTGCTCCAGATAAGCGGACACGGAGCAATGGATCCAAACTACAAGAAAGAAGATTCCACCTGAACATTAGGAAGAACTTCCTGACAGTAAGAGCTGTTTGACAGTGGAATTTGCTGCCAAGGAGTGTGGTGGAGTCTCCTTCTTTGGAGGTCTTTAAGCAGAGGCTTGACAACCATATGTCAGGAGTGCTCTGATGGTGTTTCCTGCTTGGCAGGGGATTGGACTCGATGGCCCTTGTGGTCTCTTCCAACTCTATGATTCTATTATTCTATGAGAACCGGGCACTTAGACCAAGGGAAGTAAACCAAGGCAACTGCTTGTGATTCATCCAAACCCACAGAGAGCCTGGGGCAGATTCCAGAGTTGCCCTGATTATGCAGTGACCACTAGGCAACCCAGCTCAGCTCCTCACTGCTCTCCTGTCTCATAAAGCAGCTCAGTTAATCAAAACCTTTCCCGTGCTCTTCATCAGCTTGCTAATGGCTCTGCTACCTCCAGCAGCTGAGCCAAAGTTTCTCTGCAGGCTTGGCGCCACTTCCATTTCTCCTGGACCACAGTGACCTGTTCATTGAGAGGCTTGGAGCAATTTTGCCTTCCACACGTTCTCCACTTCATCCTGCAGATGATAAAAAAACTACACAAACTCCATCCTGTCCAGATTGCTCTCCGGCAGCTTCCCACTTTGCAAATTCCTAAACTGCTGTAAGGAGTTTGACATTGCATCTACTTCCGTGGTTCCCAACAGGGGGGCAATTTGATTTTTAAGGGGGGGGGCAATTTGAGAATGAGTTATTAACAGTGAATGGCCTTTTAGGCTTCCTCCACATGAATAGGAGTTCACTTTTTGAATAATAAGAATTATATGTCACGGGGGGGGGGGGATCAGGGGATCAGGATTTTAAAGATGCTCAGGTGAGGCATGGCCAAAAAAAGTTTGGGAACCACTGATCTACCGTATTTTTTGCTCTATAAGACTCACTTTTTCCCTCCTAAAAAGTAAGGGGAAATGTGTGTGCGTCTTATGGAGCGAATGCAGGCTGCACAGCTATCCCAGAAGCCAGAACAGCAAGAGGGATTGCTGCTTTCACTGCGCAGCAATCCCTCTTGCTGTTCTGGCTTCTGAGATTCAGGATATTTTTTTTCTTGTTTTCCTCCTCCAAAAACTAGGTGCGACTTGTGGTCTGGTGTGTCTTATAGAGCGAAAAATACGGTACTTGCTACGGAACTCTTTCCATCCTAACCTGCTTGCTTTCTTGAATTTGGTAGAAATAAAAACAAAAGGCATATCTGGGTCCCAAACGCTAGTTAACTTTTCTTCTAAAAATCTGACTAGGTTGTGTGTGTGCATGCATATGTCTCTTAATTTTACACTTATCTGTACTTTCCTATAACCTTTTGGTATTACTGTGTGAGTGTAATATATGAAAGCACCTGATGCCTCTGAATACCAGTTGCTGGAAATCATGAGCAGGAAAGTGAGATTGTGCTTGTGTTTTGCTTTTGGGTTTCCCACAGGTATCTGTTTGGCCACTGTGAGAATGGGGTGCTTCACTATATGGGCCTGTAGCTTGATTTAGCGGGGCTTTTCTCATGTTCTTATGATGTATGTGCTTTAGGCTGCAATCCTATACACACTTGGGAATAATAATACAGTGGTGCCTCGCAAGACGAAATTAATCCGTTCCGTGAGTCTCTTCGTCTTGCGGTTTCTTCGTCTTGCGAAGCATGGCTATTAGCGGCTTAGCGGCTATTAACGGCTTAGCGGCTTTAAGAAAAAGGAAACAAACTCGCAAGAACTTGCAAGACGTTTCGTCTTGCGAAGCAAGCCCATAGGGAAATTCGTCTTGCGGAACGACTCAAAAAATGCAAAACCCTTTCGTCTAGCGAGTTTTTCGTCTTGCGAGGCATTCGTCTTGCGGGGCACCACTGTAATAATAATATTTGTACTCCACCCATCAGACTGGGTTGCCCCGGCCACTCTGGGCGGTTGAACAATGTGGCTTACTTCTGAGTAAGGATTGCACATACTGCCATTTAAATATGTTATACCGCTTGCTTTCGGCACATAGTAACATTTGCTTAATGAACATGGGTCCAGCTGAGATCCAATTGCAATATGTACTGCGGAGGGGCAGGAGATCCTGGAAGGACTAGAGATCTCGTCAACTATTCGACTTCTTGCTCGTCCAGGTTGCCATTCCCAAGCGCTGGAATCTCCTTCTCCGGTAGTAACCCGTACTCATTTAAGAACGCCTCCACATCCACAGCAAAAAACTCCTCACTGAACTGTTCGGTTACACTAATGAAATTGCTGACAAGCTCCCCACCTTTGTACACGAGAAGCGTTGGGAGTACGTCGGTGGAGAAACGGTCTCCGGCCCCTGTGTTGGAAGCCTTGATCTTGCAGAATTTCACTGTGGAGTACTCGGCAGCAAGGCACGAGAGGCTGCTGTTGAGTGCCTCACAGCCCTTGATGCCATCTTCATAGATGTGGACAATGACTGTGGTGGTTTTTCGCTCCTTCTCAACAGCTTCCAGGAACTGTTCCCCATTTTGCAGCTCCGAAAGGTAGCCGTATTTTGGCCCAAAGCTCAGTCGCTGGTGCATGTCCTGCATACAACGCTTGCGATACTTCCGTAAGCAGCTTTCGTCTTCCATGTCTTCGTTAATTAGCTCGTACTCTTGCACGCTCATCTGGAAACATTTGGAAGAGTAAGCAGAATTATTATGGAATAGGTAAAAGGTAAAAAAAAGCTAAAGGACCCCTGGATGGTTAAGTCCAGTCAAAGGTGACTATGGGGTTGTGGCGCTCATCTTGCTTTCAGGATGAGGGAGCCAGCATTTGTCCGCAGACAGCTTTCTGGGTCATGTGGCCAGCATGACTAAACCAGAAACCAGAGAGCACGGAAACGCTGTTTATCTTTCCACCGCAGCGGTACCTATTTATCTACTTGCACTGGTGTGCTTTCAAACTGCTAGGTTGGCAGGAGCTGGGACAGAGCAACGGGAGCTCACCCTGTTGCAGGGATTCAAATTGCCGACCTTCTGATCAGTAAGCCCAAGAGGTTCAGTGGTTTAGACCACAGCTTACTCAACGAACATCGCTCCATGGAACCTCATAGAACAAGAGGAGAAAACTTTAAGAATAGGAGAGGAGCACTTGGGTGCCATTTCTTGAACTTTCAATGATACTTTCTTTAAGTTGTATCTATGATCATCCTCTTGGTGTGGATGAAACTTTCCTCCTGATGCAAATAGCGGCTTTCAAGGGGTGGGGTGGGGGACTTCTATTGCATCCTGTTCTCATAACCAAGAATACTGTTGAATACTAACGCAACAGCCCTAACCCCATTTACCAGTGAATTCAATAGGATTTACATCTAAGTAGGCATGGTTATGATTTTGCTGTAAATAAGCACATCAATAAAGGAAGTTGGGCAGGCAAATAAATACAGAACCCTTAGGGGGCTCAGATGGATAAATTGCCAAAGCCATGTTTGCAACTGTGGATAGATATTTTTGCAACTCTTGTTGAGTTATGGCAGTATGAATACCCTCGAGGAAGCAATTTGTTTTCTCTTGAGTGACATTAATGCCGATGTAACACACAAAGCTTTTTTTTTTCTTTTTTTTGCTCTACTAGCAAAATCAGAAAGAGAGAACTAGATTAAATTGCTGTAAATTGCTGTGGAGATTGGCTTCTTAGGTATTCCTGACATGATGTAGGGTTCAGAATTTTAAACTCTTGCATTGCTGTATCGATCTGTTGCAGTACGTATTTGTCATGGCCTTTGCCCACAACAATAAAATAGAGTGGATTGAACATATGAACCAGCTTGTTTTTCCAGCATGGCTTATTTTTGTGAATACTTCAGCATGGTAAGACTACATACACACGATTTAAAGCACTATGACACCACTTTAAGCAGTCATAGCTTCCCCCAAAGAATTCTGGGAGCTGAGGATGCTGAGAGACTTTAAAGGTAAAGGTAAAGGGACGCCTGACCATCAGGTCCAGTCGTGGCCGACTCTGGGGCTGCGGCGCTCATCTCGCTTTATTGGCCAAGGGAGCCGGCGAACAGCTTCTGGGTCATGTGGCCAGCATGAGTAAGCCGCTTCTGGCAAACCAGAGCAGCACACAGAAACGCCGTTTACCTTCCCGCCGGAGCAGTACCTATTTATCTACTTGCACTTTGATGTGCTTTCGAACTGCTAGGTTGGCAGGAGCAGGGACAGAGCAACGGGAGCTCACCCCGTCGCGGGGATTCGAACCGCCGACCTTCTGATCGGCAAGCCCTAGGCTCTGTGGTTTAACCCACAGCGCCACCCACGTCCCGACAAAGGATGTGTCAGAAGACTTTACAAGACTCCTATTTCCTCCTAGAGCTACAACTCTCACAGTTCTCTGTGGAGAGGAATGGATTGTTAAGCCACTCTGGAAATTGTAGCTCTTGGGAGGGGCTCTGACACTCCTCCCAGACTGGTCATGTTGTGCGGATGCCTGATTATCATCTTCCAAAGCAACTACTCTATTCCGAACTTAAAAATGGAAAGCATAATGCTAGTGGTCAACAAAAGAGGTTTAAGACTCTCTCAAGGCAAATCTTTTAAAAATAGTAGCAACACCGACAACTGGGGAACACTGGCCTGCGAGCGCTCCAATTGGAGAACAGCCTTTCCCAAAGGTCTCATGGGCTTTGAAGATGCTCAAACTCAGGACAAAAGGGAGAAACGTGCTAAGAGGAAGGCACGCTTGGCAAATCCACACTGTGATCAACTTCCGCCCGGAAACCAATGTCCCCACTGTGGAAGGATGTGTGGATCCAGAATTGGCCTCCACAGTCGCTTACAGAACCACTGTTAAAACCGTGTTCATGGAAGGCAATCTTACTCAGCTATGAGTGATCGCCAAAGAGAATGCAAGGGGGAATCCTGACTGGACCAGAATTTTCTCTTCTGTGGAGGATCTTTATGTGTGTATAACAGCACACCCACCCTTCTCACGAATGCTGGAAATGCAGGTAGTGGCATGGCTGTTTAGTGCATTGATGGCATTTTCTGATTCTCCATCCCATTGAATCGCTTCAATTGTGTATCTCCACTCTACTCTCTTACCTTGCGACTGAATCGCTCCCTGGTGTCTTTATCGTCCCTACTTTGAGAGCGATAGGGTGAAGACATCTGTCTGATGAGAATCTCTTTCTTGCTTACAGGAAGGGCGTTCCTGTCTTTACTTTCCAATTTAAACTTTCTCCAGTCATTGATCACTCCTTTAGGCCCTAGGAGAAGAAAAGGTGGTTGTTATTTCGTATTCTTTCTTTTAGGGGTTTACCAGCTGTCTCGACGTTCAGAACAATGAGTCAAGGGCTGGAGCTTACTAAAGGCAAGAATGCAAAATGCACAATGCTCAACATATATATATATATGTGTGTGTGTGTGTGTGTGTGTGTGTACACACACACACACACACGCTGAAAAGCAAAAACCAGTATAAACAACATTCAAAAATGCATTTAATACAATGCAACTGCTTCAAATATATGGTACAAGAGAACAATTGTTGAGTGGAAAAAATGCACAACCATCCATCTATCATAATATAAGTAGAACTTTAACATTCTTTTTTTTTTCAAGTAAGATTTTCAGTACAGCCATACCTCATGTTACATTTGCTTCATGGTCTGTTTTTTCAGGTTGCGTCCCGCGGCGACCCGGAAGTACCAGAAAGGGTTAACTCCAGGTTTTGCCGCTCGCACATGTGCTTAAGTGCTAAATTGTGCTTCATGCATGCACACAAGCTCCAAATTGCACCGCACATCTGCACAGATACTGCGCTTCAGATTGCAGGCTTTTCATGTTGCGAACGGGCCTCCGGAACGGATCCCATTTGCAACCAGAGGTACCACTGTAGTCTGAAAGAAGCCAGAAAGGAAAAGCTATCATGACAACCTATTGATGACAAAGCTCTGTGGATGTCCCATAAAGACTGCTTATTGTATTTCCGGCAGTGGTAGTTGTGGCCTGGCACAATGGGAGCTAGGAGGCGTAGGGAGGCTCTGCCACACCACTGCCAGTGGCGTCTTCTGTCTCAGTTGGTTGCTAAGACTTCAGGGACTTCCCGCCTTGGTTTTTAATTTAAAACACCCAATAAGGGCCGTTCTAAAGGGGTGTTGGAGACAGACCTGAGGGAGCCTGTCTCTACTCGGGTCATATGTTTCAGCTGCACGGTCAGCAACGGTTGTCTCACCTGCCCAGCACACTTGTTGCATTCTCCAAGGCATAGTGAACAGTGTTTGCATGAGATTGCTGTGGAATTATTCAGTCGCTGTATTCAGGGCCATGGAGGAATTTGCCTGCAGACAGATTGGGCCTATCTGGTGGCTTTTGCCTACCTCATAGCAATTGTCACAACGTCTGGCAGAAAAGGCATTGGGTTGGATCGTTAGTCAAAACTGGAAACGAAGGTTTAGTGTACTATGGGCTCCTGGAGGAAAGTTTTGTCGAAAGATCTAGGCTAATGGGCCATAAAATTCCTCCAAATGGCAACCTGGTAAGTTTGCTCCCATTTGATCTGTATCATGGGGGAATCCTTTAAACCAGGATCAACGCTAATGGAGCAATCAGCCAGCAACCAGGCAAGGCTGATTCCGGATACGTACCCAAGGCCTACCTGCATCTGTAATCAATAAAAAGTTGTGGCAGTTTCAATTCCAAATGGTTTTCCTGTCATTATTGCTATCTTCATTCTCCTGAACCCTGCTGATCCCGGGATCACTGCTCCTGGGCCTGCAAACTCCGAAAGAACAATGGCTATTATACAGGAAAGTTCTAATGTGGTAGCAACCTTAGTAGAAAAAGAATCTACTATGGGCTAGGTATCAGAGTCTGGCTGTGTTTGATGGTTCAGTGTGAAGCCTGATGAATATATGCGTGGGAGAATTGGTCTCCCTCCTCACCTTCCCACCATCCCAGTATGTGAAACATGAAAGCCCTAAGTATCTCAGCTTCTTCACAGGTGGAAATCTGTGAGGAAAGAATGGAGATGGAAGAACATGCCGAGTTCCATCCTCAGGAATGAAAGGAGACAGATCCATCTCAGCTTCCACATTGACTGTGAAACATTTGAGCAGAAGGAGAAGACTGGGCATACCTTTTGTTTGGCAATAGAGGGAGGTTGAGATTGCTCAGACATCATCCTATCCTGAGTCAATTGTAGGGGCAGGGAGGGGAAGAATTTTGGCTTGGGCCAAGTGCTGTGAAAGATGTGCTTTGAATAAACCAAACTACAGTTTTCGAACGTAATCCGTTCCAGAAGACCGTTCGAGTTCTGAAACATTTGAAAACTGAAAACTCAATAGACAGCTAGGCCTCAGGATCTTGCACTCAGCAGAAGCCACGTGGCATGTTCGACTTCCAAGGCGTGTTCAAAAACCGAAGCATTTACTTCCGTGTTTACGGCGTTCGAAAACCGAAATGTTCGTCAACGGAGACATTCGAAAACCGAGGTACCACTGTACCTGCCATAGCAGGCAAAGAATTAAGGCATTCTGCTGTGGAGATATTCCTTAGGAAGGTGACCTCCACTTGCAGAATACAGTGGTACCTGAGGTTAAGAACTTCATTCGTTCCGGAGGTCCGTTCTTAACTTGAAACTGTTCTTAACCTGAGGTACCACTTTAGCTAATGGGGCCTCCTGCTGCCGCCGCGCAATTTCTGTTCTCATCCTGAAACGAAGTTCTTAACCCGAGGTACTGTTTCTGGGTTAGCGGAGTCTGTAACCTGAAGCATCTGTAACCTGAAGTGTCTGTAACCCGAGGTACCACTGTATATTAAACTTTATGTCCCCACTAATCTACCATTGATAAAGTCCTTCTCTTCCTCTGTCAAGTTCCTCATTGATGGGCCCTTGGTGCTTGATGTTTCACGATAGTTGGAATGATAGGCCTCCTTTCTTCGGATTTACCTCATTCACATGTAAAGTGATGTATACCAGTGTCCCTTGCAATTTCCCAAAGCAATGAATATTCCTGAATACTTACTTAATAATGGGTCATAATCCGTACAATATGTTTTTGTTGCTGTTACTATGGATGCATAGTGCAAGAGACACATAAGAGACATTAGCCCAGGATTAACAAGGCTTTCTTACCTGTATGTATAGCTTCTGGTGCTTCAAGTTCCTCTTCCAAACTAAGCTCTTTTTGCCCTTCCATTGCCATGATTGGATTGACAGACACTAACAGGATCAAGGAAGAAAACAGTAAACACACGGGCAGATGAGCTACATGCTTTCAGAGTCTGCTAACATGTACTTTTATGTTGTTACAGCTTTATAATTATTGCTCTCCTTATGAAATCATAATGAATAAGTCTCCTATTAACATCTCATAAAGTAAAAAAAAGAAAGCTATATCCAGTTTTTTAAAGGGGTTATTAAAAGAAGTCTAGACTAGAAGCTTGCTACAGACTATGTAGAATGTGATTAAAGGATGCAGCGTTCTCCCTGTGATGCGCCGTCATTTACCACAGATATTCCATGCTTTTCTGATCTATTATTATATATACACACTCGTAAACTTAACATCCAGGAAAGAAGGAAGTTAAGTTTGGACATATTTAACTGCGAGGGACACGGGTGGCGCTGTGGGTTAAACCACAGAGCCTAGGACTTGCCGATCAGAAGGTCGGCGGTTTGAATCCCCGCAATGGGGTGAGCTCCCATTGCTCAGTCCCTGCTCCTGCCAACCTAGCAGTTCGAAAGCACGTCAAAGTGCAAGTAGATAAATAGGTACCACTCCGGCGGGAAGGTAAACGGCGTTTCCGTGTGCTGCTCTGGTTCGCCAGAAGCGGCTTAGTCATGCTGGCCACATGACCCGGAAGCTGTACGCCGGCTCCCTCGGCCAATAAAGCGAGATGAGCGCCGCAACCCCCGAGTCGGTCACGACTGGACCTAAGGGTCAGGGGTCCCTTTACCTTTACTTTTACCTAGGTATGACTATGTATTTGTCTATATTTTTCTTCACTGAAAGTTGTTTGGAGACATTTGGGTGACAAGCAACTGATAAGTTGAAGAAACAAACAATGTATTGATGCATTCCAACCCTGAGTTGACCACATATGATGTATATACTTCCAGGAACCACAGCTTCCCATGTTTTTTAGAACTGTCTGGATGTCCTACAAACATTGCATTCAGCCCACAGTGACAAAGTAGGGGACCTGTCCTTCTCTATGACAGTACTCAAACCTTTTATCCGTTGCCTTGTGGGACGTCTTTGGGAGAAGTAAAGGCTAAGGAGTAAACCCTACAAAAATCTGGACTGGAGTCCTAAGACAGTTGTATGTTGGCTTGTATGCTTCCTTCCAGCAACTCCTGCAGCCAAGCTGGTGCCAAATGTATTGCTCTACGTTCCTTGGGACCACATCAGCGAGGCCAAGAAGACCTCCGTACGTACCGCCCAGACTTGTGCCCCAGAGAGGTTACTCCCGTGCTTCTAACACAGCGAAAAACAACACGGGAGGCAGCAATTACGAGTTACCAGTCTCTGCAGCCACAGCTGGTGCTGTGATTCTCCAACTCTTTGACGTCAACCCCTGCAAGGGCACTCTGTTGTCTCTCGAGACAGATAGATGCCAACAACAAGAACTTGATCCTTTGATTTGATATGCAGCCAGTATTTTGGCCCTGTAAATGGTTGTATGTTTAGATTGGGGGCCAACCTAAGTCTTCAAAAATTAAAAAGGAGATTTTCAAAACAAGGAACTGGACCTTCTAGGTATGTATGTGTTGGACCACACCCAACCTGAATTTATTGAAAAGTCCCTTTGACTTCAAAAAAGCATAGTACTGTTGAAAAGTGTGTTATTTTAGAGGGTCCTAGTGAATTAGCCTCAAGCTGTGAATGCAGAGGGGCTCTTTCTTTGCCCGGTGACAAAACTGGATAAAACACACAGCTCACATGGCAAATTCAGACCTCCCCATCACTCTCTACCCTTGGCAGAGATGGAAGAGTCGGTTCACATTGGGAGCTACCTTGGCAACTTGCTTCTTTACTCCTTCCAAGTAATTTTAGTTTAAAGGTGAAGGAAGCAAGCATTCAGGTGCTCGTTTAGATGGTGTTGTGTGGTGGGAATTTCAAGAAGTTGCGGGGGGGAAAACACCATAGAGGCTGAAATATACTCAGAGTCGCAAAGTGATTTCATGCTCTTTATTCAGCTCATAGTGGTGAGGAGGAATGAATGCCAGTCCCCTCAAAGTATCTGCTTTATATACATTATTTACACAATGGGCTGCACATGATTGGCTAATTCTGGAATTCTACTGTAAGCCAATCAGGTTGTGGATTCACTTATATCTGGAGCATGATTGGGTGGTTCCTGCCAACCAATCATACTGCTGCATTGTTCTAGGACCAATCAGACTGTTGCATTCTGAATCCTATTGTTCTAGGACCAATCAGACTGCTGCAATTTGGATTCTATTGTTCTAGGACCAATCAGACTGCTGCAGTTTGGATCCTATTCAACTCAGTACATAACAGAGGCTATGTCCCCCTAGCCCCTTTAAAAGTAGAATCTTATCAACTTGGAATGAACAGACTCACCCTGTCTGGAAGCACCCTTGTTTGTGTGCCATTGAGTTAAAAACACCACAGCTGCTCAGGGGCCAAATAGACCAAACAAGGCCACCACTTTGGTTTAATCACATCTTCCTCGCTTGAATATAAAGCAGTAGAGGGGATGCAGTTTTTCCACCACATGGTGCCCATCAGTGAGCAAGGAATAATTTTATCTCTGCATTTTGTCACTTCAAGCACTCTTTCCACCAGCTCACTCTGTAGGCGGTTATGTACCCTACTTTACAAAGATATTACTCAATTGGAAGGCCTGCCTGATCCAAGTCCTGTTTAAAGAGAAATAACCACCAGTCAGGAGAAGAAGGACCTCAAACTGCCCAGCTACACCACAAGGTAAAGGTAAAAGATCCCTGGACAGTTAAGTCCAGTCAAAGGTGACTATAGGAGTGCGGCGCTCATCTCGCTTTCAGGCTGAGGGAGCTGGCGTTTGTCCACAGACAGCTTTCCGGGTCATGTGGCCAGCAAGACTAAACCACCTCTGGTGCAATGGAACACCATGATGGAAACCAGAGCGCACGGAAACGCCGTTTACATTCCTGCCGCAGTGGAACCTATTTATCTATTTGCACTGTTGTGCTTTCGAACTGCTAGGTTGGCAGGAGCTGGGACAGAGCAACGGGAGCTCACCCTGCTGCGGGGATTCGAACTGTTGACCTTCCGATCGGCAAGCCCAAGAGGCTCAGTGGTTTAGACCACAGCGCCACCCACATTCCACTTAGTACCTGGAGAGCAGACCAACTAGGCGCAGAGGTCTCCTGGTCACAGCCTGCACCACTAGGGGAAAATATTACGTTTCTATTTAAATTACAGTAATTATTTCTAAATTTGCAGCTTTAGGTATAAGTCAGCACATGCAAATTTTGTACAAATCTGTGTCCTCTTGTTTGGTGAGGTGTGAGTAACCTCTCCATCACCAGGCCAGCTCATAGCTGGCACTAGAGAGGTGGACTGTGAGGAAAGCATCTCAAGTGATAGTGACTGGGAAAGTAGGCTTGTGTGTGTGTGTGTAAGAAAGTTCCCCGCCACACGTTTGTACTGTTTTTATTGTAAAAAAATCAGACATCCCTCCTGTTTTATGAGCTAGCAGGGCAGACATATGAACGGCAAGCATTGCGACCCCTGTGTCTTTCAGTTTGGTAAACCAAATAAATGTGGTTTAACATGAATTGCAAAAAAAAGTTTGCAGACAGTTAACAAGTGGTTTTGGAGACTTTTTCTGGTGTGTGGTTCTGAAGGTGAGACAATATTGCTACGTTTGAAATTAGAAATTAATTTGATTTGGGTTTTGTTCTGTCTGGCCTCCAGAGATATCCCAAGGAAGCAAAACTGGAGCGGCAAGTATGAACAGGAATGACTGGCTAGCATCAAAAGTGACACGTATCTTGAACTTCCGGGTTGGCGCCTCTGGCAATGGCGGATTTCCTCCGATCAGGAGGAATCCGCTCCGTGGAAAAAAGGGTCTGAACCGCCACGGCGAGGCGGAGACCCATCAAAAACCACAGGCGGGAGAAGCCTGTGGATGTGGGATTCGGCTGGCACCTTTGCGCCCCCCCTACTCGCGGGGAACCCTGGTTTCGGGGATCCGGAGCGACGTGGGGTGAGTGGCGCGGTGCTTTGAATCGACTGCTTCTTTCACGGAGTGAAGCCGCATTGCTGTTGCCAGAGAGCACTGACTTTTTCCTGTGGACAATTGGACCTTAAATAACTGTCCGTGAGTAGAACGGAAAATTGGATTAAGAAATTTCTTTTAATTTGGCACTGAAGCGGGAAGGTCTAAACAGGAAGTCCGCCTTCCGCTTTGTAGATAGATTAAAGCAAAGACACGGCAAGCTAGAGTTTAGAAAGCCGTCTGTAAAGGATCAAGTTTCATCATCTAAAATTACTGAACCCCCCTTGGAAGCAGGAGAAGAGGGGGGAACTTTTTCTGGACTGTTTAAACCTGCAGAGGAGAGTGTAAAGAAAAGCAATTTTCCACCGTCTTGAACCTGGGAGCGGGGTGTCAGGACAGATGTCCTCGGGAAGTTCATTGACTATAGACAAACGTTTTTGACAGATAGTTAAAAGAAGAGAAACATAGTGATTCCATTGTTCCCCTTCGCATCTAAAAGGAACAAAATATTGACAAAATATCTGAAAAAGGAAACTTTGTTGTTAGATCTGCTTTTTTTAAAAAAAGAGAGATGGATACAAATAGAAGCTTTTTCCCCTAGAGGGAGCTTGTGAAACTGTTATTAAATTTGAACTGGGGAGCTTTGCAGCTGCAATAGATTAAGATCGTGGGACCAGACTCTGACCTTGCACAAGAATGTACTCGGAGGCTCTGGTGCTTGCTTTCTGCAAGACAAGTGCTTTATTGGAGCAGTTACATGAGAAGACGGATTTGATGACTATTGCGATCAGAAATTTTGGACAGGCAGTGGGTATCTATATAGAACCCACTCAGGAATTAATCCAGGAGTGTGCTCTGACAGATCAGATGAGGGAGGAGGTTGTTGCTGGACCTCGGGAGGCAGAGATGGAGGGAACTGTGGCCCAGCAGGAACATGAGTTGTTGGATCTGACGAATGAACCTGGAAAAAGCC